CAGCGGTTACTCAGTTAGTCAGTCATCAACACAGATACTCACCAATACACCACCAACAAGCTAGCGCTCTTCTAACGTATCTGCTCTCTCTCTCTCTCTCTCTCTCTCTCTCTTTGGGCCAACTCATTCAGTGGCTTTCGGCGTGTGTTTACACGGCACAAATAGCGCTTGAGGAAACCGAAAAGAAAAAAAAATGTAAAAAGAAGAAAAGAAAAAAGCACAGAGGCTGAGCGAACTCCTCTACCCCCATCCCCCCATCCCGCTATTCGTAGGCAAAAGGTGCGACAGGTATAGAAACAGGGGAGCGACAGACAGACACTCACGCATGTAGCAATCACAGGCTCTGGTGATTTTTTCGGTGGCTCAGCCTCAGCCGCAGCCCCGCTGGATGTGGAGATATCACTGTACATTGCGGGGGCGCCTCAGCCAGTCTACTGTGTGTTGATTGTTGATTGTATTGTGTGTGGGCCACATGTGCCAAGTGTCACGCACACACCGCCAAGACTTGGAAATCCACTTTGAGCCAGAAAGATATTGGGTAACAATTGGCAGCCTCAGATCCACTGAGCCATGCCAACCGGCACAGTAGTCTCCGAAGGGTTTTGTCTATAAATAGACTTGTGATCAAAAGTTATGTATGACTGCAATCTTAGTGCGAATATCTTGTAGATCCCCAGATACACTTCCGAACCAAAGGATACTTTTTGAAATTTCTTAAACAGAAACAGGTAGCCGGTTCCATCCTATCAACCTATCATATTGGAAAAATCACTCTTTATAATTGCCCATCCTCATTGTTGTCTTCAAACGGGTCTGCCTCCGTCGTCAAAAAGTACAAATTCCGTTTTCACTCCCAGCCAAAATTTCGACATCATCTCGATGGTGGGGGGAAGAGGCGGCGGCAGCATCATCGTTAATTTGTGAGCCCTGTCACCGATTATATAGTGGGTACTACCTCCATATAGCCTCCGCTCTCCAACACACGCCACACTGTAACTGTTGTTGTAACTTTGCTTTTGCTGATAAACTTCGGGCAGGAGAGCAGCTCCCTTTTGGAGCACGAAGCAGGGAACGAATAGCTTGGAGCTCAGAGAGAGAGAGAGAGAGGAAGTCGTTGAGCGGTGAAGCAGATAGAGCGGTTTATACATATTAGACCAGCGACTAAGTAGAACGAACGGCAACAACAATGGAAACCAAAGGCAAAGGCAAAAGGCACTAGGCACCACTAATACTACAGTAATACTAGCAGCCTGCACTGAAAGAAATAATTCCAAACAGAAGCTATTCTTGTTCTATTACTTGGAAAAAGTAAACTTTTAGGTCTTTCTTGTCTAATATCATAATTATTATTAATGTTCTTAACAGAAATAGCCACTATAAGTTAGGATCCTATTTCTTGCGGTGCATAGTTCGTACCCCCGCGTAGATTCATAGTCAGAGTTCCGATCCCAGGCAAAGCTCCACAAAAGCCACTCAAATGTAAAAAAAAATTAAATAAAACAGACTCAGAAAAAATCCACCACCAACAACACGCCAATATAGAAAAGTACAGTGATACATGCCTTTAAAAATGGGCTTACAGGACATTCAGTTAATTTTACGTATATATAGTAAAGTAATATTTTGTTTGGAATTTACAAACATATGTATTTGGTATTCCAATTTATTAAGTAAGTAGATCCACTTAACGACTCCCCACTGTATGTCCCACGGATGGAACACGCCTGCGTCGCTGGATCTCGCGTTTCCACATGCTTTTCCAATTTCAGTGGCCTGGAAAAGCCAGCAAAGCTACAGATGGGGTGTGGTAGGTGCGCGGGGTGTTCCAGCCCAGCCCCGAAATGGAGAGCCCAACCCAAAAAGCCGACGTCGCCGCCGCGCAGCCGATTGCCCTTACAACAACAACAACAACAAGAACAACAGCAAGAAACGGAGGGAAAAACAAATTATTAACTGCTCGAGAGAGCAACGGATGTAGGATTGTTTTCGACGCGTGTGTGTGGTTGCATGTGTGTGTGAGTGCGCGAGCGCTGGCAGCGCGGTCGCCGCCGCTGCTTTGGAGCTTGGAAGTTGGATCCCGAGGATCACTCAATGTATTGGTGTCAAGCGAGACGGACGAATTTGCTGCCCCAAAGAGAGTTTTTTTCGTTTCGTTGGATCGTTCGTGCGGATCCCTCTCTCTCTCTCTCCGCACCACCACGCGCTCCCTCTCGCCTTCGCTCCCACTCTCGCGCTGAGTTGTGAAAATTTCCACAAGTTAAAATTAAATGAAGGAAACAACAAAAAATAAGTGCAAAGGAAGCAGGCGAATGTAGCAGAGGGCAGAAAAAGGTGCCTAGTAATATCGGTTTAACAACTGCGGGCAGTGAATTAGCCACCGTTAAGTGAAAGAAAAATCTTTTAAATATCAGAAAACTGACGACAACTCACAAAATAAGCAAAGTGTTTCGCTTCGATCAAAACTAAAGGATATACATAGCCGCTGTGGATTAAAGGTGCTTAGTAATTTTTAATTACATTAAATTCGACTCAAAACATTGGATAGACTACAAACTTTCCTTTTTAAATAGTTCAAAGGGAGAACAATTTACAAAATCGTGTGTACATTTTCTTAAAGTCGTAGAGTCTAAAAATTATTAATTTATAAATAGTCTGGTTAAAATAAGTAGATTTCATCGATGTGTTTTGTTTTTTTAAAACTTCAATGTTTCAAAAATTCAACTCGAGCTGGAACTAACAAGTAAAGCAACAACGTTAAGAGAGTAAAAGCAGAGGCGCAGCCAAGAGAGCGCCGCTCTTTCGCTCTCCCGCGCTCTCGGACTAAAAGTCACAAGTGGTGGTGCGCCGGCAGCGCAGTCGGCTTCCTGCGTCGAGGACTTTGACTCGCTCATTCGTGCTCGGATCTCCAACAACAACGGTCTCTCCTCTTGGCCGCCGCCTTCCGCCGCAGTTGAAATAAAAAAATAAAAAACACAAGAAACCGCAAACGCTGGGCGGTAAAGGAAATACAAATTACAACAAAGTGAGCCAGAAAACAATACATTTCCATTTAAAACCGAGCCATAAACGAAAAATATACCTATTTGTGCGATCGTGCCAGGCGAAAAAAAATTGAAGCTTTTGCGGCCGTCGAGCTTTTCTAATAACTGTTTGACGTGTCAGTGTGTGTGTGTGTGTGAGTTATTGTGATCGTGCTCTTTCTCTCACTCTCTCTGCCTCTGCGTATTGAATGGTGTGTGGCTTCTCAATTGATTTGAACAAGTGCATAAAAACAATAACAATTGCAAACAAACCGAACAGTGCCAAAGCATAGACATCACAAAATAGAAGCGTGGAAAAAACAGAATCAGAGAGGAGCAAGAAAAGTGGAGACTGTGCTGGGCCGCATGTGTGTGTGCCAGGAAGACGGGAATTTCTGTGGGAATGCTGAATGATTTTCAATTAAGTGTACAACAAAGCGACCGAGAAAGCGATAAGATAAGCGCGGCGAACGCAAATATTTAGCAAGTGGAGGAAGCGTGGGTTTTCGAAAGAGAAGACAAGGATTTTTTGTTGGAATTACGATCACGGAAAGTGATAACACAGAAAAACGAAGGAAGAAATAAAACGTGCCACGAATTTCATGACTTTCCACCGCGATTGCCTGGAATCGCGGCCGTGTCGGTGTGTGCGCGTTCCAGTTTCCAGCGTGTCGCATGTAAAGTTTTCCATTCCATTTTACGTGCCCTGCCTGCCTGTTGCCTTCGTTGCTTTTAATTTGTTGCTCTCCTAATTCCTCCACACCCTTTGGCAAGTTTTCAAGTCACAGGCGCACACACAGACAGCCAAGCACACACACACATACAGGCACAGTTGTTGCCTAGAGCTGGGAAACTGTCGATTTAGTGTCGATACTATCGTTTTTTGTACAAAGGAATTTTTGAAAAAAATTACTAAATTGTTTATAACATATTTTGGAAAGAGATAATATAATATAATATAATATTTTGCAGAGAGATAAGAGATCAAAATTATTGTATCATCACAGTTTGATATACGAAATATAACTAAACCAGAAAATTAAATTAAAAAAACATCTTATATCCATACATTTATTTTTGCAAAAATATTATTTTTCTCCTTGAACTAAGTCAAGTCACTAATTATAACTAATAAATTATGCTCATACGCTAAAGACTCTGTAGATGTGGCGGTAACATTTTAACCAATTTAGAAACTATATATTTCATAAGACACAAGGATATTATAAATATTTTTTAAAATTTGTACTGAAATTTCATTGAAAATTCGTTACCTCGATAGTACCCAGCTCTATTGTTGCAGTCTCGCTCTTTTCCCGCGACTCTCTCTTTGACTGACGCGATCTCTCTCGCAGTGCGTGTCTCGTTGTTGTTGTTGCTAGCGGCTGCCCATTTGAAACACATTTGAAATTTCCATTTAGATTTCCTCATTTACGTTTTCCCTCATCGAGCCTGCATAATGTGCTGCTCTGTTCGTTTGACCCTTTGGGGTCGGCTCTTAAATTAAATTCTCTCAATTGGACGCCCGCAGCGCAGCAGCAGCGCCGTTTCAGTGAAGAGTCCTTTTTTGGCTTAAGATAGAAACAATTTTTCAAAAAATTCAAGTTGATAGAATTTTTAAATTAGAATTTAAAACAGGAAAATGATAAGGAATGGTATTTATTGGGAGATTTTATATTTATCATAATATTTATGAGACGAAGAGTTTTATTAAAATAAGTGCTATTGTTTTAAAATAATTACTTAAAAATTATTGAAAGGAATAATATAAAGTAAGGAATGTTCGATTTCAGGCGTAAAAACCACAAGAAAGTGCTTCTATTTCTTAAGAAACACCATGATTTATAAATATAAGTCGGAAAAAAAATCAAATGTTTCGCCCTTTCTGGTATTCAATGTTTTTACAACCCTTAACAAGTTTTTGAAACCCAAATCCTGGATCCCCAAAAATACTAATCTTTGTAATTCCTTCCATTACAGCACGCCCTGGAATATATGTTTTAACGGCTGTCCCCGCTCAGAATAAGTCTCACAGGGTCTCCAGGAGAATCCCAGAGCAAAAGGACAATCGAAGGACCCTAAATGACCCCGAGTCGCGCATGAGGACATAGATCGAGATCGCAGCCTCTCACTTACTCACCCTGCTTCGCTCCTCCGCTAAGTGACGCAAACACGACGGCTTCCCAATGAAGATGGCATCTCAACGCTTCTGCCTGCGGTGGAACAACCATCAGAGCAACCTGCTGTCCGTCTTTGACCAGCTGCTCCACGCAGAAACCTTCACAGATGTGACGCTGGCCGTCGAGGGGCAATACCTGAAGGCACACAAGGTGGGTGTTGTCTAGATCCTATGATCATTGAATATTAAGTAGTAATGAATCTAATAAACTTCCTGCTTGCTCCCCAGATGGTGCTATCCGCCTGCAGTCCGTACTTCAACGCCCTGTTCATAAATCATCCGGAGAAGCATCCGATAGTCATACTTAAGGATGTGCCCTATTCGGACATGAAGTCCCTGCTGGACTTCATGTACAGAGGCGAGGTCTCTGTGGACCAGGAGCGACTTACCGCATTCCTGCGCGTGGCCGAGAGCCTGCGCATCAAGGGCCTCACCGAGGTCAACGACGACAAGCCCTCGCCGGCAACGGGGGCCGGAGCTGGAGCTGCAGCGGGAACGGGTGCGGCTGGCTCCGAGAGCACACCCACTCCCCCGCAGCTGCAGCGCATTCAGCCTTATTTGGTGCCACAGCGGAATCGTGCACAGGCCGGCGGTCTGCTGGCCAGTGCCGCTGCTGCCAATGCTGGAAATACGCCCACCCTGCCGGTGCAGCCATCGCTGCTGAGCTCAGCCCTGATGCCCAAGCGAAAAAGAGGCAGGCCACGTAAACTATCGGGCAGCTCGAATGGCACGGGGAATGACTACGACGACTTTGAGCGCGAGAACATGATGAATGACTCCGATCTGGGCAATGGCAAACTGGGCAACGATTCCTACTCCGGCAACGATGATGGCTCCGATGATAATCAGCAAGATGCAGGCAATACGGATGACCTGAATGTGAGTTGTAGAAGATAGTAAAGCTTAGTTGTATCCTCTAGATGAATTTCCTTTAAATATGGGAGACTAATTCCATTATGTTCTCTTCTCCTCGCAGGAAAGTCGCGACTCTCTGCCCACGAAACGATCAAAGAACGCCAAGGATCACCGCATTGTGAGCCACCACCACCAAGAGGACAACAGCACAACTTCCGGTGAGTTCAGCCACTGCCATGTCATTTCTGAAAGAAGAACCATTGCCTAGTCCTAAGATCATTTGAGTTATAACCATATATAAGTTGTAAAATGCACCATCAACCAATATCTCGATACCTCTCATGTGCACCCAGCAAAAAATCGAATTACCAACTCAATCCAATACAGAGCCAGGTTAAGTGAAGTCACATTATACATATATTTATAACTACATTCGTTCGACGAATCTCATCTGCGAATATCGGAAAAGCTAAAAGGGATTTTACGCATTTCAATTAGTTGTAGAATCTGAAATCTGAAAAGCTAAGCTCGCGTCGGTTTCTCGCTACTCCCTCTCTCTCGCCCCTCCTCCTTCTCCTCCTCCTCTACAAAGAAAGTGAAAAGAAATGATGAAAAGTGAGAAAATAATACGAAAAACAAAGTGAAGTGTTCTCGTTCGAAGGCATCTCTTGTGACCGTCGGCAGGTGAGTGTCCCCAAAGATGATGATGATGTTGATGATGCCCAAGAAATGCAAATCCACAAGCTGACGAAGAGAATTAAAGAATTGTGAAGTTGAGAATCGGGTTGAGCTCACAGGGATTCATGGCCGACGGGATAATGAAAATATAACCAAGATCAAAGCAGATATAGCTAAACCAAAATTTTCCAAATTCAAAAACAAAAAAAACATACTATATATATCGCGAAAAACTCCTGAAAAATGAAATGCTCTCTATATATCTCTTTCTGTCTCATAAAAAAATGACCATCACCACCGAAAATGAAATGCTGATCTCTGCTGTCCATTTCCGTTCCATCTCCTCCTCGAAACAAACATGAAACAAAAACCAAAACAACATGTATGAAAAACTGATCAACTGAGGAAGCAAAAAAAGAAAAATAAAGAAAACTGAACTGAACTGAAAACATTTCGAACAAACTAAACTGTCGCAACGCGTTGAAAATGGCTTGAAATCCCTATAGCTTTTCCGATCCGATTTGAAACTTTTTCACTCTCTCTCTCTCACTTGCTCTCTCGCGTCATGTGTTTTGCCTTTCTCTTGCATATATACATCCTGCACACACACACACCCATTTGTACACCCACATATCACCTTATTTTACTTGTACTAAGTTTATACGCCTGCAGATTATAATATATTTACAATAATTGTAGGAATTTTGAATTACTTTTTAATGTTTGAAATATTTGTTGATTTTTCCCAATTAAATTTCAAGTTAAAGAGATGATAAATTAAATATAATTAAATATTAACTTTGCTAAATTATAACTGCAATATTTAAAAAGTAAAGGACTCTTTCTGCCTCATAATAAATATAGATAGATATTAATAAATTATTTGAAATATCAAAAGTATGCTATAAATTCTAAAGGAATTTCAAAACTAATGCTATCCTGAACATTATATTTTCCTAAGAAATGTCCATAAATTAAAACATTTTAAATTAATTAATCTGGCGTATAATCATAGTACTTGAAAGTTAAGTAGAACCTCGAGTTAACCAATTTATTTGTGATAATTTCTTTTTAGATGGCAACGACAGCGATGGCGAGCCAATGGACACTTCGTACATGGAACCTCAACTCATGCTGGATGAATACGACGAGCCCGTGGAGTTCAAGTACAATCCCCTCACCGACAACAGCTCGCCCACACAGGATCAGACGGACGGCAGCCACCTCAACGAGCAGGCGCGCCAGCAGGCCTTCCTCATAGCCGCCCAGCGGAAACATCAGGCGGACACAGCAGCAGCAGCGGCGGCTGCTGGCGGCGGACTCAAGCTCATCGTTGGAATGGCAGCTGGCGGGGCGCAGGTAAAGAGCATGGTCAGCATACCCAAGCTGACGCCTATTGGCAAGGTCAATGCAGCATCCACGCCTCTCAGCTCGCCCGCCGCCTCCTCCTCCGTGGCAGCGGCTGCAGTGGGAAAGCCTCGCGTCCAGAAACGCCCAAAGCTGGGGAAACAGAACGGCGACGTGAAGCCGACGGCCGTGTTCACCAGCCAGGAATACCTCGACCTGTACAATAGCAATGATGGCTTTAAGTTCAAGGCCGGCTCCCTGAGTGGCAGTACGCCCAACTTGAGCAGCGGCGGCGTGGGCACGCCCTCGGTGAAGACCAAGCTGAATCTGAGCAGTAACGTGGGCGAGGGCGAGGCGGAGGGCTCGGTGCGGGACTATTGCACCAAGGAGGGCGAGCACACGTACCGCTGCAAGGTCTGTTCGCGCGTCTACACGCACATCAGCAACTTCTGCCGGCACTATGTGACCTCGCACAAGCGCAACGTCAAGGTGTACCCGTGCCCGTTCTGCTTCAAGGAGTTCACGCGCAAGGACAACATGACGGCGCACGTGAAGATCATCCACAAGATCGAGAATCCCTCGACGGCGCTGGCCAATGTGGCGGCAGCGAATCTCGCCGGCCAGCCGCTGGGTCTTTCGGGGGCTTCGACTCCGCCACCGCCGGATCTGAGCGGACAGAACTCGAATCAATCGCTGCCCGCCACCGGCAATAATGCGCTCTCCACCTCCTCCTCCTCGTCGACATCGTCCTCCAGCGGTGGCTCTCTGGGCCCGCTGACAGCGTCCACGGCACCGCCAGCGCCAGCCGCAGCGGCGCAGTAATAAATCTCCGAACCCAACCTCACTCCAAGTCCAAAAAGAAGGAAATCAAGGAAAGTTAGGAAAGAATAAGATGAGAAAGAAGGATGATAAGTAGACAAGCGATAGCACTCAAAGAAATAGTGGAGCAGGAAAGAATAATCATAAAGGAGAGGAGAGGAGAGGACAGGTGGCAGCCGCTAAGGAAACACGGGAGGAATCTGGTTGCAGCGCATGGCGCTCTTCGCGATTTTTTTGTTTGTTTGTTGAGAGAGCAGCAGCCTAAGCAATTAAAGTAGATCTTTTTTTTGTTGATTTTGTTTTTAGTTTTTTACTTGGCTTTGATTAATTATTATTAAACATTTTTAAAACGAAAAATAACGAGAAAAGAGAAAGCGATGGCCAGCAGGTCGTCGTCGATTTAAGGTTATTTTACATTGTGCAATTATAATTCTTCAATTACAACTATCCGACTCTCCAGTTTTGGAATTTTGTATTTTCTTTTCTGGACCTAAACCTCTCCTAGGGCTAAGCTAGGACCCTAAAATAATCCTAACCCGATTATTGTAATTTATACACCCGAAAACAAAGGAATATCAACGAGTATACCTTTTTTTCTATTGGACACCGCAGCGGCCTTACCAAGCATCCATTCGGGCAAAGTTACACTAAACAAACTAAAAAACAAACACAGAAACCCGCACTTTTAGATAATTAATCTATATATATATATATTAAAATATATATACAGATATGTTATACATAATTATAAAGCTAAAATAACTATAAATATTGAATGGTATGTCTAGCCCGTAGCTCTATTAATTAATTTATCATTATCACTATGTTACGCTAATGTTAATACTAAATAACAATAATATTACAAGCCGAAATCGGAAAGGAAGCAGGAGGAGAATCCATGTATAATGTTAATTAATGCGAGAGGGAGCGCAAATCTACCTTGTTGCCTTCAAATGAAGCTAGTTAAAAGTTAAAGCAAGCGAGTCTGGGCCAAGGATCCCCCAAGGACCCCCAGAACTCCTCCTATATAGTTTCCCCCTGCAAATATCCCACAGTAAACATAGAGGAGAACCCATTTAATGGGGTCGATCGATAAAACGATCAACTATAGACACACAAAAAGCAACAATAAATACTGTAATTTAAAGCTAATAATAATGGTATATATAATAATAATAATAATCATAATAATAATATAATTTATCAATCAATCAAACGATTTATATGTTGTATATCGGAGGCTTAAATTATCGCCAAAGAAAATGAAAGAAAATCAAAAACAAAACCTAAACGAAAATGCAGTTGAAAAATCTAACAATACCGTGGCAAAAGCAGCAAGCAAGCAAACCAGGAAAAACACACAGAAAAACGATCTCCAAACTTAAAAAAACAAACAAAACAAAAAACAAAAACACTTGAAAATGTTAAAAATATGCAAGTAATTCCTCAAAAAGTCATATTTGTTGCAATTCGAAAACTAGTTTAAACAAAATATACAAACTGAAAACTGCTAGAGAAAATCTGAAACAAAATTAAGCGCAATCTTAAACAAACAATAAACAAGCTGCGTACGCTATTTATTAAATAATATTTGTTTTTAATTTTTTATTTAGTGGTAGCTAGTGCAATTTAGTCCGTAAGCAGCCGTCTTTTACCCGAAATCAAAACACCTTTAACCACCAAAACCAACACCAATCTCCAATCTTCCAAAATCTTCTCTTTTGGCGTTAATTTTAAACAATCAAACAACACACGCATATTGTTTGTACTCTATTTTACTTTATTTTTAGTCTACTTTTTACATAAACACATAAATATATATTTACATATATTTTTGCAAAAAAAACTAAAAAAAAAAAAACAAAGCTTCAGCAATTTTCTCGCTTTCAAAAAAAATATATCCAAAACTCGAAATCTATGAGAGGAATATTTTATAAATATATATATATATACACCTTACACATAATATATATAGAGTGAGTCATGCTTTGATGCCCAAAGAAAAGAATAATAAGAAAAACAAAATATATAAAGAAATGCAAGGCAAAAAATAAACACAACAAAAAACATAAAAAAAAAAACAAATCTTTCATATGGAAATGAGAAAATTGTCTGGAATTGTTGGTGAACATGGTTTTCCATTTAAATTAGCCAATTACGAAACACACACACCTTTTACGATATATATGTATAATACGTTAAACATAATTACTAAATAGTGAATCACACACACGCAATATTAATCAAGCAAAACATTTATTATATTATATATCGTTTAAAACTGACCAACAGAAGAAAATAAAAGTAAACACAATTGAAAACAAAAAAAATAAATATAAAAAAACACTTAAAATCAGTTCTGAAACACAAAATTGATTGGTTTTATTTAGCAGTATCCAGCTACATGGGATACGAATTTCGGTCAACTAATATATATTCTTTTGATTCCGCTCTCGATAATATATATAGTTATATTAACTAAATAATTAAGAAGGGAGTAAAAATGTTAGTTTTTGTTCCTCATCCGGAATAAAATAATAAGAATCTCTCTCTGAGTGCAGTTTAAATAAGTCTCCCGCTTGCTGCTAAGTGATGTACATTGCAGGCAAGGCGGGCATGATTATAACGATGATTAGCATTATAATTTCAGTCAGAAGCTTGAAACTAAGTGAAGGAGTCATTTCCGACCCTATACATCATATATATTCTTGATCAGCATCGAAAGCTGAGTCGATCTAGCTATGTCTGACAAAAATTTAATTTTTTCCAAATTTTGAAAATTTTATAAGGGGTTACATCGTTAAAGTTAAAAAAAAAAAATGGATAAAAATTCAAATTTTAAAAAAATGTAAATTAAGTATGCAGATTTATAAAGCAAATAAAAACTAACATGGGACAGCTTTCCGAATTAAATTTAATGATTTTTTGGCTTAGTTATGATATTTCAAATACTTCAATTTACCTTAAATAATTAGTATATAAAAATTACAGATTTAACACTTATATTTTAGGTTGTCTCGGAAAAAGCCTTCGGTTTACTAAAGTTTATAAATAATGACCGTTAGAATAAATATATATAAATAATATTTTAAAGCTTTGAATTAATGTTTTTGAATTTCTCTATCTGCAGTGACCACCAATCAGGCGACTCCTGAGCTCTCCCAACGGCTTTTTGGCTCCACTTCGACCACAATCTCTGCAGCTCCCAAGGCATCTACCACCAGCAACACATCTGTCCCGGAGCCACTTCCCCTGCTTGAGATTAGCGACAACAGCGACTCGGCACCGGTGCACTTGCCCACTATCTTGGGGCTAAAGATAAGAGCCATTAATCCACCAAATCCACCGACGCCGACTCCGCCCACGCAGACACCGCCACAAACGCCATCGAAATCGAAGCCGAAGACCAAGCAGGGCAGCGGCAACACGAACTCCTTGCTGAAGCAGCAGCTACGAGGTGGTGCCAAGGATCCAGAGATACCACTGGCCCCCAGACGAATCACAGTGGCCGTTTCGCCCAACTCCACTCTCAGCATCGAGGAGAATGCCACCAAGGAGGTGGCGAGGGCAACCCAGGAGGAGGTCAATGCCTGCAGTGGCCTGCAATCGCTGGCCAATGCTGCCGAACAGCAGGCGGCTCAGGTGCACCACCAGCTGCTCCTGCACATGGCGGTAAATAATCCCATGCTTAAACCCACCGATTACTACCAGCAGCAGCAACAACAGCAGCAGCACCAGCAGCAGCAGGAGGCTTCTCCCTCCAGTGGTGGCCAGTTTATGGACGATGACATGGACTTCCTCATGCACGAACAGCCGTTGAAGGATGACGAAGCCGATCATGAAATGCTAACCTTGGCCGATGAAAACGCTGGATTACCCGGCTATCAGGATGAGCGCTCCAAGCACGACGAAGACTCGCCCGAGCCAGCACCGGTTCCTACTCCAAGGAGCGGCAAAAAGGGAGCCAAGCGACCCATTCAACGACGACGAGTGCGCCGCAAGGCCCAGTCCACCCTGGATGATCAGGCCGAGCACTTGACGGAGATGTCCGTGCGGGGATTGGATCTCTTCCGCTATGCCAGTGTGGTGGAAGGTGTCTACCGGTGCACCGAATGCGCCAAGGAGAACATGCAGAAGACGTTCAAGAACAAGTACAGCTTCCAGCGGCATGCCTTCCTCTACCACGAGGGCAAGCATCGCAAGGTCTTCCCCTGCCCTGTCTGCTCCAAGGAGTTCTCGCGGCCAGACAAGATGAAGAACCACCTGAAGATGACGCACGAGAACTTTACGCCGCCCAAGGACATCGGTGCATTCAGTCCCCTGAAATACTTGATAAATGCAGCGGCTGCCGGCGATATGCATGCCTCAATCGCCTATCAGCAGCAGCAGGAACAGGAGCAGGCCCATTACCAGAGGCAGTTGGTCGAACAGGAGCAGCAGCAGCAGCAGCAGCACAACGCCTCCTTTGACAACCAGGAGGATAGCTCGCAACTTCTCCTGATGCCGGATGTGAAGCTCGAAGACCAAGATGCTGACGATGTTGGGCTCAACGATGGCGGCGGCTACGAGGCCTCATCGAATCCAGAGGCCGCTGCTGCCGCCATGCTAAGCCTGCAGCAAGATGTCATCATTAAGAATGAGATACAGATCTCGCCGTCGCCTTCGCCCACGCCCACCGTAACGCCGCAGCCGCCCAGCTCCTGCGCGGTGGCGGAGGGCAAGTCCTTGGCACTGGCCACCACCGCACAAACCGCAACGTAAAGACTTTGGCAACGCGCACAACGCAACGTTTTACCTTAAAGAAAAAGAATGCGAGGTCTGAAACTGAAACTGTAGAATACTTCATAGATACATTTAGTTATAGATGATAAGCGATCGTGGCAGACTCAAATCGGTTAGTTAAATTTACTAGACTAAACTGAATGGTAAACGCATAAGCAATATTATTATAACTACCAACTAGTAAGTGCTCCGTCCAGCCTTTCACAAGCAAAACTAACTAACTAATAAGTAATATTTAATTTTTAGCTAGAATATAATTTTAAAACGACGCACACACTAGGGATGTTTCATGAGAAATTGACCATCGATCGATATTCTGTTTGATTATATAGATATTTTAACGTTCGATATAACTACATCCCTAGTACACAGTAAACTTTAATGACTTTCGGCTTTAATTATAAACAAATTTTTGACTGGCTCTCAGCATGCGAGCGCTCTCTTTTATAACCTTTTCCATTTCTCTTTTATTTGTGATTTTGTTGACCCTATTTTATTTAGACTTTCTAGTATCTTTTTGTTTTTATTGTATATATTATTACACATTATATACACATGTATTGTTTAGTTTTGTTTAATACTCAAAGTCCGTAGTATAATTATTTTGTTCAATTTCCTTGGCAACAAGCTGAAATTCAAATGTATTTGGCTATTTGTGCAATCATCAAAACGAGTTGGGGCGGAGCCGAGATCTGCAAAGGTTGCCTACCCCCAACACAAAATGTTGTAAACTTAAACACTTAATTTACTTAACTAGGCTCTAATTAATCTATTAATTTATATCCTTAAGGCCAGCGATCCAAGCAACAAAATGCGCAATGGACTTCCAGTGAAGAAGAAATTAACTGATATTTATACGGAATTATGTATTATGATATATGATATATGACTTTAACAACAACCGATTACTTAACGCAACAACTACGACTTACAACTCACTCACAGAATATGCGCTCAACCTTTTAGATATTTTAGTTGGACAAGTCTTCTAGCCGTAACTCTTCGCGAAGAGAATTGAGTTCATTAAATAAAGAGAATTTTTACTGAAAGAATTACATCACTTAACTTGAAAACCATATAAACTTTAGATATTATGTTCCCTAACATTTATTGCATTTATCAGCACGCATATATCTTAAGCTATAAATCTACTGATTATTGGCCCTGCGGTACCAGAACCGAGCCCGAAAGTCATCGGAGCAGGTGAGAAAGGCAGGTGCATTCGGTGAATGGGTGATGTAACGCACCGGCCCGTTGTGGCCCAGAGAGTTGAGGGTCAAACGGCAGCCATTTCGCGAATTCCACGAGCACAGCGACGTGGTGGCCTCGTCCGGAAAGAGGACATAGTCCTCGGTGTGGTTGAACACGGCTTCTGTTTGGTGCTCCTGCTTGCCAGTGGTTCCAGCACCCGTGTACGTCTGGATCGGGCGGCTGGTGCAGAGTTCCCACAGATAGACAAGGGAATCCATGCCGGAGGAGAGGAGATACTAAGGGGGTAGCGAAATGTTTATAGGATATCTGACAAAGCCGATGTTCTTACCTTTCCGTTCCGGGTAAACTCCAGCGAACAAATGGCCGCTCCGCCATGCGCCTCGGCAATGGTGTTGATGCAACGCCCGCTGATGCCGTCCCAGACCTTGATGTCGCCGTCGTAGCTGCCCGTGGCATACAGCTTTGCGGTGGGCGAGTACTTCACGCAGGTCACGCCCGCCTTGTGCTGCTGTGAGGGAATGGCGCTGACGAAGCACTGCGTGGTGTGCACATCGTACACGCGCAGTACGTTGTGCTCCGTCCCAATGGCTATGTAGTCGCCGGTGGGGTGGAAGGAGAGGCACAGCACCGGCTCGCAGTCGGTGAACACCTTGTGGGCCTTCTTCACCGATGGCTTGGCGATATCGAACAGCTTGACGGTGCCGTCGCGCGAAGCCGAGGCCAGGATGTGCTCCTTGGGATGGAATTCCAGGTAGGACACCTCGTCCGTGTGATCGTACAGCGTTCGTATGACCGGATGACCCTGCTGCTCGCGACCAGGCTCAATATCTTCGGGCGCCGACTTGGCTAGCATCCGTTCCACGTCCAGAATCTTGATGCTAGCGTCCACACTGCCGGTGGCCACCAGGGAGCCGTCGTAGCTGAAGGCTCCCGCACGACAGGCTTGCTTGTGCGACGTCACGTAGGCAGTTTCGTAGGAATGCGGCTCCGGCGCCAGTGCCGAAGCCTCCGGCTCGAACTCCAGATCAATGCCCGGCAGCACGTCGTCCGATTGGGTTTTGTCCTTGTCGCTCAGCGTCTGCATGCCGGCGATCATCACGTGGAGGAGGCGCTCGCTAGGAGCACACTGATCCGCCTTCACCAGCATGGACAGCTCCATGGCAAACTTCTCCAGACCGTCGTACATTAGCTGGCTGATCATCAGGCGGTAGAGAATCTCCCGGTTCTTGACCAGGTTGCTGGGGTCCAGGATTTCGTCGCGCATAATGGCTGGTTATTATTTTTTCGGATATAAACAAAATTTTCGCTGTAAATAAACGCCGGCACTCTTGAGTGACTATCGATAACGAACGGTCGGTAAAGTAGTATCGATAGCAGTAAGCTCAGTATTTTTGTCTTTTTTCATATGATATTACGATAATTTTGCGATACAGTCACACTAAACAGCTGCAACACGTGCGGCTTCGAATTGTTTTGCTTTTCAATTTTTAGGTTTTTTACTAATTAAACACCTTTACCATGAAGATTCGCAAGAACCATAGAGGCAAACATTACCGCTATAATGTGAACCGCAAGACGCTGAACAAAACGCGCAGCTCCACTGGCAAGATCAAGGAGTAAGTTGTTCTTTTCGGCAAGACCCGCCTCTTACCCTGTGTTTTCATTGCCAGTCCCAAGCTCAAGAAGATGTGGATGGAGAACCAACGCGTGGGCACAAACTTTGCCGAGATGGGTCTCGCCAAGGATGCCAACAAGGCCATTGCTATACCGAGCTACAAAAAGGACCGCCTGTATGCGGCAAAGGTGGTCAATGGCTTTATCGAGGAGGAGCTGGACGAGGACGAGCGCCGGGTCTTGGGCCTAAAGAAACCACCTGTGGAGGAGGCACCAAAGCGGGGGCATGTTGTCCAGGAGCTCGAACAACTGGCCAGCGAGCGGGCAGATCCGGAATTTAGGTAGTGCCAGCAACCCTCTAGTATAAAACTAAACTAATGAATACCCTCCAGGTTACCCAAGGGCGTTGTGAAGGAGCTAACCTACTTCCTCAACAAACACAAGTTCAACTACAAGGCCATGGTCACGGATCGTAAGAATTTCGGCCAATGGACCTGGCGGCAGTTTCGCCTGAAAATACGCAGGTTCATGGCCATTCCGGAGCAGTTCAACGTTTATCTGGAGCAGAAGAAGTTGCCCGTTGGCGTTAAGCCCGATTGGGAGGAGTACGAGTCAGACAGTGAATGGACCTTGTAAATGAGTGGGACAGACCTATCATATGCTTGTGTAATGCCTAGATTTATCTTCTATCTTTAAATAAACTGAGAAATAGGAACGTGAAGAAAACAGCTTTAATTTAAAAACAAAACATCTTTAATGTTTTTGCTTAAAAATGTGCTTTATACGCTTTATTTAATTTGCTTGACCGTTTAACAGGCGTTACATTTTTAACAGAATTTGGAAATTAAAACACGCTAAATCCGGTGTGAAAATAGCTAAAGAAGATTGTTCTTTACACGTGTAAAATGTAAAATGTTAATCTTAACACCGGAATGTTAATTTTTTTTTATTAAAATGGACTTAATAAATCTAGAAAATGAAAGTGTTGGTTATTAAAATAAATTAAAAGTTTTAAGTAGTTTTAATGTTTTGTCGCCGTATTCAAATTATTATATTCTTTTTAATTACATATATTTATTTTTTCTGTTAAAAGCTTTTTCAAACAATAAGAGAGATGTAATATACGTTATATTTCTTAATATTATATAATTTAATATTCTATAATTAGAATATAAATTAAAATAAGCTATTTTTAAGGTTTTAATCTGCTTGGAGCCTTCATAAGCTATGCCATTTTCAAATATGCCAGATATAGTAGCCGATGTGGCAACAGTGGCTCGTTCGTTTCCCCGATTTCTGTCTTTCGTTTTGTGTTTCCCGATTTCGGCCTTTCCGTTTTGTGATTTCGTAAGGTAAGGTTCGTAGCCAGCTGCAGCTCCCGAAAAAATCCTTAAAAATTGCCAATATTAATAGGCATCGATTGACTTTCTAATTGTGCTTTAACCCGACGAGTGCAATTTTCGCGAACCTTCGGTTTATTTAGACGGATTTTCATCGATAAAGAGGTGAAAAAGGAAGTTTTTCTTGACATTTTTAGAAAGTTGTGAGTGTGTGTGTGTTTGAGATTGCATTGCCGGCCGGTACCCCATGACGTTTTGCATAATAGGCTGCATGGAAATAACGGTGGGGAATCCATCGATCCAAGTTTGGTAATTGGAGGAGCTCCCTCCCCGTTAGATTTAACTGAAATTCCGGAAGACTGGCGAATTCCAAAATGGCGGCGGCAGTGCATGTGCATGTGTGTGTGTGTTCGATTTGCTTCGATTATGCATTTCTCTTAAATTTCTCACGCTTTTTCTGCTGGAATTTGCATGGGAATCTTTTGCAGATTATTGAAAATTAATGCACTTGACACATGCTCGGCAGATTTTCTTTTCAGTACGTTTGTGTGTGTGTGTCTGTCAGAGTATTTTTACATATCCCTCCTTCCTCATTTGCTTCTTCATTTCTTTTTCTTTCTTGCATTTTGCACTTCGATGCAAAATACAGAGATTTAAAAATAACATGCAGGAAAATCGGCAAGTAAAATTGTCACTAGGGTAGAAAATAAATCACAACGCCCTATAGGCGTGTGTTTGTGTGTGTGCAAGGAAAGAGAGCCCCATCTCGTTTTTTTTTTTCGTCTGTCTCTCGCGACAAATGCAGTCTGCGGCCATTTCGGCATCTCGCTCTCCCGCCCGCCCTGCCTGCCCGTCCTCTAGCTTTTTGCCTGTCTGTGCATGTGTGTGCCGTGCAATTTTTCACCCTTTGAAATCGCGAATTTTCTGCCGAATGCCTATGCTTTCCTTCGATTGATTTTGATTTACTGATTGCTTGCCATTTCGTGCATAAAGTAGCTTATTGCAAAAGTTACTTTGTATCTTCGTCGAAGGGAATTTCCGCATTGAGAAGCCGGCCGGTGATTTTCGTTACCCCAGAGCTTTTTGGCTCCATGGTGGTTTGGGGTTAATGGTCGTCGTCGTCGTCGTCGTCTGGCTGGAGAGAATGCATTTTCTCAGAGCTCCGGTGCTCTTCGGCTCTGCTCGTTTTCCGTCTGGGCTCGTTATTGATTTTTCACCCGGTGAAAATCGGTATATCTCCTCTGCATTACGGCAGTCTTCAAACCGACGGACACTTGGCTTGGTCGTTGTCCGGGTCCCAAAAGTACGGAAGGAATCCCTTGAAACGCATATTATTTCACAATTTTCTGTAACACAACTGTGCTTGTTTTATTTTTCCAGGATAATTGCGTCCTGTGGATTTGTGATCAGTTTTGCTAGCCCAAAGCATAGCCTGCGAGCAGCTCTATAAAAAGTCTCAGTTAAAAAGGTAAGCTTGATTTTTCCTTATTTAATCCAGGAAATATAATGAAAAAGATAGGGGGAAAATAGGCTTTGAAAATCGCCTTTAATAAGTTTTTGTTTCGTTATATTTCTTTGTGACACTGGGAAAAATGGTCCACTTAAAAGTAAAGACTACAAATTAAATAATTCATCCAAGAAATTCTCTAAGAATATAAAATAAAATAACACATTTAATGTAACATAGTTTTGTTTAATTTGATTAGTATTATCTAGAAATTCTGCGCAATCATTAATTTAAGAAAATGTTCAATATATGACATAAAAACCTATTAAAATATCCCTTAACTTAGCTTAAATAATTATTTATATATTTTGGTTTTTGCAATATTATTTTCCATCAAATTTTTTCTCTGTATATATCTGTGCATGTGTAAATGCAACGTGCTTTGTGTGTCTATACCACGATGACATGACCCACACCCACCGCATACATACGTCATAGGTCTGCAGAGCCACCCACAGACCTCCACCTCCCAAACCCTATGATATATAAAATATATTTTCCCACAAAACCTAAATTTTTCATTTGGCTTTCCCCTTTCAGCGTTCAAGAAAAAGGCTCATAGAACCCTTCTTTCAACTCTGCAAAGATGGGCAAGGAGAAGATCCATATCAACATTGTGGTGATTGGCCATGTGGACTCTGGCAAGTCGACGACCACCGGCCACCTGATCTACAAATGCGGAGGCATCGACAAGCGTACGATCGAGAAGTTCGAGAAGGAGGCCCAGGAGATGGGCAAGGGATCGTTCAAGTACGCCTGGGTCCTGGACAAGCTGAAGGCGGAGCGCGAGCGCGGCATCACCATCGACATTGCCTTGTGGAAGTTCGAAACGGCCAAGTACTATGTGACCATTATCGATGCCCCCGGGCATAGGGACTTTATCAAGAACATGATCACCGGCACCTCCCAGGCCGACTGTGCGGTCCTGATTGTGGCCGCTGGCACTGGTGAGTTCGAGGCTGGCATCTCCAAGAATGGCCAGACCCGTGAGCACGCCCTGCTGGCCTTCACGCTGGGCGTGAAGCAGCTCATTGTGGGCGTTAACAAGATGGACTCCACGGAGCCGCCGTATAGCGAGAACCGCTACGAGGAGATCAAGAAGGAGGTGTCGTCGTACATCAAGAAGATTGGCTATAATCCGGCCTCGGTGGCCTTTGTCCCCATCTCGGGCTGGCACGGCGACAACATGCTGGAGGCTTCGGACAAGATGGGCTGGTTCAAGGGCTGGACCGTGGAGCGCAAGGAGGGCAAAGCGGAGGGCAAGTGCCTGATTGACGCGCTGGACGCGATCCTGCCGCCGCAGCGTCCCACGGACAAGCCGCTGCGCTTGCCGCTCCAGGATGTCTACAAGATTGGTGGCATCGGAACCGTACCCGTTGGCCGCGTGGAGACTGGCATCCTCAAGCCAGGTAAGCTTCGCTGCTCCGTCTTGATTGGGTCTATTGTTTTTCCGGGTCGAGTGGGAGGTGCCTCTCTCTCACTCTCTTTCTGTCTACCCTTTGATTATAATATTCATTCATGTACTCCTTGGAATTTGGGTCGGCTGTGAGAGGGAGGAGGCCCTCGCACTCCCTCGGCTTTCCACGATGCCCTGCGCATGTATGCATTATTGAGCGAGTGCCTCTTCCGAGAGCGAGTTGGGACTGCACCTCCAACCCCTGTGAGCAGTGATAAATTAAGGATGTCATTCGCTCTGGGAGCGCACTGCTAAGAATATTACGTATACGCACAGAATATATTTCATTCCATTCCGTTGCAGGCATGGTCGTCAACTTTGCTCCGGTCAATCTGGTCACCGAGGTGAAGTCCGTGGAGATGCACCACGAGGCTCTCACCGAGGCCATGCCCGGCGACAATGTCGGCTTCAACGTGAAGAACGTGTCGGTAAAGGAGCTGCGTCGCGGTTATGTTGCCGGCGATTCAAAGAACAATCCTCCTAGGGGAGCTGCCGATTTTACCGCTCAGGTAAGGGAATCCTGTATTTGTTAGTTAAGAATGTTTTAATGCAAATTTCATTGGAATTTTCCAGTACTTTGTTGCCCCTTTAAAGATTTTCCCATTGACTGGGTGTATCCCTTCTTTTATTGCAGGTGATTGTGCTTAACCATCCTGGCCAAATTGCCAACGGGTATACTCCGGTTTTGGATTGCCACACGGCCCACATAGCCTGCAAGTTTGCCGAGATCAAGGAGAAATGCGATCGCCGTACCGGCAAGACCACCGAGACTGAGCCGAAGGCCATCAAGTCCGGTGATGCGGCCATTATAGTGCTGGTCCCCAGCAAGCCGCTCTGCGTCGAGAGCTTCCAGGAGTTCCCACCGCTGGGTAGGTTCGCTGTGCGCGATATGCGTCAGACCGTGGCCGTGGGTGTTATCAAGTCGGTCAACTTTAAAGAGACGACCTCGGGCAAGGTAACAAAAGCCGCTGAGAAGGCACAGAAGAAGAAATAACTAGGGTGCCAGCAGAACTACGACAACATCATCACTCGAATCCAACAGCAGACGGCTAGAGCAACAACACCAGCAACCAAAACAGCAGCAAGAACACCAGAAGCAACATGCACACATCTAAACTTTATAATATCCAATCGACGATCAAAAGCAAACAAGAACTACCTTAGCTCCAAGAAGACGACACCAATCAACAGGCATATATTATATGATATCGAGGAGATGCCACAGATACTACGATATATAATAATCCCACAAACAAATATTAGCCAGGAGGACAGGAGCTGCAGCACATTGGCCGCCTTTGCGGTGCTCGTAGTGGTTCACTGCCTCATCTATCTAACTTTGTATCGCCATCGCAAGTCGTTCCGCAGGAAACCCACTGGGGCATTGAAGCTGTAGCTCCTTCAGTATATACTCATCTACAAAACTAAGCTTAAATTTGATTAGCAGCCACAGCCACACACACATCCTGTCGTGCATCATCCACCCGAGTCTCGAATATGGATTTTAAACACTTTTTATACTTTTGATAAGTCAAGTCGGAGGCATTCGATTTAAAATCTATTATACGATGTAATTTCCGAATTTAGTTTTAAACCACCCTACACCCAAACCTAAAAAAACCAACAAAGACTACATTCGTAATGAATTCAAAATTTTCTCTTGAAACCAAAAGACAAATGCTTAAAAAGTATTAAAAAAAGAATGAAGGAAAATCATCACAACACTCACACACAACATAATCATGCGGTTTTTGAAAACATTTTAAATGTTAGATCGAGCCTCATTTAGCATTTGCGTACTTAAATTACATAATATACGTTAACCATTTCATCGTTCATCATCTCCCATATATAATTCACGTTACTCTCTCACAACTCGGAATTTATAAACAAAACGTAATACCAGAACAACCATTCATATATGGATACAGAACATGTTGCTTGATACAAGATCTTTTAAATGATGAGAAAAATAAAGGAAGCTTAACCGTAAACTACCAAAATAAATAAGCAAGTCGTTTTATTAATGAATTTTGGCATTACCATGGATTATTTAACTTGCATTTTCAAATCTATATAATGATGATAGTAATAATTTCCTATTTGAAATTAACGTATTTTTAATCGATAGAACTATGGGTGGACAACTTAAAAGAATCGATAGCTGCTAAATACACGTATTTTTAATCGATAGCTGTCAATTTAATGAACTAGAGGTGGGAAGCTTGGAAAATTCGATAACTGCGAATATCGGTGCTCTGCCACCTCTACTTCTGAGTCACTAGGCGGCTTTTATAAAAACAACAATAAAAAAAATCTCAGCCGCCTGTTCTCAATTAAAACGTCAAATTGTGACTCAGACTAGAAATTGCCGCGTCGTGAACAAATAGCTTTAGTCGAGCGAATAAATTTCCTGAAACAAGTCAAACATGGCTGATCCACGCATTCGTCAGTTGGTAATCAAGACAGGAGTCGTTAAGCGCCTGTCCAAGGAGAAGTCCGTGTACGAAAAGGAGGTCCTGACGGAAAAGGCCAGGATGGAGAAATTCAAGGGCGAGGGTGCCGATGACCATGTCCTGCGCAAGCAGGAGGAAGTCATTGCCGAATGCGAAATGATGATCCCCGACTCCAAGAGGAGGTAAGTTCCGGTGACATCTCGTTTGGGCTGTACGTCTAATCGTTCTCTTATTTGGCAGGCTGCAGAAGGAGTTTGAGGTCTTGAAGAAGTATCTGGATGATGAGCAGGATCTGAAGGAGACGGAGGAATACTCCAAGGCTGCAAATGTCCTTACAGAGGCCAAGGCGGTCCTAGAAACCTAAGAACAAAGTGACAGCGGCGCACATTCCCCTTAAAACTCCGCAATTATTGCATATTACTGAGTGCATCAGCCCTTTTATCCAGTGTTGGCTAAGCTGGAGACCTCAAGCTGCTGAGCAGCCTTTAATTCTAAAGTATTTGCAGCCTCTTTTAGATTTAATACCCCATTTTGTTCGGATTTATAATAAAACAGAAAATATAACATTCAAAACAAAATCAGCTGTTGCGCTTTTTCGCTATACAACACTTGTTCCCCGAAAAGACGCTTTAAATTTTTAAATACAGATATACGGAAACCTTTTTAAAATATGTTTTTAACAAATTTAAGTTATCCCAAACTTGTTATTTATATATTTAAAAAAATATGGCTAAATTTTACATTTCCCATATTTATTATCACACCTTCGACGTTTAGCAACACTAGTTGACCAAGATGTCGCACAAAACTCTTAAATTAAGCGCTATTAAAGCAAATATACGAAATGTACTTGAAAATATACAACAACTGGAGCACCTGATTGGCGACGACGCACAGGAGTTCAATGCGGAGCAGGCGAAGGAACTGCAGAGCAGCACGACAACCCTGCTGGATGCACTTGACCAAATTCCCGTGGCCAAAGTAGCCGGCATACAAAAACAAAGAAGACGCCGGCGTCGCTTGGATAAACAAAGGAAAAAGGAACTAAAATGTAGGTCCAAGAAACCAAAGGTGGCCTTAAAGAACCTTAAAGAGGCCTTAATTGGACCGCAGCTGACTGAGACCAGAGAGAAACAGGCGGAACACATCTCCCTTAGGAAGCGCCATGACGCCGCCTCCATATTGCAAACATTCGATCTTTTGGAGAAACTGTGCGAATATAGGGGAGGCGACAAGGTAGCTCTCAGCCAAAAGCTGATCCAAATGCGGCTGGTTTGGCGGGGAGTTCAGCAGGAGAACGAGGTCGACCATGACAGGGAGTCTCAGAAGAGGGTTTCCTCAATAGAATCGCAATGGCAGGAGGTTTTCTTTGGAAAATCTTTAGATTTCGTTAGAGAAAACAAGGAAACAATCTGCCAGAGGCGGTAAGAATTGTACAATTCTTCATCTCTATAGTTTTTCCTCATTAAAATGTTGTTTCTTTCAGTTCCATATGGGATTCTTATATAAGCTATGGAGAGAGAGCCAGCTGTATTCCCAGAGGATGGGTGCTACCACCTGAACATCCCTCTGATCTGTGGATGGAATACAGAACTGCGTAAATATAAATTTAATTGCTAAGGAAATCCACTTTAATTAGGAAGAATCAAACGATTAGTAATTAATATTTTGTTTTAGAATTTTATTTCTTTAGAAGAATATCTGTTGTATAGCTTAAATGAGGGGCAAGTGCGGAGTCAACCACGCACAGACGGTGAATTCCAACCGCTTATTCGTAGACCCAATCGACGGCAGCCGGGGTCCAGGTGACCAGCTCCTTCTCATTGAACCACAGAGCGATCTCCTTCTCGGCGGACTCGACGGCATCGGAGCCGTGGATGATGTTGCGTCCGACCTGGATGCAGAAATCGCCACGGATGGTGCCTGGCAGCGAGTCGGCGGGGTTGGTGGCGCCGAGCATCTGGCGACCGGTCTTGACCACATTGAGGCCCTCCCAGACCATGGGCACCACGGGGCCGGAGTTCATGTAGTTGACGAGTCCGGGGAAGAAGGGGCGGGCCGACAGGTCGGCGTAGTGCTTCTCCAGCAGCTCCTTGGAGGCCTGCAACGATTACAACACGCAAAGCGTTATCATTTGATTGCCTTTTTGACCTCTGCTACGGGCAAATTGTCGCCGCACTAATGGCTATGACGCTTGCACCCAACCCAGTGACAGCCGCCACCTTTGAGGTTAGATCGGAAGATAACCCCCGCGTGGGCCATCGATTTTGTTCAAATAATCCAATTATCGCTTTTGCTTACCCAGGTGAACTTCAGGGCGACCAGCTTGAAGCCCTTCTGCTCGAAGCGCTCGATGATCTTGCCGACGAGTCCACGCTGGACGCCATCGGGCTTGACCATGATGAAAGTACGCTCCTTGTTGGCCGCCATCGCTACGGAGATAATTGAGAAAAGTGCCAAAATGGAGCCCAGCATTTGCAGCTTCATGTGTTCCGGTGTGCTTTGCAAAAATCTCGAGTGTCATTCGCCGGCTGGCTGCATTTAGTCGTCGGACCCAGGTGGTCACACTGCAAAGCTCTGAGCACTTAATTTTCTGTTGTTTTAATGCAGGTATTTTTTAATCATTTACCTTTCTTATTTTAACATTTTTTAGTTTAAAAGCTAAAGTTTTATTAATATTTTATTTCAAATCAACTTGATAAAATCTTGAAAAGTTTTGTATATTGATATATTTTAAAAGGTTTTTCGTGAATGATTTATTTTTTTAACAGGCATGAGAATTTTAAAGATTCAATATATATTTTTATATTTAGCTTAAATTCATTAACCCTTCAATTTAATTCAAAGTTTACGTAATAGACAATTCTCGGTGAGACTTAATGGCAATTTCGGAAAAGTTTATAAACAAATTTATTTATCGAGCTTTTTAAAGAAATCGTAACTGCAATGCGTTTACTGTCAAGTAAAAATTGTAGTGGTAGCTTAATATTTCAATTCGAAATCATAATTGTGTAAGAAGCCTCGGGTTACAGTACAGAAAAAAAGAAAAAAAAATATTTTTGGCCTTTTTTGGTATAGTTTTAGTTCTAAAATTTCTTCCAAATTAATTGTAACAAGTTTTTTTTTACATTGTTTGGCAAAGCAAGAGTTTCTTGAAGAGCCAGGGCTGTGGCTTGGAGTTCGGGGAAAATCCATTTCCCAGTGGCTGGGTATAGGTGGATTAGTGTTAAAGCAGATAAGTGGCCCGAGTTACGACCTTTATGGTTTGCCGATCGACTTTTCGCTTTTCCGTGTAAAGCGACTGCCTGGCATGACTCAGCTCCTTGGCGAGCTCCAAGCGAGCCTTCAGGCCCTCGGCATTTGCGGTCATTGGCTTAATCAGCTTTTTATCGTGGCTTTTTTCCACATGCAACCGTTGGTTTGCCCGTTCCAAGTGCTAAATCTCAACTTGCATTTGCTTCTGACCTTCAGCCGGGAATCGATCATGATCTCATCCATCATGGCATTATCCCACGTTTCTTGATCAAGCGCCTTGAACTTGTCCACTTTGATCTCCTTGTTACGCTCCAAAAGCCTTATCCCAGCCGCCCAGCACCAGTTCCTAAATAGGCACCCCCCTTTTTTTTTTATTCATTCTAAATTTAAAATTAAAAAAAAAAGTTGCTTCTGCGCAGTAAGACCGTGCCGCCGGGGTCGTTATTTAGGACTTTTTCGATTTAACCCCCATTCTTTTTGTTTTTGGGGATGAAGCTGTGTGTGTTTGTGTTTTTGCAATTGTTCGACTTGAAAAAAGTAAGTTTCCTGCGAAAGCTCACAGCCCAACCGAGAAAAAGTGGAAAATCAATCATTAATATAATCTCTTACTCCTCTACTCTCCAAAAAAAGCAGCCCCAAGATGGAGGATTGTGAAAGCGATGTCTCACAGTTCATGCTGGACGACCTGCAGCTGGCGGCTGAGCTCGGAAAAACACTGCTGGAGCGTAACAAGGAGCTGGAGACGCAGATCAAGGAGTACAAGTTCAAGGCGGACGAGCAGGAGCGCGAGATTGTGCACCTGCGGAAGCACATAAATGCTATGACCGAAGTAAACGATTCCCGGCTCAAAGTCTACGAGCAACTGGAGGTTGGGATTCAGGACCTGGAGCGTGCCAACCAGCGGCTGAATGTGGAGAAAAGCCGTGATAAAAAGCAAATTAAGCTACTGGCCGCCAATGCTGAGGGCCTGGAAGCACGCTGCGAGGAGCTTGCCCAGCAGCTGAGCGATGCCCGGCAATCACTAAACTCGGAACGGCGAAAGGTCGATCGTTATCAGCAGGAACGCCATAATATGAAGACAGCCGAGCCACCGATCTGCTTCAACACCAATTCACCTATAACCAACGACCAGGAAATGGGTTTTCCCCAACTGCAATCCATAGCCCTGGCCAGTCCCGAGAACATCTCGCTTTGCAATGCTAATCTGGCGCTGAGTTTGGCCGAAAAGACTTCCCTGAAGAGCGAAGACAGCGAGGAGCTGGTCAAGCTGCTTGGTGAAATGGAGACTATAAAGCGGGACTTTCTCACCGAGCAGCAGCGTTGCGCTGAACTGGAGGAGCAGCTGGTGGCCATCATTCAAGAGAACCAGTGCCTTCAGGGCCGCATGGCCGACACCAGTGCCAACCAGGAAATGATGTCCATGCACGAGGAGCTCTCCCTTTTGGACGACGTGCGGCAGGGCCAGATGTGTAGTCGCTGCCTGCGAGACATCAACGAAAGCATCCACAATCTAGACGAGCAGTCATCTGTTGCCCCTACGGAGGAGATCTACGAGGACGACGAGCGGAGCATGCTCAGCGAAAGCACCTCAAAGTTCAGCCACAGTGCCATTGAAGATCGTTTCCGAAAGCCCGGCGACGATCTCCAACTGAACGCCATCGAAAGCTCAAATCCGTACCGCGATCTAGTCGAGAAATATGAGGCACTGCTGGAGGTGCAGCGGACTTCCATCGCCTCGAAAAATCTAGCCGATGCCAAAAAGACAAGTGACTTAAATCCTGCTCCGGCTCTGCAGCCGAAAGAGGACACCATTGTCAGCAGCTCAAAGGAATCTGTGGTGACGCTCAACAATGCGCCCATTGAGTTCTCCGAGGCCGAGACTTCCTCGTCGGGTTTCTCTGACGGAACGGGAAATAAGTTCACCCAGACCGATGAGCGCCCCAGCTCCTTCCTTTGCTCAATCAGCAATGGCAACGATTGCAAGTTCAGTATCTACGATGATGTCAGTCCCATTGAATCTCACTTCCGCAACCGTCCTGAGCACCGGGAGCTCTTCAAGGAGATCTTTGGGGTGCTAAAGAAGGCCGCCGACAACAATGAAAACGAGGATAAGCAGGGAGTCGAGGCGAGTGGTACAGCGGCTGCAGACATCTTAGTGCCTCAGGCTGCCATACCACCCCTAAAGGAGGAGTCTCCCGAGGACTTCATAGACGACACCCAAAGCGTGGTCTCCTCGATCATGTCCAGCCAGTCAATAGCCATTTCCGAGTGCGTGACAAAGTTGGAACGCAAAACGGCCAAAAAGCACATACTATCCGTCTCTAGCTCGTTGAACACCGCCTCCAAGCAGGGTTCGGTCTGTGAACCCTCTACCATGAAGCCCATTGAGGAGAATGGACGTGTGCTGACGCCCCTGAAGCGTGAGCCTCTCGAATACATAACCATAGCAGTTGGCATCAAGAAAAAGAATCGACGAAAGCACCGCAACCAGAGCTCATCCCGTGACCGTGTCGACTTGATTGATTCCCGTGATAATGTGACCCGGAACAGTCCCCTGGCCACCAGGCAGCAGCACCAACACCACATGGGACAGGGCAGTGTCTCGGCCCCACTGAATAGAGACTTTGGACGCGGCATCAGCCGCAGAGGCAATGCTCCATCATCGTCGTCGGCGTTCTCGGGCAACTGGAACGGATCCCCAATGGTGATTTACAACCAAAACATGAATACTCCTCGAACTTCTCGTGGCCACAATACCGTGTCCCAGGATCTGCATAAGCTCAAGAAACTCGATCTATCCTATGCAGAGGTGTTGCGACGCGCCGATCCCCCCTGTGATTATATTCCCTCGAAAATGCAGCATTCCCAGCGACAGCAGCAGAGCAACGGTTCCAACTCAAGGAAGAACCGCCAGAGACGCCAATAAACCTATTTTTAGGAAATTTAGTAATTATTTATGCCCAAACCCGAATCCTTTTATACCCGGCATTTAAATCTTTTTTAATTTGATGTGTCATGAGAACTCTAGTCCGTTTCTAACGCATATAGACAGTTAAATTGCCTCTAATCGTAATCTCTATCTCTATAATCCGGAGTAGCTCGCTGCTTGCTGTTAAAATTGTCTCATGTTTCTCGTAAATTGTGAATACAAACGATACCAACTTAAATTTATAACTAAAAAATCTGCATGACTAAACTAAATATTGTATCCTAACTAGTAAGTCTTTTATTTCTGTAGTACTGTTTTGTGTATTTATTAAGATCTCTCTCTAGTTTACAAATTAATAAAATTACAACCAATGAGGAGATGCATTGACTTTATTTTTCTTTGTTTTCTGTTTTCTTTATGCTTGATGGAGAGAAACTATTCTAAAATTATTATCTTTAGTTTTTCTCTGCAGACACCCAAATAGTCAAATTTTCAAGATATTTTCTGATAAGATTGGGATATTATTCTTGGAAAATATCCAATAAAAGATGACTGGTTGAAGTCTGCAAAAAGGAGATCAGAATTCCTAAAAAAACATCAAAGATAAACCTTTGAAATTCCCAAAATCATGCATCCCGGCATCAATTAAAAAAGTAAACGGCCAGAGAGTCACGTTTCAATTTCGTTTTATAATTCTGATAAGATTAAATCCGGGCAATCTCTGCGAGAGATAAACAATACAAATTAACAAATAGTATATACAGTCAGAAGATGCAAATAATACACAATTCACGCTACTTGGTGCCGTCCAGCTTCGTCAGGCCGTCGGCGTACTGGAACTCCGGGCTGTTCTCATACTCGCACATGTCCAAGGCAATGACGCAGCTCTCCTTAACCACGCGCTTGTCGTCCTCCGCATAACGATTCAGGATCTGAATGCAGTCCTCGGTGGCAATGGCCCCCAGGGCCTCGGCACACTCGTGGCGCACCATCTCGTTCTCCTGACGGTCCTCGAGGTTCTCCTGCAGGTACGGAATGCTGCAGGGTTCTTGGAGTTGTCCCAAAACAAAGGCCACCTCGTGACGGAATAGGGCGGACGAGTCCTTGAGTCCCTCGGCAATGGCCAGGACACTCTCCTCGGTGCGCAGGTTGCGAAGGCTGAACATGGCTCTATAACGATCGAACAGGCTCTGTTTGGCGTCCAGATATATGGTCTTGAGTTCCGCCACGCTCTTAGCTCCTGCTGCCGGCGGTGATGGATCCACCGAGGCGTAGGGATTGTTGTCGTCCACCTTCTGGCCGCTCTGTAGCCAGCGCACCCGGTCCAGAGCTATGGCGCACGTCTCGGCCACCTCCACCACCGGGTCTAGCTTGTACTCCTCCAAAATGGGCAGCACATCGGGGTGACCGATGGCTCCCATGGCCTCCGCCGCCTCGTGCCGCACCATTGGCTCCTGAGTTGTGTCCCTTAGCACCTTGCTGAGTATGTCCAGCGCCTGGGCGTCTTGCATCTGGCCCAGACAGTACGCCAGCTCGTGTTTGAGCAGCGCTGAATCATCGTCGAAGGCTTTGCTGATCGCCTCGATAGCCGTTCCACCGCCGATGTTCTTCAGCGTAAACAAGGCGCGGAATCGCTCCTTCAGAGGACGATCCTTGTTGTTCAGGACCCCGCCGATGGCTTGGATTTGCTCCTGGGATACCATTTCGTTAATGTTTTGTTTTTGATTCAAAACTTTTGAAAAGACTTCTCCGCGTGGTGCGACCGTGCCGATAACCAAAATGCAGGTAATCGATTCATCGGTTCATCAATGCTTTTCCTCAGCTTCCAACCATTTAATGCGTCTGGCAATACCACTTACCATCGATAACACCGATAGCAGCATCGATGTCATTGCTAGCGTTAACAGAAAATTGCTGGTGAATTGAGAAAGATTGTTTAACAGTGCTGGTGAATTAAAATTTTAAGAGACCATACTGTATGTTATTAAGAGCACACTAACCTGGATTCAATTTCAAATAATAAGTAAGTAATGAAAGTAAGTAATGAAAGTAGTTCGTTTTTTAATAATTATGCCAAATAATGGAAGTTAAAAAGTAAACAATTTTTTTTAATGCATATGAAATCGTTAACAGAAAGTTCTGGTGAATTGAAAATCGTTAACAGAAAAGTGCTGTTGAATAGAAAAACGAGAGCTTAACAGAAAATGTTAACAGGGCAATGTAATCTCTGATAGTGACGGCACACCGCCTAGACCGATGACGGAAAATCGAGAATCATCGCACTGGATTCATCTACTTTTTGCGCATCTCTAAAGATTTGCACCTAAAATTTAGTTACGTTTACCAGCGCGGCTTCAAAAAACGCAATAAAAAAGGTTAAAAGCGAACGTTTTAAGGAAAAAACACATCCGCATTATCTGGCCAAGAGCGTTCCGAAGCACCGGTGATAAAGAGCAGGCGTCCAACTCGTGGCCACTGCTCGCAAACGGCATTTGTAAAAGTTGCGCGTTCACGGTATGCCCAGCGTGGCGTGTGTGTCGAGTTTCTTGTAGTTGTGTGCAAGCGATTGAGCAGCGTTTCGAGGAGTTTCGAATTTAGAAATAGCAGAATTGCGAAATAGCAGAGACTATCAAAAACTGAACAATGTCGGAGGCAACTGTGGCGCAAAAGCCGGAGGCTGTGCTGGACACCAGCGTGGAGGAGGAGCAAGACAAGAAAACACCAGTAAGTATTGCCGCCGCGGCACTCACATTTGTATGTATTTGGGGACAATTAGCGCGGCGTAGCGATAACGCACACCAAGGCAGGCTCGTCCGAATTATCTGCTGTGTTTTTCCGAAAGAACTCTGTGGGTGTGCGAATTTTTGTGCATTTTCAATTTCGCTTCATTGTCCATTTTCTATTTACGTTTCTTTCCTTTTTTCAACGTTACTTTGTGCTACCCTCGTGTGCGCGCGCTTTTTCCTTGGTGTGTGCGCGTGTGTGTATACGTGTGGCCGCTGCTACTCGCTGAAGAGGGCAAGAAGAAGAGGTCGTTGTTGTTGGGCAGAGGGGAAGAGCGGCAATCGGCGTTTCTCTTTTGGGCTCACGTTTTGCCGCTGCCGCGTCTCGTTTGTTTTTATTTTTGCGTGTTCCCTTTTCGACTTTTTGTTGTTTGCTGTACTTTGTCATACATTGAGGAATCACAAACACTTGCATCCGCTGGTTGGCGTTTCGTTCGTGTATGTATGCGATACGTTGCGCTCCAGATTCGTTTTTAGTTCTTTATCCGCCGATTTTTAGGTTTTCGATTAGGTTGGTCTTTAATTCCTCATCCTTTCTGATCAGCGGTAATTAGTATAGACTCATTGGTGGCCATTATTTGGGTTCGCATTAGCCGGTTGAATGGGCAATCTGTGTGTGTGTCCGTACAGTGGTGTCACTTGAGAACGCTTGCACTCAAAGATTACAGTGGTTCCCTTTAGAGTAAAAACGTTGATTAGGTAAACATTTAATTAACAATAGAAGGTAGAAATTACGGTTTTACAAAAATGAATAATTGGTTAATTTTAACATTTGTAATATTTTGAAATTTTGAATTAAGTATTCAGATTTATAAAACCTGCAAAAAGTAACATAGGAGTGGTTTCCGAATCAAAATTAATGCATTTTTGGCTTAGTTACGTGATTTTTAAACCGCGTTTTGCAGAACAAATTGCCATATAAAAATATAAATATTATTGACTTAAAAAATGGTATTATAGCTTCAAACTACATGAAGGAGCCATTTTCGACCTTATAAATCATATACATTCTTGATCAGCATTAACAGACGAGTCGATCTGGATATGTAGGAGAATTTAATTTTTTTTTTTTTAATTTTGAAAATTTTACAAGGGGTAACATCGCTAAAATGGTAAAAAATTGTCAAAATTTTTAATATTTTTAAATGTTAAATTAAGGATGCAGATTTATAAACGTAACAAACACTAACATTGGAATGGTTTCCGAACCAAAATGAATACATTTTTGGCTTAGTTATGACATTTATAAACTTTGATTTCTTAAAATTTCCTAAATTGTCACAAAAATATAAATATTATGCACCAAAAAAAATGGTATTACATGTTAGAAGCTTCAAACTACATGAAGGAGTCATTTTCGACCTTATAAAACATATATTTCTTGATCAGCATAAACAGCCGAGTTAAACTTGCTTTGATCCAGCAAAATTTTGTTAAAAATTGACTTGTAATTTTTTCTAAAATTTAAAATTCTTCAAGGGTATAAAACTTCGTCTTCCCTATGTTAGCTTCGTGTCTTGTTTTTTTTTTTTTTTTCTAATCTACGCCACTAACTGATATCTTTCAATTTATTTGTATTATCTGCACACCTCAATGCTTTGTCACTTGTACTCATCGAACACGTTTTTCCTGCCATTACAGAAACGGACTCCCAAACGCCGGTCGTTTATTGAGCGGGCGCAGAGGGAAAGCGAGGAGCTGGTGCGGACTATGGGAGGTAGTCTGGAGCTCGAGGGCGGGCGGCGCACGCGATCTAGTACTCGCGGAACACCGACAAGGGCCAGCGATACTGTGACGCCGCCGCCCAGCAAGAAGGCACGCACATCGCCCGCTTCGGCCACCAAGGCGAGTGGTGGAGCTGGAAAGGGACGTGGGGCACGCAAACTGGACGTGGGCGGTGAAGAGCCAGCCGAGCCAGAGCCGGAAAAGGTACAGACACCATCCAAGGGAAAGGTAAACAAGAACAGCTCAACCATGACTTCAAATACAGCTTGAAACTAATGAACAAACAACCTTTCAGACCCCCGCCAAGAAGAAGGAGGTGAAGAAGGTGGAGAAGCCGGCCAAGGAAGATGAAGTTGTCCAAGCCGAAGTTGAAGCTGAAGCTGTGGCGGAAGTCGAGGAGGCGGAGGTGAAGCCTGAGGAGTCGAAAAAAACAGAAGCCAAGCCCGTTGAAAGTGCAGATCAACCAGATGCTGTGGGAGAACTGCCGGCCGTTGCAGAGGAGGAGAAACAGAACCATGTCGATGAAGCCAAACAAAGCACAGAAGACACCGAGAAGCCAGCTGAGGAGGTGCCAAAAGCTGAAGACCCACCGAAGGAGGCGTCAGAAAACGGTGCTGCTTCAGAAACTCCTGCTGCTCCAGCCGCTGCTGTTGTCTCCGAAGATCCTGCTCCCGCCGCCATGGAGGTGGACGAAGAAGATTCGACTGCAGAGGCCACACCGGTTGCAGTTTCAGAACCAGCTCCAGTTGATAAGAAACCTGAGGAGAAGGTCGAACCTGTTGCTGTTGCAGAGGTGAAGATCACTGAACCTGCCAAGGAACCCACCCCGGAGCCCATGGAGGTGGATGGCAGTTCGAAGAGCAGTTCAGACACAGCTCAAGTCGACACACCCGCAGCTGAGGCCGCCGCCCCAGAGGCAAAGCCTGCACCAGAAATTGCAGATGAGGCCAAGGAATCGAGTACAGTCGATGAAGTGGCCACCGAGGTCAAGGAAGCAACGGTTCCAGAAGTGCCGGCTGCCGAGACTGCCGCCAAGGAACCCGAGAGTCCGGTGGTCGAGCCCACGGAGGAGGTCAAAGAGACAAGCATACCGAAGGAAGCAGATAGTAGCGAGGTGCCCAAGGAGGATGTGAGTTCTGCGGAGCCCAAGGAGGCAGAGAGCGCCACGCCGATTGCCTCCGAAGTTCCAGTCCCAGTCGTCGCCCCCGCCACCAACGATGTTGTCAAGCCCGTGGAAGCCGAGAAGAACGTGGTACTGGCGGAAAGTCCCGTTAAGGAGGCGCAGGCCAAGGCCGAAATCAATGTTAATGGTGAGTGCTGAGAAGAACGGGGGAAAAGATTCAATGAATAACTAGACGCTCTCTCAGGTGAGCCCAAGATCGTCAACAATTCCGCCGATGTCGCTGAGATTGCTGCAGCGCCAAAGGTCTGTAACTAAGGCAGATCCACCGATGGGCAACCACCAACAGCTTGAAGGGGTTGCGGATGTGTACAAAAAGCATCTTCAGCTCGCCCGCCGAGTTGGTTCCTAGATGTCGCCAACTACAAAAGCAAAAATTTAAGAGTTCCCCAAAACAATCCACACAGTTTTTATTTTCTTATTAATTGACTCTAAAATACCTTCAATTTGATGATAGTATCGCGTCGTCCGTATTCGGTTGACGCGAGAGGACGCCATAGGCTGCAATCGATGCTGGACTTTCAATGTTGCACTCTGTGTGCGTCACCTAACTAGACAGACGAACAGAGAAAGGAGTGTCCTTCCTAACCTAACCCACCCACCCACGCCCCACTTTCCCGAACTATTTACACAGACACATTGTGGAATGCATCTTAATATAATATGTATGTGTATAATTAATCAAATTGGAATCAAACAAATGATACATTGACCCGAAATGTATGTAAAATAGATGTTTTTAAATTTTAAGACACATAATATCTCTAATTCTAAACAAAAAAGAAAAACGCACCCTTTTGGACAACCCACACTCAAAAATATAAGCAAACTATATAAAACGCAGAATGATTTTAAACCATTGTAACGACGCAATACAAATGCTCTGCGGCTATTAAGATAACACGTCTCCAAGCATTACCTTAATTCTTTTTTCAATAATTTTTTTTACTTCAAATCCTGTTTTATTTGAAGCATTTTAAGTTCTTTTGAACGGATTAGATGAGCGCGCTCTTTGGAAGAAATTGTTGTGCTAGGTAAAGGTCTCTTCTTTCCTAAACTGAATTCGTAATTATACCTAACATGCTCGAGTAAAGAGAATTGTAAACTTTTTCAATGAAAAAAATAATAAGGCGGAGCAAAACACAAATTCTAATAATATTAATAATAATACATATGATAATGATATATAAATATACAGCAAAAGCGTAAATTAGTTTTGGAAGCCGTTGCAACTGAAATGATCAGTCAGACCGTTTTTGTATGTAGCTTTTCTTCTGTATAAGGCATCTTCATTTGAATATTCTTTTGTAAATAAATCTTTAAAAAATACAAGAGAAAAACCAAGCGATGTTCTTTGTATATACAGATTATTCATTTATTAATGTTTTTAACTTTAATAATCATAAGTAAGTGTATAGCTAGCTCCTTGAGTTGTTCCTATTTTCGACCTGTGACATTTGGCCCTAATTGCAAGATAACTCCCTCTTATCTATTATGATTTCCATAATTATTTCTATACTATTCTAGTGCTAATGTACAAATGTGATGATGGTTTCATTAGGCATCTCTGGCAATGCCATTATTCATCGCCTTCACTTCCTCCTCGTCGGGCAGTGGCGCCTTTAGAGGCAACTCTTCCAACTCCAGAACAGGGCCTGGTTGGTTTAGCAACTTCCTCACAAATGGCGAGTATAGCTTGGGATTTTGCTTCTCATCCTTGGGCGTAGGCCACACATAGCTCATAGGTATGGCCCAGGCGAAGACCAGCAGGGCACCCAGAACCTTGTACCAGTAGAACGAGATGTCGTATATGGAGAAGTCCCGATCGCTGTCAAAGGCAGTGGTCATTGGCTTGGGGGCTGCCAGAGAAGGCAATGGAGTAGTGGTCGAGTTCTGGTTGTTTCTGCAGGTAAGGAAAGTTGAATAAGCCAATCGAAATATGTTTTTTAGTTATTCTTTACTTACATAGCATTCAAGATGACTTGGAACTGAGGGGCATCGCACTTGTCCAAGCCGTTCGGCAGGGGTTCGTACTTAATCAAGCCAGCCTTAAAGTTGAGCTGGCCATTGATGATGATCCACAGCATGCCCAGAACACTGAACGCTATCCCCGTGACCGCCACCTTGGCATTGCAGCGGGGCACAAACATCCCCAGGAGAAACACGCCCACCACGGCGCCCGTATTGATGCCCGTTATTGTCCACATCGTCTGGATGATGGAGTTAAAGTTCTGCACCATGAAGCCGCCCAGGATGCAATATGCACCCATGACAACTATCGTCATCTTCATGATGCCATTGGCCTTGGCTTCTGTGTGGTTAATACGCGGTTTGATGTAGTCAAAGTACACGACGCCGGCAAAGGAATTCAGACTGGCTGAGAGGGAACTCAGGGAGGCACTGAACACACAGGAGATGAAGACGCCGGGCATGCCCATCAGGTGGCCCATAATGTCTTGGATGAAGAATGGCATCAGTTTGTCCGGCTTGCTAACAAGCTAAAAGGTAAATATGAGGTTAAGGTTAAGGTACATAGATAAGGTTCTTCCAAAAATAGTATAAGCTTGAAGGTATATTATGTTTGGTTTCTTTGCGTGGCTTACCCCAGCCTGGATGGGATCACAGCCGTAGTAGTAGGCAAACATGATGATGCCAGCGAAGCAAGTGAAGGACATAACGAGCAGGAAGCCAACGCCAGCCATCAACAGACACCTGGGTTTAAATATAATTTAATATTGGAGAAACTTCAAAGTTTATAAACTCACTTCTTGGCGTGAGTATACGATGGCATGGAGACGATCCTCTGCACGCAGCTCTGGTCCAGACCAATTTTACCCGTCCACATGAGCAGCCCACTGAATATGCCCCCCCAGAAGGTGATACGTAGACGAGGATCCAGACCGAAACTATGGGAAAAAGTTGACTAATATATTGAAACAAATATATATAAGGAAAAAAAACTCACTTAAAATCAAATCGACCGCCCTCGGCAGCATTCCCCAGGACATTGCCCAATCCACCCGTGTTCGAGGTGCCCAGAAAAGCCACCAGGAGGACGGAGATCAACATGACGCCTCCCTGCACCACATCGGTCCAAACCACAGCCTTAATCCCGCCCAGCATCGTGTAGAAGACGCAGATGGAGGAGACCACAGTGTTGATCAGATGAATGTTGTAGCCGGTGACTGAAAATACATTTTAATTGCATGACGCTTTCTCTGGCCTTACAATAGATTTTGATTGTACCTTGGGAGAAGGCCAAAGCCGGAACAAACATGTAAACGGGCAGCATCAGGAATTGGTTCATGATGAACGTAATGGTGACCAGTTGACGGGTGCGCTTGCTGAATCTCATCTCCAGGTACTGAGCAAATAGAGTTGGGTAATATTGTTTTTACTTCGTCACGAGTTCTAATCTTTGTAAATTCCGAACTAATATTATAATCCACACGTTTGGACTATAAAGCTATGAATCAAAATGGAATCACACTCACCTCGTAGCAGTTGGACACATTGTTTTCGTAAAACACGGGCACGATTATGTAGATGAGAACCGGAACTGCCAGAACCATGGCCCATACCACGAATATCATATTGAAGCCGAACGAGTAGGTCTCCGCCGGAACAGACATCATGGCCACGCCGGAAAGCTGGCTGTAAAGGGATCAAGGAATTCTAAACTTAAAGCAGGTGAGCAGAACCACGTTTTCCGAAATCAAAAAAGAGGGGCTCGAATATGATTCTTATTTATTTCACAAGGTTTGCGCGATTAATGCAACTCATCTAAGCCCACGGGCAGCTTTATGGATGCCATATAGCATCCTGGCATGCGCACTTAAGATAAGATAGAAGATAGACATAACATAATAGATGGACTGGAGATGAGTAGAGGCGTCCCGATATCGGTGGCATTATCTTTATGACAGCCCCCGGTCTGGTCGTCTCTTTAAATCGTGTATGACGACATGGAAATTTATTGAAAAAGCGGGCACGACACTCACCTGGAGACCAGGGAAATGGCCACCGGAAAGGTGGGCATCCGTTTGCCGCCCTGCAGATACTCCTCGGTAGTGTTCTTGGCCTTCGAGAAAAACCCGAAGTAGATGCCGATTCCTGCCGAGGCGCCCAGCATCAAGGAGAAAACGATGTAGTCTGTGATGCTGAACCGAAGATCCTCCATGGCGGCGGAAGAAGTGGCCGCCACTGTACTGGCCAAAACGCTGGCGGTGCTTGCCATATTCGTGGAGTATCCTATAGCCTTTATCCTGTATCCTGTTGGAGAAGCCTCTACGAGCTTTGCCTCTGGTTGATACTGCCAGCACACTTGTGGAGTTCGGCTCGGACACCTTTCTTAAGTAGCGGTCTCCAGTTGCCTGCCGCCACCCTTATCTCTTCACGATATCTGCTTAGGTGCGTCTCGTAATCGGAGCAGCCACATCGTAAATCAGGAGCGCACCTAATCCGCCTTACACAGATCTGGTCTTGTCCGGAATCGGCATCGTAGTTCGGGGATGAAGGGTTGCCCCCATCCTCCTCTGTACAAAATGCCAACTCATTCATCAATCCGATTCAAAGAGACATATTCCTTTGGAAACTAATAGACGGAACAAGTACCATCGATGGAGACACTTCTTCTGATTATCAGAAGTTGAACCCATTGGACCCAGGGTGTCTCTTTCTCTGACGTTGATAACGGATGCTGATGATGATGTTGATGACGATGACTGGGAACGTGAACTTGATTCTCCAAGCGAAGGAGAGGTTGTCGTACGCCTCTGCGAGTATAATTATGATGCAAATTGAAGTCCGTCCTTCAGATGCCCTCCAAGGCGGTTCATGTGGAAAGTTTTTGCTGAAATCTACGAAGGCTTTGATGAAATAGTGATAGGTAAGGGATTTTCTTTGGTTATATAGAGATAGTTAATTTATTTATGAAATTTAGAGGGGATAATTATAAATAAACATTATCTTATATAATTAGACTTCCTTAATTTTACTAGAGCTTTTCAAAATGAAAATTTTATGGACAAATCAAAAATTAAAAAACTCATAAATAAACCAAAAACGCATTAACTTCAATTTGGAAAGCTGCCCCATGTTAGTTTTTTGCAGTTTAATAAATCTGCATACTCGATTTAAAATGTAAAAAAATCATAATTTTTATCAATTTTAACGACCCCTTATAACATTTTTAAAATTTTGAAAAAATTAAATTTTTGTCAGATATAGATCGACTCTGCTGTTGGTGTTGATCAAGAATATATATGATTTATAGGGTCGGAAATGACTCCTGGGGGCGTTACAAGCTTCTGACTACAGGATAATACCATTTTTAAAGCGGATATTTATCTATATTTTATATGAAAATTTGATCTACAAATCAAAGTTTAAAAATCTCAAAACTAAGCCAAAAATGCATTAATTTTAATTCGAAAAGCTGTTCTGTGCTAGTTTTTAGTAGTTTAATAAATCTGCATACTCGATTTACAATTTTAAATAATTTAAAATTTTGACATTTTTTTTAAATTTTACAGATGTAAAATTAATGATGATAAAAATGTGAAAAAATTTGCAAATTTTTTTTTCTACCGGAGATGGCTAAATCGATTCGGCTATTGATGCTGATCAAGAATATATATGATTTATAGGGTCGGAAATGACTCCTTCACTTAGTTTTATGCTTCTGACTGAAATTATAATACCCTGGGAATACAAATTATTAACGGCTTTCAGACATCTATTGTATCCCTATTCTGCCCATTAAAAATACATTTTCTTATCTAATTTCGTTTAGGTTTTCGTTTATTTAGTTTTCTTAATCATCTTGGATATATTTCACCCTAAGTATAAAATTAACTAGAATACTTAAGTAGAATCAGTACTCGAGACTAGCTTCCTTTTCTTTATCGCCCGGATCTATCCGTAGGTTGGGTATATCCCTGACCTTGTCTCCTCGCAGTGGCGCCTCCTCCATTTCCTGTTCCGCAGGCGGAAGGGAAAGAAACTTTCGCACAAATGGAGAATAGAGCTTGGGATTCTGTTTTTCATTCTTATCCGGTCGCCAGACATAGCTCATGGGAATCGCCCACAGGAAAATCAGAGCGGTTCCAAGTACCTTGTACCAATAGAACGAGATGTCGTACAGGGAGAAGTCGCGATTGCTGTCGAAGGCGGTGGTGACGGGGGCCCCGGAGGGAGGCTTCACTGTGACCGGTGTAAAGTCCGTCTTTTTGCTGGAAGGAGGCAGGAAGGTATTATTAAAGTCTTCATCTAAATTGAAGTGCCTCTACTCACATTGCATCCAAAATCACGTGCAGACCCCGGGCCTCACACCGATCGAGCGTATTGGGTAGCACTTCGTACTTGATCAGACCGGACTTGAAGTTCATCTGGCCGTTGGCAATCACCCAAACCATGGCAATCACACTGAAAACTATGCTGGACACCGCTGTCTTGGCATTACACCGGGGCACGAACATGCCCAGGAGAAAGACTCCCACCACGGCACCCGTGTTGATACCCGTAATGGTGACCACAGTCTGTAGGATGGAGTTGAAATTCTGGACCACAAACCCACCCAGAATGCAGTAGCCACCCATCACCACCACGATCAGCTTCATGGCCCAATTGGCCCGCGCCTCGGTGTGCCTGATCCTGGGCTTTATGTAGTCGAAGTAGACCACGCCGGCCAGGGAGTTCAGCGTGGCGGAAAGGGAGCTCAGGGCGGCACTAAACACGCAGGAGATAAACACACCCGGCATTCCGGCTAGATGGCCCATGATGTCCTGCACAAAGAAGGGCATCATCTTGTCCGGCTTGCTGACCAGCTGTAATTATAATACAATTTCCCTAACTAGGTCAATTTATAAATAATATAAACGATGAACTTACGCCCGCCAACAGGGGATCGCAGCCATAGTATCGGGCAAACATAATAATTCCCGAGATAGTGTTGAAGAAGCTGATGATTAGGAAACCCAAGCCGGCAATTACCAGAGATCTGAAACATAATAATTGAAGGGAATTTAAAAATCCTGGTGGGTCAGGAGTTAATTTTTAAATTTAAATACTCACTTCTTGGCATGAGAGTACGAAGGCAGAGAGACAATGCGCTGGACGCAGCTTTGGTTTAAACCAATATGACCCGTCCACATGCAGATCCCGCCCATGGTGGCACTCCAGAAGGTCAGTCGGATGCGAGGATCCAAGCGGAAGCTGTAGAAGAAGGCATTTTAACATGATCTTTAAGAGTGCGGTCAACGAAAACCCACTCAAAGTTAAAGCGTCCGCCTTCAGAGGCATGATCCATTACACTGGATATGCCACCAGAACGAATTGTGCCCAGGACTCCCACGGCGACGACGGAGAGCAGCATAATGCCACCCTGGACGACATCTGTCCAAACCACAGCCTTAATGCCACCCAGCATGGTGTAGAAGATGCAAATGGAGGAGACCATGACATTAATCAGGTGGATATTTACACCAGTGACTGTGTGGAAGAGGATTCTAAGGATATGTTGCGCCAATATAGGATGGGAAGGACCTCTACTTACCCTGGGCAAAGGCCAGAGAGGGAATAAACATGTAGACGGGTAGCATCAGGAAGGAGTTCATCACAAAAGTGGCGGTCACCAGCTGCCGGGTGCGCTTATTAAACCTCATCTCCAAATACTGAAAATAGTATACAATTTCAATAAATTTCTTTGATAATTTAATCGTTAATTAAGAGACAACTCACCTCATAGCAGTTGGACACATTATTCTCGTAAAAAACTGGCACAATGATGTAGATCAGGATGGGAATCACTGCCAACATGGCCAGAACCACGAATATGTAGTTGAAACCATAGGTGTAGCTCTCCGCGGGAATGGACATGATGGCAATGCCAGACAGTTGACTAAAATCAGAATCAGAAACAAGTATTAGGAACTACAATTTATATTGACATCGATATCCAAACAGATTCCAGGAGTTCCTCGTTGTTAATCTTTTTTAATTAGTTTTGAGGCAAATCCTTAGTGCTTCTTGGAAGCACGTCTCCGGTGCCCAATTGACGCAATCCGTTTATATGACCATCCATAAAGATAGTCGGAATCGTGACGGAATCGAGAGGAATCCGGCTGGGACCGCCAAACACCGCTATACTCTCTCTCACCTGGCCACCAAAGATATGGCTATGGGCAGGGTCTGCATCTTCTTCCCGCCGCGCAGATACTCCTCCGTGGTGTTCTTGGCCTTGGAGAAGAATCCAAAGTACACTCCTATGCCCGCCGAGGCACAGAGCATGATGACGAATACAATGTAGTCCGTGGTCCCGAATCTCAGGTCCTGCGAAGCGGCAGCCATTGTGGTGGCCGTGGACATCCTGACTGGAGGTTCCCCTTTGGATAATTGCTAGAAAGGTATTTTTGCTGGGACTTCTTCAACTGGTGATTCACATGGCACGGATGCTGGGAGCAAACTTGCTGCACCCGGGCTTGGGTTGGTACTTAAATATCGCTTGCTGTCCGTAGGAGCCTCCTTATCTGAACTTGGTGCTGCTCTCCTCCTCCCGTAAATCAGGCGGGGATTAGCGCTTCCTTATCAAGAGCCACCAGGCGGCTCTTATATTGTACTATTTGTGTGTTTGCCTGGCCTCTGGTTCTTCCATCTTGGCCGGGCTCTGAGATATATGGATGTTAGCTGAAACTTGAACTGGAGAATCGGATCGGAGATTCGTTCTTACAAATTGTGTCCAACCTACGTCTTTTGTGCTTTCAATTAAACCGAATATGTGAATACTCTTAAAGATGGAACGATTGGAAAAATATAATTCTAAGTTATTAACATGGATTTAAATATTTCAAACAGGATCTGGGTTAAGGATGTCATATAAAGTCTTAATTGATTATATATCATAATTTAAGGCAATATTTTAGTATTGCAATATATGTACGATAAGTCAATATTCTGTTTGAGTAAAGAAAATGTTACAATCTTTATTTACAGTACATATAAGAGTAAAGAAAGTGCTTTTTATTTGCCCAAGTAAGCTAATCAGTGATTTAATTTGTTGCTTATCTATAATTAAATACTTATTGTGTTTACTATACTATTTACTTTCCCAGTATAATTGTAATAAGCTTAATCTCTCGGCGGTAAACCTAAATTTAGAAACATAAAACGTTATTAGAGAAGCTTTTATTAAGTCTAGAACTAAGCCTGCTTTATAGACGATGGCTTTTGGTATTAACTTAATTTATTCAAGCCGTGTGCCTCTCTGTCCCAGTTTTTTTTCATTATTCACGCTGACTTTCTAGACAGTTTTGGAGAATCCCTACCTTCTCTTCCTTCGACAGAAGAAAGTCATGCAGAAGAATTGTATAATCATGACCAGAAGCCGCCATCAATCACATGGTGTTTTCCTGTGAAAAGATCTATTTACTCTTCGCGCGATCCGTTTAAAACTTTCCATTTTCATTGTTTGTATTTGCATAAATTCAGATTTTTTGACAACAGTAAATACTTGGGGCTGTGGGTGCCTCCAGGTTACCTACCCCTTGGTTTTATACGACCCTTTGACGGAGTGTGTGGAGAGCTTAACACTCTTGGCCCACCGATTACAGCTTAAATATTTGGCCAATGTCAGCGATAAGCGCTTTTAGCAAGTTGCACGATTTACGATCTCTCTGGGTCTCGGGATACCTCATTTGGCATGATACTCTCCAGAGAGCAGTGTAGTTTTCACCTATTTATAGATTCTGTCCTAGTAAAGATAGCGATATCTAGGGATATAGACTTTATAGTTGACCAAGATAATGAGTTTCGTGGTGGGTTTCTCTCTCTCTGCAAACAGCCTGAATCTGTCTGGTCATCGGTCTGGTATTTGCTGGATTCAACTGTTCAGCCAGATACAGTAGGGCTTCTCTAGAGTTTATATAAATGAAGAAGTAAAACTTAAATTAAATAGAGTTAATTTCAATAACCTTTACTTTACTATAATTTTCATTACAAAACACAAAAATCATAACAATGAACAATGAAAATATTCTAAAATATTATCCTCTAGTTTGAAGCTGTATTAGAAGTTCCTATTTTATAATATCTTTAAGACTCCAACTGATGCTTATGAAGCACATCCTTTGTCACAGTCATAGTCACATCCCATCCCATCCTAGTCTCAGACCTTTTCGGGCCTCTCCAGCTTCAGTTCGTGGGGCTCCTCGGCCTGAGCCAGTTCATAGTTGACGAAGGGCTGCACCACCGGCGAGAGCAGCTTGGGATCCAGCTTGTAGTCCGATTTCGGCTTCAGGATGTGGCTCAGGGGTATGGCAACCAGCCAGGTGATGATGAAGCCCACCACCACATACCAGTTGAAGGTAAGATCCAGAATGCTGAAACCCTCATCTTTGGCGGGGACTTCCGTCGTTGATTGGAGCAGCAGAGAGGCAGCTGTGCTGGAGAGGGTTCCATTCAGATTGGAAGCTGGACAACCCTCGGTGGTCTTGGGCAGAGTATCGTAGTGGTTGCGACCCCAACTGCAGATCACAATGGAGGCCATGACGGTTATGCTGGCAATTACTCCACTCAAGGCAGCCTAATCGGGATTTCATGGGATTATTTTTATGGCTCGGGTCGGAACGAGATCTGCAAACACTCACCCTGCCATGTGAACTGGGCACCAGCATTCCCAGCATGAAAACCCCACAGGTGGAGCCAAAGCTAACGCCGCCAATCGAGTATAGCACCTGCAGAATCGAGTTGAACTTCTCCACCATCATGCCGCCAAAGATGCAGTAGATGCCCGCAAAGAGGACGAACAGCTTCATAATCACATTGGCCTTGTGCTCCGTGTGCCGGATGTGGGGCTTAATGTAGTCGAAGTAGACCACGCCGCCCAAGGAGTTGATGCTGGCCGAGAGTGTGCTGAGGGCGGCACTGAACACGCAGGAGATGAACACGCCCGGCATGCCCCACAGATGACCCACTGTGTCCTGGACAAAGTAAGGCACCATTTTGTCCACCTTGGACACATGGCCGGACTCAATCGGATCGCAGTCATGGAAGCGAGCGTACATTACAATGCCCGTGAAGCAGTTGAAAAACATGATGAGGATGAAGCCAAAGCCAAAGAGCACAAGGGATCTACATAAGTGGGAGAGGGGTCAGCCCATAAACCAAGTCAATGAATTAATGACTCACCTCCTGGCATGACCCAACGATGGCAGGGACACTATTCTCTGCACGCAGCTCTGATTCAGACCCACATAACCTGCCCACATCAACGTGGCCGAACTGAAAATATTCCAGATTGTGGAGCGTGTCGTAGGATCAAAGTTAAAGCTGCAAGGAGGGAGAGAATTAGGTAAAAATTACGGAAAAAGATCAGTAACTGGTAACCCACTTGATATCCAGGCGTCCTCCCTCGCCGGCAATGCGCAGGACCTCGGATAGACCACCCACGCGATTGGCGCCCATTACGCCCACCAAAACCACAGAGACCACCATAATGGCAGCCTGGATGACATCCGTCCACACCACAGCCTTGATTCCGCCCTAAAAATGTGAGAAAAATCGAATAATATAATATAGTAGTAACTAGTATTTATTTTATACTCACAAACATGGTGTAAAAGACGCATATGCCACAGACCACGGTGTTGATGATGTGCACATTGAATCCAGTCACTAAGGGAGATTAATAATTACTTTTTGTACAGCCAAAAGTTAAGAGTGAGAACCCACCTTGGGCAAAGGCCAACGAAGGTAGGAAGATAAAGATGGGCAGCATGAAGAACATTGTCATAATGAAGATAAATGTCTGCAGGACTCGCACTTCCCGGCAAAAACGCATCTCCAAATACTGGAAATACACAGGACATGGCTATAGATATATGATTCCTTTAAGAAATCCGGTCTAATAGATCACCTCGTAGCAATTCGTGATGTTATTGTTGTAGAAAACCGGAATGACCACGTAATTAAGGAGTGGAACCACCACAATCATGCAAACCACATTGAAGAACCAATTTATCCCGTAGGCGTACATCTCAGCCGGAATTGTCATGATCGAAATGGCGGACAGCTGGCTGGCCACCAGGGAAATGGCAATGGGAATCGTTTTCATCCGCTTGCCACCCATCAGATACTCCTCGGTGGTGTCCGCACCCTTGGCGAAAAATCCGAAATACACACCAATGGATGCCGAGATGCCCAGCATGAAGGCAAAGACCGCGTAATCCGTGGAAGTGAACACGAACTGAGAGTCCGGAACCACGGAAGCCGCGGTGGCCAAAATGGAGGCGTTCGTTAGGGAAGACATTTTGCACAGGGTTTATTCAGAATCCTCTCGAGGATCAGGGGTCTACACTTTGAACACTTCACTTCACTTTCCGGCTTTTTTCAACTCCGGCGCGGCGGAGAAATCACGATTAAGCGCATTACGGTGACAGATTTTCCTTTATATAGCACTTTGGCGCTAGGCAATTTCTTATCTCCGCTTAAATATTATCTATCGACGGCGCTCTCACGCCGCCTGGACCTTATCTAGACGATGGGTGTTATCTGCTAGGATCGTAAGACCCCTCATTCCCGTCCGGCTATCTGGCTGCTCTCCAGTGTCTACTGACATTAGCCCAGATTATCGGTGGGCGGACGTCCATCTCATGTCATCTCATTCATTGTTTTCACTGTCATCTTATGGCTGCTGTTGACACTGATACCACCCACTGGGGTCCCGTTCCTCTTCCTTGGACGAGAACCCGCTAGTCATCCACGTCTGATTGCCAGTCATCCCAAAAGAGAGCGAGAGATTTTCACGTGAGGTTAAGACTCTTTGGGATTTCAACCTCAGGCAAGGCCACTCGAATGGAACTTATAGAGTTCCATCATAACCATAGGTATTTTATGGATCTCTCATATCAAAGATCTGATAACGTGTTTTATGTCATAACCAAGAAAATGGTATTTGACAACTGTTAGTGGGTTATGATGCTTATCAGAAGCTTACATTTGTAAATATTCATATAATTTTAATGGGCTATTCCCAAATATTGTATGACGGATTAAGGTTAACTTTGTGAAAAAATAAGTACTAGATTTCATCAGAGTAAGTAATGTTTAGTTTCTGTTTCAGATCTAGTAACTGTTCTAGACTACTAGTCTTAGTTCTCTTTTACACAGATCAAGAATTTGGTTACAACCTGGTCTTAATGAAGACTAAATGTTCTTGTAAATTTGTATAACAAAAAACTATAATCCACCTGCAATGTTCCACTTCAGATTGCTTCCTATCTTTTATAAACAAGTATATATAGTATATGGTAATTTATTATTACAAAATCTAGATAGATAATCTCCGGCTCCCCATGAATAATTCAATAGATAAGATGTCTTTTTTTAGCATCTGCAAATATTGTGGTGGCGGCTGCTGCGATGCTGTAATCGATGGATGCCAAGAGTCTCGCTGCGGTGCATCATTTTGGATGCACTGCCATATGTGGACTTGTGGATGGGGATGGGGATAAGGCCACCTCGGCACGCACTCAATTGGGCAATGTTAATGATGCCGAATGTTGGTTAAGTGGCTGCAGCTTCAGCTTCGACTCTAGCTTCCACTTCAGCTCCGAGATCTGAGCTCTGAGCTCGCAGCTCCAACTTCAGACAGTGGCTGTAATAGTTGATGTCCATCGACGACCAACATCATCCCCGCAACCATCTGCATTTCTGGCCCAGAGCCTCGCGATTGCATCTGTCGCAATCTTGGCGTAATGAGGCGCCCCCGAGGCCCCATCTGCCGGCTATATAAACTATCCAACATCCACCAACCAGCATCCCCATCTTCATCTTCATCTCAGACTTCCATTTCGAGCACTTGCACGACAGCCATTGATGATGAGAGTATACCGCTTGCACTGTTAACAATTAAAGTAGAGATTTTATTTTTAAAATATTCAGAGTTTCTAGATATACATTTTACTTGTGCCTTTAGCCATGTTAGATATAAGTTTTCATAAAACTTATCAGTGTGACATTTTTTGGGTACCGGTATTATTAATTTCAGGTATTGTAATAGAAGAAAATTTCAGAAATCGATGAGGTATTTTTTCAGAGTGTAGGAGTAGGGGTTACAGCCACCTCATGCCATAATAGAGCCAAAAAGTGAAAGGATTTTTTGAAGATGCTTGGCTTGGTATTTAAAGTAACGAAAAAATAAAACCTCACATAAGGCCAGTGACAATTCGATTTATGGAGAGCTTTGAGCTCGTTTAATTGCAATTGGTCTATGTGAGTGGTAATGGTAATGGTCTGGTTTGAATTGTTATTGTCATTAAGAGAGATCATCCAAGTGCTGGGAACCATTGAAAATGGGGTCAGTTCATTTTTCAACCACAAATCATTACAAAAACATATCCAAAATTTAATGTAGCTAGAGATCCGAATAAAAACACATGGTCATCATTTAACGGTGACAAAATTTACTATTTTTTTATTGTTTTCATATTTTTTTGTTGTTTCTTTGTTTGTTTCATATAAAATAAAAACACTTACGAGCTAATAATGCGTTATAACACTGTCTGGGGTGTTCTGTTGTGTGTTTTTCCATCTTGTGTTTTGTTTTTGTGTGGCTTTTTCAGTTTTTGTGTTGGTTTTTTTTCAGTGTGAAAGAACTATGTACAAAGGTGTTACAAAACATGAGAAAAAGTCCAAAACAAAGCCCCGAATGTCCTCGCATTGACGAGATGCCGAGATTCGAGATTAAGTTTGGAGTTTTTTGAGTTGGAAACATGGGGGAGTTGGGATCTTTCGGGGGAACTGAGAGTTACAGTCGCTGAGTGTTTGGGAAGGAAAGATTTTGTTGTTTTTTCGTTTTCGAGGGGGAAAGAAACGATCTGTGGGCGATCGATCCAGGATACCCAAATCTTTATAGTGTCTTCTTGGTCGGGTTGCATGTCTTCGTCCATTCCATCGGCAGTTCATTTTTGGCAGTGAAGTGATGAGACCTTTTAGAGTTTGACGGGGATCTTAGAAGGGCGCTCCGTAGCTGCCGCTGGGCCTCGAGGGTGCTCCATAGGAGCCGGACGGGGCACTGGGATATCCGCCGCCGTTGCCACCCTGCTGTGAGCTCTGCTGGGCGAACTGGGCCACCTGGATGGCCTGGCGGACGCCCTCCAGATCAATGCCGACGACACGGCCACCGCCGCCTCCGATGCCGGGTGCTCCGTAGCTAGTGGACGGTGGTCCGTAGCTGGTAGAGGGACCACTGGGGTAGCCGCCGCCGCCACCACCACCACCACCGCCGCCGCCGCCTCCCTGCTTGCTCTCCTCGTTGAGCAGGATCTGACGCACCTGCTCCAGCAGCTGGGGATCCACGTTCTGGCCCTCGGAGGTCTGGAAGCCACCGCTCACGGCCTGGTAGCCGCCACCGCCGCCGCCGCCAAAGGAGGAGCCACCTCCAAACGAGGAGCCACCTCCAAAGCCGCCTCCGAATCCGCCACCACCACCCCCTCCTCGGGGATAGTTATAGCCGGATGGCGGCTCCGCTGCAGCCAGAGCGGCCAGAGCGAACACTAAGAACTGAAAGGGACGAGATCAGAGGGTTAATTATTTGTAAATTTAAATATTATTAATTATTAAATAATACTATGTCTTGGACAGCTTCCTTAAAATTTTTTCTTTAAATTCTTTACAATTAATTATATATTTAAATTTGCTGGTAAAAATTCGGAACACTTTTTACATTTTTAGAAGTTGTTCTTTTGCTAAATCAATTTCAAATTCCTTTTCAACTTTTCTTAATATTTTCTTCATTATTTATAGTTAATTTTTGGATTCTTCTGGTATACAGATCTAAACTTATATTTACTAAATAGATAAACTAATTCCGGAGGAAATTTGTTTCCTAAGTTTTACCTAAAAAAGTACATACAATTTTTCAAGTTACTTTAGCTTTTGGTAACTCCCTGTCATATTAAGTATTGATCACTTTAAGGGCACTTTAGATCTTTGAAAGATATATTTTATATATTTTGTTTTCCTCCATTAAATGCACTGTAGCTCTATAAGAGATGCTCCTCAAGGATCTATTTGGAAGTCTTACAAGATCTCCGACACCTAGCAGCTTTTTAAAATGTTCAAGGGCTTTCCCTCTGGTATCCAAAGAAGTCCGTTATCCGTTTTGCTTGACTTGTAGATTTCAGGATCATGATCCTACTTACCACTGAGAAGGAGTTCATAGCGACGATTTGGGTGTGTGTGTGTTGAGTTTTGGGGGGAAAAGTCGAGTAGAGTAGAGTGGAGTAAGTGAATTTGGTTGCTTTCGAGTGGGGAACCAGCGACTGAATGCATCTCCGTGGCCAGCAGAGCCACTCTTTATACCCGGCTCGGGGTCTTCGGGCCCATTCGGCGGGCAAACATCATTATGGCCAAGCTTCGTTGCCAACTTGTTTTTGTCTTTTCATTTTTTTTTTTGTCTTTTGGCTGTTACTACTGCCGTGGCGCTTCTCACAATAAAACAAAATTTCCAAATGGAAAACTGAAAAAAAAAAGAAAATACAAATAAAATGTCGCTAACGATTTTGGTATTTGGGATTTTCCTTTGGCACTTTCCTTCGATCTGGCGGCCTGGGACCAGGAAGTGACTTTTCGCCAAAAGATGTTGTTTGGACAGGACGATCATGGTTTGCCAAAAATAATCCAACAAATATATGTTTAGATACGTTGCTGGCCTTTAGGGACGGTTCCTTGGCATGACGAAACGTCTTTTCGCTTTTCGCATTTCGCATTTCCCGTTGCCCAATCCGCAGTTGCAGTCTTCGCTTTTCCCCATTTTCAATTGTGTGCGCGAGTAAGTCTCAGTCTTGGTATCAGCCTCGTCACATGGCCATAAAGCTATTACGAAATGTGGCCTGGGAAAAACAAAGAAAAAGGGAAAAACTAGAGGGATTCCGAACTAGAGCAGTAGAGCAGGGGGCGTATAATTAGGGTTTCCCAAGGAGCCTTTTAATTCGGCTGAATTTGAATTTGCAGATGAGTGTAGCAACTCTCAAGAAGACACCAAGTAAAATTCACTTAACACCTTATCAACTAACAATAAAAAGCAAAGTGAAACATTTTTAAAAAGGTTTAATTACAAGAATGCTTAGATTCCAAGTTATATTGTTGAAATAGTCACAAGTATGTGGTGTTACTAACGGCTAGGCATTCCAGATAATATCAATTTATAAAACATGTTTAGACTTTTTGTACTTTTTCAGGGTATTATGATTTCAGTAAAAAACATGAAACTCAGTTAATGCAGTTAAAACCTTTATTTGTTAAACAAATTGTCCTATAGAAATATAAATATTATGCACCCAAAAAATGGTATTACATGTAAGTCAGAAGCTTAAAACTAAGTGGAATAATCATTTCCGACCCTATAAATCTTATATATTTTTGATCAGCATCAACAGCCGAATCGATCTAGCTATGTCCGACAAAAAATTAATATTTTCAAAAATTTTAAAATTTTTTAAGGGGTAACATCGTTAAAATTGTGAAAAATTTAAAAAATCGTAATTTTTTAAAGTTTTAATTCGAGCTTGCAGATTTAATCAACTACTAAAAATGAACATAGGGCAGGTCTCCGAATTACAATTAATGCATTTTTGGCTTAGTTATGAGATTTTTAAACTTTGATTTAAAATGTATCTATACATGTTGCTATGTACATGTTGAGCAACACCTGTATGTATTTTTAGCTCCTTAAGCTATTAAAGGGTTAAACTGCCCATAAAATTCGAATTTTCGTTTCATTGCACGTTCCAGTTGAAGTCGAAACCCAAGTCAAAGAAGGACACCTGAGTCACCGAGGGATTTGGTACCCTCCTCCGTCTGCCTACTGATAATTACGAAACCCATCTGTGACCTCGAAAGAAGCTCTGAAACCAGAAATCTTTGCCTCATTCTGGCAGAAAGTGAAAGAAGTCCAGTCCCTCTGCTCCATGGAGGCGCTACTACTACTGCTGCTGCTGCTGTGCCCATTATGTCATCTCGGCGAATGAGCACCTGTGCTGCCTCCGATGGCTGCTGTGGCAGAAGACGGTGCGATTAAAGCCACACAATGAAAGGGAAGACGACCGCAATCGGAGGAAAATGAAAATGAAACTGAAACTGACGCCGATTCCGACTCTGGCCGTAAATTGAAGTAAATGAGGTTTATTTACATCTCGACACCATACACTTTCGCGAAGTTGCCATCACGTTGCAGTTCCAAAACCGGCAATGACTTTGGACCCCTTACAGAGAAAATATTTCACTGGAAATTGATATTAAAAATATGGGATTTCATTTGAAATTAATTGAATATAATTTTAGACTTTTGAACAAACTCTGAGTTATCGGAAAACATTTAATATTTAAAGCAACGTGGGGGTCTGCATCAGAAAAAATAACTAAGAACTTTTCGAGCTATATTAATTATTTGAAAGTCTGTAAAAGTTCTGCGATAATTTCTTAAAAGTATTTAAAAAAAAATATATGAGTTCTCAGTGGGGAAGTCCCAAAGTATTGGTACATTGATATTATATATATAAAGTAACATATTTTAATGATACAATATACATATGTGTGATTAATCGGTGTCTCATTTTCCCCCATAATATAAAACTTTGCTTTGTTCAGCCACAAATTAAATAAGGAATTTTAATTACTAACACCTTTATATTTATTTTCTTTAAAATGCGTGTATTTGTTATTTTTCCAAGTGGAGGAAGGGCGTCGTGGCTGTGGCTCTTCGGAAACCTTCACGCTCGAAAGTGAAGGACTTGGCCTGCGCTACGTTGCGTTGCGTCGCGTTGCGTGTCCCCTAAGTTGGGGCACGATCTCTGCAATTGGAGTTTTGGAGCTGGAACTGGAGTTGGAGTTGGGTTAAAGCTGGAGCTGGAGCTAGAGCTGGGGGTCTCTGCTTTTGGGGGGCAACAATGAGATGAAAGTCAACACTTCACACTCGAAAGCAGCAACAGCAGCAGCAGCAGCTAACACTCAATGACAGTGCGCTAAATAAATCATTTTCGTGGCTCCGGAATTGTTTTGATCAGCTGTGGCTGTCGTTAATTTGGTTTATTGTGGTCCGACTTTCGTCTGAATCTGGCGAAGGTCTCTCACCTTATCCATCGATGGCGTAATTCACGTTTTCTCGAGCTTTGCTTTTGGGGAGTGTAATTGGAGTAAGTGGAAAAGGTCATACGAGGCCTGAGGGGGATTCTGTGTAAATTTATTACCAATGTCATATATTTTAAAATTAGCCTCGGTGATGATTCTTTCCTATCGAAACCTATTTATGGGTAGCAGTTCCTTGTTAATTCTATTGCCTGTAGTTTTCGAGATAATCGTGGGAGTCATACATTCCTATAACTCACCCCGCAGGCCATGTTTATTTTTACTCGCGTTTTTGCAACTTTAATGAAGCGCTTTATTAGATGCCGTGGCCTATCTGAGCATATCCATCATTAACACGTCTGTCTGCCACTAGGTCAACTTTGGACAGTGATGGCTTTGGCTCTGGCTCTTGGCTGTCTGTCCCTCGCTTACTTAGCTATTTCTTTTTCTCAGTCTTTTTCCGACCGAAACTCATTATGCCTCTGTGTGTGCGTGCGTAATTGTTATGACACTATAATTGGGCCAGCAATAGCAAAACAAAAAGCCAACTCCGAAATAGAAATAAAAATAAAACCTAAAATAAAATCCCCCCACAAGAAAGAGAGAAACAAAATCACAAAATAGGTAAATAAAATAAAATAAAATAAAAAGCCTGCCAAACGGAAGACGCGGGTAAATTTTCAAATTGAAATTTTGCTATCGAGATCTCGTTCGAGGCGTCTTCGATTTGTATTTTGCAATGCCCCGAGGAGGGGCCAACGCCCCCGCCCTAAAAATCAATTGAGATTGCATTCAACTGCTTGGGAATTTTAATTTTAATTTATTTTGAAATAACACAGGCATGTTGGCTAGTTCTTCCAATCTTCAAACACACTTAAACTTATGTATTATTTAAATATAAGCTTTCACAATGTTCAATTTTAATTAGTGGAATAGAGAGACCTTAACGATTTTGTAAAGATAAGTCAATTCACTTTGAAGCTCACCAGGCTGTTTTGAAAAAGTTTAAAAACATAAATGTAGCCAAACCAAAAGTTGCCTTAACATAAAAATAATTAATAACTCCTTGTATATAATTGGATATTTTTTGAACACTAAAAAAATACAACAGCTGCGGTAACTACCCATTTCATTTAAAATAACAGTGATTGCAGTTTCTCATAAAACAGAAAAAAAGCAACATCCCCTCAGGCCAATGGCTATCATGGCGTATACGCAACATTAGCAACCTTCTTTTTTGGAGACCTCCTCTCAGGTGCATCATGCTGATCAACGCCGAATGCCCACATCATGATTGATGATAAAGAGGGGCCAATTTTTCACAGCCCCTGACGAGGCTAGACTAGGCTAGGAGCTGTGACAAAAAGCTGATTATTCCGAGCCTATTGATGACAGAGGGAGAATGCCACAAAGTAGTAATAATTGCTGCCGCTCCGCTGATGAAGATGAGTCCGCTGAAATGCCCGGTGCCCTGGGTGCACAGGCTCGGCCAGGTCGGTGGCTCATTCTCTGCACATCATCTCTATGCCGCTGTCCCCGGGCCCAGACTTGGAGCGGCAGGTTACATAAGGCGCCAACGCAGAAGAGCCACCGAGCCCCCTAGCAGCAGTAGCAATAGGTAGTAATAGTACAGGTTAAAAAATGTATAGTAAATGCAGATCATTCATTATTAAGATATGAACTAAATATATTAATTTCAGAACAATTTTGTTAACCAAATGTCATTCATTTCATGCAAGATCAATCAACATTTTCAAAGGTTTTGTAGCTCACTTCTTTATATGTTCAACTTTCCCAGAAAATCTACCCCAATCAAATTCAATCTTAACTATTTTATATAAAGTAATCTTAGTCAGGGTTTAGGGATTATTATTCCTTAAGTTTCTTTAACTTCAATATTATTCTCCCTCTGTCTACATAGTGTCTCCAGAGTACTCGCACCAGTAATAGCCAAACAACAACCTCATCCAGCCGAGCCGGGCCTGATGATCATCAATGATGCCTCTCCACCTCCGACGCTCCGCCTGGCCAAGCCTCTGACGCCTCTGTCGTTTCCTCGAAGCCGACAACAAACGGGTTTTCGGCGTGCGAGTCCGACGAGGTAGGTGCTCCTAGCTTTATGTAAGTCAAGCCAACGGAGCTGGGAGTTGGGCAGATGAACCAAGAAAAATGGGCAGCAGCAGCAGCAGCAGCAGAAATATAAGACAGACACACTCGTGGAAAAGCTAGCGTTGAATGGGAAATTGCAGCGACACGTTTTCGCCAAAAGTCTGCCGGGGATCTGTGACCGACGACCGGTCTGGTCTGGAGGTGCCAGTGGAGGTCTGCTGGTCTGGTGTCGATGTCTGCGCGACTGTGTCCAAGTTTGTTTTCCGCAAAACAAAAAAAAACGAAAAACACACACATCCATGTCGGCTATTCGGCCATTCTGCCGGACAACTTTAGCCTTTGGGTGCTAACCATTTGGTGGGCTTATGCAAACGAGCTGGGCTGCATCCTCAGCTGCTCCACGGGGGCCTTGTGCAACATACCAGATTCACTCGCCATGTGGTGGATCCATTCTCGAGTTCGGGGGCCGAAAGTAAAAGTTCGCACTGCCAATAATCGCAGCAGATCGAAGATCCGATTGAAAACGGAGCCGTGCCGAGCAGCAGCCAACTCATTTGGCCACCTTAATTATGCCACGATTTGGCACGGCCAAAACTCATCTGCTTTCTGGCCATGGCGATGCCCCCTTGTGTGCCTCATTTTGTTACCAGTTACCATATTTTTCTTAACTCGTGTCTTTATTTTTCCTTTTGCCAAATGCGTAAAGTGGCAAAGCACAAAAAATATATAAACGGTTTTACGAGGAGGTCTAAATGAGTTAATTAGGTTTGCTGTTTGTGTGGAGAGGTCTTAGCCAACACGAGTTGGCCATGGCAAAGCCAATGAACAGTCTCGGTGGGTGGAGGCCAGGGAGGTAAGGAGGAGCGTGTATGTAGGTGTTCCGACACGGGTTTAACTAAACGAATTCATGTTGTCTGAACTGAAGATCTTCTATTCAATTTATCTTATTATTGTATTCCTTTAGCTGGTGTTAACAAGATGGAAACCTGAACAATCGTGAGATTTGAGTTATATACCTCTTAGTATTCAGTTTCTATGTAATTAATTGAAAATAACCGTCTGCAGTAATGCAAATATGTTATTTATTCATTTTTAAACCTTTGTAAAAGCTATAACGAATTTAATCAAAAGTCCGGAACGCAGTGAAGGATTATAACCGATCCTTACATTTTATATCTGTGATTGGGCTATGCAAAATTATAAATGTCAATAAAGTAAAATCAGTGGGTATATCTTACGCCTGCATTCTGGAATTCAAGTTCCTTGCCGTAGCTCCACGGTCGCAAAAGTGCTTCAAAGAGAGTTTTGCTCTTATTATGCTGATGATCGTCCAAATAAAAAGGGCCTTGTTGAATGCTATAAGTGTATTGAAAGGACCACGGATGTATGCAGGCCTCATGTCATCTGTGAGTAATGGAAATTAATTTCTGAGAATTCTTCCGTATCATTATAATACCCAAGATTAATTGTCGTATAGTTATATTCGCCGATTAAGTTTGCAGGATCTACGAAGTCCTGATACAAGTAGGAGCCATTTCCGAGGCGCTGACTGGATGAAACATTCACTGTTTTCCTAAAGTGACATCTTGAAGTATCCGCTTTCGTTGTTTGCAGAATAATAAACACAACTAATGTACAAGTAAATATGGAATAAAGCAGCATTTTGCTTTGGAAAATTACTAACTGAAAATTATTCTCGACTAATAAACTTTTTGCTTCGTACACGATCTTATATACATAGCCCTTTGTAATTTTTTTCATTTAAAACTAAAGAAACATGTTGTTCAATTAACAGTCCTTAAGGAATATGGTTTCCATCGATATGCTCTTATCAAAAAATTTTTAATTATTTTACCCTTAGGAGGAGTGCAATTGAGGGAACATAGCAGCGTTCGGGTCAAGTTTCCCAAACTTTACTTTTGTTACCATCAGACGATAATGCCCCTGTTTAAGCTTACTTTATTTATTTTCCATATTATATATTTTCATCTTCTAAGGTTTGGGTTACTTTAACCCATCGGAGGCTCGTGTTCCAGGGCCTTGTACTTCCGAGCAACTTGATGGAAGAATATAATTATAAGACTTAATTATAAGTTTACAAGTACGATGATATGGATACCCAAATAAGAGGATGTGTCTGTCACCTGGAGCTCAGTGTTATGGAACCTTATCTACCTGAATTACCGCATACCCTAACATTTAGTATACCCCCCTCAGGGGGTATTTCCGACCCTATAAATCATATATATTCTTGATCAGCATCAAAAGCCGAGTCGATCTAGCTTTGTCTGACAAAAATTTTATTTGTTCAAAATTTTGAAATTTTTATTACATCGTTAAAATTGATAAAAATATTAATTTTTTTACATTTTAAATCGAGTACGTAAATTTATTAAACTGCAGAAAACATAGGACAGCTTTCCGAATTAAAATTAATGCATTTTTGGCTTAAGATTTTTAAACTTTGATTTGTAGACTTTGATTTGATAAATAGAATCAGTTGTTTTTTTTTAGAAAAAAAAAACACAAAATCTTTTCGAATTAAATTTATGTTTTAAACTTTGGTAATATTATTATTATAATAAACACAAATGACCGCTTCAGAATATAGTTTCCGATCTGGACCCCGCCTTAACATATTACTGGTAATAAAATAGAGACAATTTTCATAGTGTCACTAATCCTAATGCATTAGTGAAATTATAACTAAAATAAATTGTTGACACGACCAAACTTCGGTTTTGAAATAGTTTTACAATATTTATATATTGTGAAAGTACATTATACACAATTTTACATGTATAATTGGAAAATACACCCATCGAATAGGGCTATCGCAACAGGGTAAAAAAATCGATAATACAACTAGCTATGATATTTTGATGTGCTAAATTGCAACCAGGATTGCTTAACGTTATTATTTAATAACAAGTTAAAGTCACAAATTAAGAAAACTGATGCTCAATTTGGCAATTGAAACCCGATAAATCTAGTGGGAAAATAGCTAAATTAACGCCGATTATTCCGCTATTTTAGCAAAACGGAATGGAAGAACAATGTTTCTGCCTTCTTAGTTAAAAAATTTAAGAAATATAACGTTATTATATATTACATTATATAATATTAAACTAAGCCCTTTATATTTATTTATTCAAATGCTACTTTCAATTTCATAAGTTTTACCATTTTCAGACATGCTAGATCTAGCCTAAGATAAGCTAAGCTGCCTGCACTGAGTACTACGAACTACGTGTAATTATCGGAAGAATAAAAATATTAAAATCCAAAAGCCTCACAGTTTTATCTTGGAATAAATCTAGGTGGCAAAGCAAATAACGTTCGGCTAAACAACACTGACCCTGACTGGGCAAAATTCGTGCGTCTAACGAGGGAAGAAGGCAATAATTTCGACAGCAGCTACATAGCTCCCCAAAAAGCTGAGATTTTTTTCTGCCCACAGAAGAGGAGGAAGAACGAAAGAAACTAAGAGCTCCAACAAAACTGGAAAAAAAATCTCCCAACAGCCATAAGAAGGGCCATATATGTAGTGGAAAAGGGGCAAATAAGAGCGCCCGGCCAACATTAACATCTTCCTCGAGTCCATCAGCCAGCTGGCGGCGCTGGCCACCAGGAGCGGCATCATGCAGCTGCTCATCTCGTCCGTGTGCATGGCGCTGACCAGCGCGGTGATCGGGAATGCCTACTACCAGAAGCAGCAGTTCTACCCGGCGGTCGTCTACATTACCAAGTCGAACGCCTCCATGGGGGTGGGTAGTCCAGTCCTCGCTTGTGTAGCCTTGTGTCCATACTAATCGCTCCGTTCTCCGCTCTCCTCTGCTTGCAGGTTATCTACATTCAGTTCTTTGTGATTGTCTTCATGTTTGGCAAACTGCTGCGCAAGGTAACGGAACTCCCTCCTCCAGAGTCCCGCCGACAATTGGTCACTAATCTTGATGCATCTTCCAGATCTTCTTGGGCACGCTGCGCGCCGCCGAATTCGAGCATTTGCTAGAGCGCTTTTGGTACGCCCTTACAGAGACATGCTTGGCCTTCACCGTATTCCGGGATGACTTCAATCCGCGGTTCGTGGCCCTGTTTACGGTGCTCCTATTCCTCAAATCATTCCATTGGCTGGCCGAGGAGCGTGTGGACTTTGTAAGAAATGCCAAGTCCTATGGACTCTACGGTATCTAATCCATTTGCAATCCACAGATGGAACGTTCGCCCGTGCTGGGCTGGCTGTTCCATATTCGTGTGGGCAGCCTGCTGACAATGCTAGGTATCCTCGACTACGTGTTGCTGATGCATGCCTACAATTCGACTCTGGTGCGCGGACCCACTGTCCAACTGGTCTTTGGCTTTGAGTACGCCATCCTGCTGACTGTCATCGCCAGCACCGCCATCAAGTACGTCCTGCACGCCGCCGAGATGCGCACGGACACGCCCTGGGAGAACAAGGCGGTATTTCTACTGTATACGGAGCTCGTAATTGGCCTCATTAAGGTCGTGCTTTACATCCTATTTGTGGTGATCATGGCCAAGATCTATGCTCTGCCGATGTTCGTTTTCCGGCCCATGTTCTTTACCATCCGCAACTTCCGTAAGGCCCTGAACGATGTAATTATGTCGCGGCGGGCCATTCGCAACATGAACACCCTCTATCCTGACGCCACGCCAGAGGAGCTTCGACAGTCGGACAACATCTGCATCATCTGTCGAGAGGATATGGTGAATCACTCGAAGAAGTTACCCTGCGGCCATATCTTCCACACCACCTGCCTGCGCTCGTGGTTCCAGCGCCAGCAGACCTGTCCCACTTGCCGGCTAAATATCCTCCGCACTCCGGCTGTGAATTCGACGGCAATGCCGCGGGCTGCGGAAGATATGGCACCTGCCGCCGCCGCTGCTGCTCCTGGAAATGCCGCCCCAGCGGCAGCAGGGGCCCAGCCGGGTACGCCTGCTCCGGTTGCAGTTGCCCCTGGAGTCGATGCCAACCAGGGACGTGGCAATAATCCGCAGCCACCCAGTTTTGCTGAGCTTTTTGGCGATGCCAGTAAGTAGCGAATGACTACAGAGAATCCCAAATTAATCCTTCCCCTTCATAGATGGCCTGCCCAACTTGGCTGGTCTAATGACTCCGCCACCGCCGGTCATGCCCATGCTGCCGCCCTTTATGATGCCGCCGCAGTTGGTTTACTTCACGCCGCCGCCCCTACCGCCTCCACCCATGCCACAGGACCTGACCAAGTTCACCATTGAGGAGCTGCGGGCCATGGAGGGGCACCAGCGAGAGCAGATAGAGCAGCGCCTTAAAGTGGGTTTCTCCCAACATCATCCTAAAATTCATAATCATCCTAATAAATTCATTATTCAATTAATCCTTTCAGCTGCTGCGCAACATTAGCCTCATGCTGGATTCGGCGGGGATCATGATGTCGCAATACCAGAGCTTGGCAGCCAGTCTACAGCTAAATGCGGTGCCAACCACAACCGCGGCAGCAGCAGCAGCAGCAGCTCCAAGCTCAGACGTAGCACCTGGATCTTCCGCTGCTTACGACAAGCCCAGCACCTCGGCCATGGCCAGGGCCCAACTGGAGGAGGAGGCCCATCAGATAAGTCCCCCATCAGCAGGCGCAGAAAAGGTAACCATTGAGGATCTAGGCGCGGATGAGGATGATGTGCCATCCACAGCCACGGAAACAGTTAGCCTCATGAGCACTTCCGAGAACGATTTGGATGAGAACTCCTCAGAGCTGGGAGAGCTAAGGAAGCGCCGCTTGAAGTTCTTGGAGGAGCGCAACAAGTCATCCACGGCAGAGGAATAGAGAAATGAAGGAACACAGGACATCAATCCAAGCAGCAGCCTTCATCAACCATTTTCTATACTCTTCAAAAGTATATTGATTCCTCTTATGCTTGGCTGCATCCTTGGGAATATCACCACGACAATGATGACAAACGACGACTAAGAGATGCCCTCACATACTGAAGCACGAACGAAGGATCTGAAGGGGCAGGCGGCATCCAAATTCAATATGTAGCAATACGTATTGTGTAAAAACTATTTTAGAGACGGGAAACTGATGATTTGTATTTAATATTACTATATGTGTATAATTAATGTGAAATATAATTAAAAACGAAAAGAACAATGAATGGCTGCTTAGTGCTAAGTGCTATATATACGAAATATTGACGAGTAAACTAAAACTAACAGCTGATACAGAAAATAAATTAAATGACGCGCACACTACACATAGATAACAACAGTGGATCGTCGGGCAGCGCCTCCTCGGGCATGGAAGATCTGCATTTGGACGTCGCCGCATCAAATTCTCGACTCCAGCTCCCGAAACTCGCCCGGATCCGTAAACCGCACGGTCAGGATGTAGAAGAGCGTGGGAAAGGGCACCAGGCACAGGAATGCATAGTGATAGTTGAGGGAGGTGATGCCATACGCCAACAGCATCCAGTGGACACCTATTACAAAACAAGTTTTATTAGCTGTGATATCCCTCTATGAGTATCCTTCCAACTCACATATAATGACTACATTCTTGAGTTCCCACACCGAGGAGCAGACGAGCGCCTTCAGAGTTTGGTCCAGTTTAAGGGAATAATGAATGGCATTAGCCACCATTGAAATGGCCACGCTCAGATATGGAAAGGAGTAATAGATCAGGCCACAACCCAGAGCATGAATAAAGGTGAGCAGAGGCAGAAAGTAGAGGGCGGAGTAAATGGGAGCATTGCTCTTTCCGCCCACATTCATCAGTTTGCTAATCAAAGGCCGAATGAGAAACATGTTGACCAGGCACAGAAAGTAGAACACCAGGACGATAGTTTGCAGTGGATAGACCGCCTCCTGGGTGCAGTAAACCCGGGCCTCGTAGTTGGGACTGGGATTGTAGAACAAGGTGTACCAGTCGGTGAGTTTGCGCACCTCACAGGCATATAAGCGCAGCTCCCACATGGGCTCCATGAACAAGGTGGCCAGGATGGCAGACAGCGCCACCTCAATGAAGGCGCTGGCTGTCAGGATCAGCTGCTTGCGGGAGAACCTTAAATAACAAGATGTAGAAATGCTAACCCATTTAATGGCACTTGCTCACTTGCGATCCTTGGCATCCATGTCGATGAAGAAGCAGTGCATCATGAGAGGCAGCATGGTCATAAAGCCCAGGTACAACCAGGAGTACGGTGTCAGTTCGTCGCGACAAGGGGAGCAGGCGTAGCTAGCGTTTACCTAAGGAAAACCCATTAAGCCAAAAACCAGACAATTCCAGGCACCAATTCATCATACCCGCGATCCGCGCGGACAGAACCCACAGCTGCTCCATGTATCGTTACCCAGTGGCGATCGTCCGCAGTAGGCGCCCGGACAGCGTTCCAGAGCGTCGTACATTTTCATATTTTTTTTTTTTGTTTTTTAACTTAATTTGTATTTACTATTCCATTCTGCGGAACCAGTTCGATTGCATCCCCATCCTTACTGGGTTTGACAACACTGGCAAAAAGTAGAGTTGCAAAAAATCGATGTTCACAGTCGAAAGCACCAAATGGACCACAAGAACCAGTTCAGTTCAAAACTAGTTCGCCTGAACTGCAGAACCCTAGGAAATAATTTAATTTAATAATTTTAACTATAATTGCCACAGCAAACAAGCAGCAAATAAAATACAAACAAGCAGGCCGTATAAGGCCGAAAGTCACAGTCTGCTGCATGGTCGCGAAAAATCGGAAAGAACCAACGCAGACGCCATTTTGTCTATATTGGCCGGCCCAGAAACGAAAAATTCGCAAAATAATAGTTTTCGGTTTAGTTTACAGTGCGAAGTAGTGGCAGATTTCTCTGCTGTCTGTTTTGCTTCAGCAGCTTCAGCAGGAAGAGATCATTTTCGGGGAAATAGTTGGAAATGGTGAGTTGTGTTCGATATTCGCAAAAGAAAAAAAATAATAAAATATATGCTGTGTCGGTGAGCGTGCGCCCGTGTGCGTGTGTGTGAGTGCGAGTGAGTGTGAAAAACAGAAGAGCAACGACGACGGAACGGAAAAATAATAAAAAGCCGCACTGGCACCCGTCCTTGAGTGACTTCCGTTAGCTCTCTCCCACAACTCCCAAGTGAAGTGATAGATAGAAAGTGAGAGAGGCCCCGTGCCCCCGCCGCTACCGCCACACCCGGCCCTTAGGGGCTGGGGAGATGATTCTTCATCTTCAGTCTTTTTTTTTCGCATTGTATCGTCGCTCTGTGCCAGAAACACAAACACCGACAAACGGACTTGTGAAATCTTTATGCGTAGTTATTTTCTCCACCCTTTCTTCGCACACCCCTTCGTTCTCACCCCGCCGGCGCTGCCACTGCTCCACCCACCGACCGACATTCCGTTTAAAAGGATGTTGCCGGGCGGACAGGAGAGAGAGAGAGAGAAAGGAAGCGGTGCCAGCGAACAGAGACGAGAGCGACGTGATGTAATTTTCGGTGCAAAAATGTTCTTTGTTTGCCCAAAAAAATAATAAATAAATAAGAATGAAGAGAGCAACAGCAGCGTAAAACAAAAACAACATTAAATTAAATTCACACACTTGCCTTAGCTGTGGGTTTGCATGCGTGCGTGTGTGTTTGTAGAAAGAGAGTAAGCAGGAGCGGATGAGGGAGCGGGAGCGTAATTTGTGTGCTTTTGGAGCATTATTTGGCGCTTGCTGCCCCCCGTCTATTAAATAATATTGATTTTTCATATTTCAACCCAGAACAGAACTCTCTCTCTCCCATACACATACTCGCGCTCACTCACACAACGACCTGTGCCGTTGTGCATGTTGGTGCGTGCTCGTCCGTTGATGTGTGTGTGCCTTTTTCGGTCTCCCTTGTACGCCTGTATTTATTTGCTTCTTTGCTTCTTTCACTTCGTTGCAGTTTATAGATTTTTGCAAACTGTGGCCGCTCACCAGGAGTATGTAAACGCAACGCAGCGCGCCGTTCTTATTGGAAAAAGGACAATAAGCTAGTGAGTTCCAGACGCAGAGATTCAAGGAGATAGACAAAAAGAGAGAGAGAGAGCCGGGAGTCGCCGACCAACAGTGCCTCAAAAACCACAACAGCAACAACAACTGGCAACTCCCAAATCTCTCCCAAGGGACACGGATCGTGGGACTGGGACACTTCACAACTGCCATACATCCAAGACGAATCACAACAACCAAGCCAAAAAGAAAACGCCGCCCAGTGCAGACTGCAGTAGGATTATTAAGACACCTAAAACTATCGCTCCAGCACCTCCATTTCCCTACTTCCGTTGCTTTTTGCTATTCGGAGCGCCGCAAAGACGACGACGCAGTTAAAGAGGAGCCGACGCCAACGCTGCCGCCGCAACAATGACGTTCGACACGCGCAGGCAAACCACCGGACAGCCGGGCACCACCACCAGCAGCACTGCAGCAACCACCACAACGAGTCCGGCACAGACCACGGGAACAGGTGCAGGAACGGGTACGGGCACAGTCACAACATCGAGTCAGCCAGGCGGAGGAGGAGGCAATGGTAGCGGCACTGGCAATGGCGGCCTGGACAGTAGCAGTCAGGAGCAACAGACACCGCCGCAAAATACGAGCCAGAGCTCGGATGCCAGTTCGGATGTGACAGCCTCGTCCTCGGCGAGCAGCGTGGACAGCACCGTCACACTAGTGTAAGTGGCCACGCCAACAAAAAGATCCCCATTCCCCGATCCATGTTAGCATGACGGCTCCCAATTAGCGGAGGTTTAGTGCGTAGTTTATTGCACTTAATTAGCCAGGGCAGGCAGGCAGCTGTTTGTCGATAACTTTTCGGGGTGTGTGAACTGCTGCTAGTGGTAGCACCACCCCAAAGCGCCCAGTACGCCCTTCCACCTCCAACCGAATGAACCCCAACCTCAGACATCGAGTGTTTACTTTTGCGCAGTTCCCTCTTCCACTTGCATTCTTTGTTTGACCAGGGCTGGTTCCACAACTACCACCCGTAATAAATTCATTAAAATATGCTTTGGGCAGCGGCAGCAGCTGATTTTGGCCAAGTTAATGAGAGGTGTCGTCACTCGGAGTTCAGCGGAACCCACTAAATTCCATTACAAACACCTCTGGTTTACGTGTGTGTCCGTCCGTGTGCAGAAACGTGATAATGCCCAACAATGAGGCAATAAAACCTTATCTTCTTGATGCACAAATGTACATCCATACATTAGCCAGAATGAATTTACCACAAACAATTATACTAATATATTTACGCGACACGGCTATTAATGTCTCATTTGAAATACACATGCAGGGCTTTATCTTATCTTGGCCTGTCCTGCCTGTCCATCGTGATTAGCTGACACTAAAGACCCGATCTTTTGATTCCGTTTCGCTTTGCATAGACTCAAAAATGGGTAGTCCTTGTTATGTTACAATGGGTATTTTTATTTATTTTACATAATCTAATTTTTATTTTGGCTCAATATATTTCCCCCTTGCAGGCCCCCTGAGAAACTGATTTCCTCATTCCCCACCACGAAACTAAGATCGCTAACCCAGAAGATATCCAATCCGCGGTGGGTGGTGCCCGTGCTGCCGGAACAGGAACTGGAGGTGCTTCTCAATGCAGCTATTGAGCTGACCCAAGCCGGCAAGTTCATACAAAACTCCGTATAAAACCTACGTGCTAATTGCTTGAAGTAACTTTTTCAGGTGTGGATCATGACTGCGAGCCTTGCATGGAGTTTTACCGCAATGGACTGAGTACATCGTTTGCCAAGATCCTCACCGACGAGGCGGTGAACTCGTGGAAGTATAACATCCACCACTGCATCCTCGTGTCTTGTGGCAAGCTGCTCAACCTGATAGCAATACACATGCAACGCGACAATCCCTATCTGCTGGACCTGCTGGCCATTGTCTTTGATCCGGAAAACAAGTTCAACACGTTTAATGCGGCCCGCCAGCCGGAGTGCTTCGCTACGCCGGATTGCATTTGGGGACCATTGGATAGCAACAAGATGTACGCCCGGCCGCCACCGGAGCCAAAGAATGCTAGAGGCTGGCTGGTAGATCTCATCAATCGTTTCGGTCAGCTTGGTGGCTTTGACAATTTGCTGGAGCGATTTAACAGTGGTCTGGAGCTGCTGAAGCGCAATCAAAACAAGTCCTCCGGCACCGCCAAGAGTCTGGAAAGCTGCGGTGATGGTACTGGTCAGGATAACCGCCTCACCCTGGCGCTCATCCACAGCCTGCTCCGACCGTTTGGTCAGTGCTATGAGCTGCTGACTCCGGCCACCATCTCCAAGTACTTTATGCCCATCTGGAACGTGGTGCTAGATCTGCTGGACAGCTTCACCGATGAGGAGCTGAAGCGCGAGGTGAAGCCGGAGGGCCGAAATGACTACATCAACGGCATTGTGAAGTCGGCCCGTTTTCTGGCCAGCCGTCTGACTGGTCAGGAGGAGTTAATACGCGACCTGGAAATGTTCCGATTGAAGATGATCCTTCGCCTGCTGCAGGTGTCCAGCTTTAATGGAAAGATGAACGCCCTCAACGAGATCAATAAGGTGCTGTCTTCGGTGGCCTATTACTCACATCGATCCCAGCCCCTACCCCACTGCATGCCCGAGGACGAGATGGACTGGCTGACGGCAGAGCGGATGGCGCAGTGGATAAAGTCATCAGATGTTTTGGGCATCGTACTCAAGGACTCGCTGCACCAGCCGCAGTACGTGGAGAAGCTTGAGAAGATCATACGCTTTCTGATCAAGGAGCAGGCGCTGACACTGGACGATCTGGATGCCGTTTGGAGAGCCCAGGCCGGAAAGCATGAGGCAATTGTGAAGAACGTGCACGACCTGCTGGCCAAGTTGGCCTGGGACTTTACTCCTGAGCAGTTGGACCATCTCTTCGAGGCGTTCCAGGTAAGCTTTCAATTACTTAAATCCCCTTTTAGCTTTTCACCAATCTATATTTTAACTGTTTTCCAGGCCAGCATGACAACGGCCAATAAAAGACAGCGGGAAAGGCTCCTGGAGCTCATTCGTAGGCTGGCTGAGGATGACAAGAATGGCGTAATGGCCCAAAAGGTGCTAAAGCTGTTCTGGACCCTGGCTCACAGCCAGGAGGTGCCGCCAGAGGTGCTTGACCAGGCACTCGGCGCCCACGTCAAGATCTTGGACTACAGCTGCTCGCAGGAGCGGGATGCTCAGAAGACTATTTGGCTGGACAAGTGTGTAGGCGAACTGAAGTCAGGCGAAGGATGGGTACTGCCTGCCCTGCGACTCATTCGGGATATCTGCTGTCTCTATGATACAACGCCGAACCATGCGCCACGTACCCAAACAGGCACAAATCGACAGCAGGTGATAGAGCGGCTGCAAAATGACTACTCACTTGTCATACTGGTCACCAATAGCCTAACGGCTTACATGGAAAAGGTGCGCCAAATGGTGGCCGACACACCGGGCCTGGAGGCAGCGACCATCCTGATTGACGGAAGGTTCCCGCATCAGGCGCAAATTGCTGAGCGACTGGAGTTCCTGAAGTTCCTCCTGAAGGATGGTCAACTATGGCTGTGCGCCGATCAAGCCAAACAAATCTGGCACTGTCTGGCGGTGAGCGCTGTCTTTCCGGCTGATCGCGAGGAGTGCTTCCGCTGGTTCGGGAAGCTGATGGGCGAGGAGCCCGATCTGGACCCCGGCATCAACAAGGACTTCTTCGAGAACAATATCCTGCAGCTGGATCCGCACCTGCTCACCGAGAGCGGCATCAAGTGCTTTGAGCGCTTCTTCAAGGCGGTCAACTCTAAGGAGGATAAGCTAAAGGCGATCCACAGGGGCTACATTCTGGACAACGAAGACCTGATCGGTAAGGACTACCTGTGGCGAGTGATTACAACCGGGGGCGAAGAGATCGCCAGCAAGGCCATCGATCTGCTGAAGGAGGTGTCCACCGCTCTGGGGCCACGGCTGCAAGAGAACATTGGAGAGTTTCATGAGATGTTCATCGGTGAGTGCTGCGCGCGCCTTCGAACGCACTATGGCAATATCGTCATCCTTGGCAAAACGCAGCTGCAGGAAGAGCTGGAGGCACCTGATCAGTCGGACAATGCCAACGACGAGTCTAAGGACTCGAAAATGCGCTTCATCGAGGCGGAGAAAATGTGCCGCATCCTCAAGGTGCTGCAGGAGTACGTAAAGGAATGCGACCGCTCATTTAGCGGCGACCGCGTCCACCTGCCCCTGAGCCGGGTAACGCGTGGCAAGAACACGAGCCTCTACATCCGGTTCCAGAACCCGGGACGGCCCATTGACGATTTGGAGATCGTGACGCACAGTAACGAGACTATGGCAGCCTTTAAACGCAGTCTTCTCAAGCGGATCAAGGGCACCTCCACGACCAATATTAAGGTGGATCTCTTCTACACGAATGGCGAAATGATTGAAGTCTCTGACGAGATTAACCCGCTCTACCAGTACACCATTCGCGACAAAATGATCCTCACGGCCAAGCTGACGCCCGTTGGCACTGGCCTCGCCAGCAGTCCCGACTCCTCGAGCGACTCGAGCACCGGTTCTCCACCGCGTCCCTGCCCCGACATGCAGCGCGTTGAGTCCGAGAGCACGCTGCCCGGCGTCATCATATCGCAGAACTACCAGTACACCGAGTTCTTTCTGAAGCTGTACCAGCTGGGCAGCGACCTGGAACACGGCCGTCTGCGCGAGAGTGCGAAGATTTTGCTGCACCTGCTCCCCTGCGACCGCCAGACGATGCGCCAGCTGCAATTGATGTGCAAAGTACCCAAGGCGGCGATAACAGTTGCGGGAGCACCCAAGGAGGACGGAGAAAAACTGAACTCAATTGAGCAACCGGCAGCCAGTGAGGCTGAGGAGGAGAATAGCTGCACGCCCGAACAGATGTTTCTGCACCCGACGCCCGCCCAAGTGCTATACAATTTGAGTGTGCTGCACGGACTGCTGATACCCGCCTTGGAGCCACTTGGTGAACCGGCTCTGCAGGTGCAGTCGGCCTGGATGCATTCGGGCTGCGCGCACTTTGTGCTGGAGCTGCTCACAAAGAATAATTTCCTTCCAAACGCCGATATGCATACGAAGCGCGCATCCTTTCAGTGCGTGCTGAGGCTGGCCAAATTGTTCCTCTACATTGTGGGCAGTGTGCTGTCGCGCGTTGGTGACGAACCGCTGATATGTGACCTGGATAACGGAGCCCGCTCCCAGGTGGACATCCTGAAGCAGAACTTTTCGACGATGCCGAACAGTTCACAGGGCACGCTGCGTGCAATTTCCGCCAAGCTGGCCGTGATACTTGCTCGTGAGATGCTTTCTGCCACCCAGGAGGGCGACCGCTGCCGCACCCTTTTCAGCTCGATGTTGCAGTGGTCTTGCCCGGACATCTCCACCATCAAGGCGGTGGTGCAGCTGGCCTGGGCCTCGTCCTGCGGAAACCTGCAGGCCCTGGGTAGCAGCAGCAGCAGCAGCGGCGACGGCTTTGAGGACGATGTGATTGTGCCGGACGGCCAGGACTTTAGCATGTGCAAGGAGGCGCTCGAGGTGCTGACCATCTCATTCATCCTGAATCCTAGTGCCAATGAGGCGTTAAGCAGCGATGCCAACTGGCCCAAGTTCATCACCTCCATTGTGCTAAAGAACCCGTATCGCCATGTGCGGCAGGTGGCGTCGGAGCAGCTGTTCTTGGCGTCCACCTACTGCGCCGGCGATCGACGTCCGTTCGTCTACATGGTCAACCTTTTGGTGGGTGCCCTAAAGACGCTGGTTCCCCAGTACGAGGCCACTTGCTCTGAGTTCTTCTCGGTCCTTTGCCGCACGCTGTCCTACGGATGCATCTACAACTGGCCGCTCCAGATTGGCGAGGGGCTGCTGGGCGATGAGATCAAGTGGCTGCAGCGTATTCGGGAAAATGTCCGCGCCACCGGAGACACTCAGGTGCACGAGGAGCTCCTCGAGGGCCACCTCTGCTTGGCCAAGGAGCTGATGTTCTTCCTCGTACCCGACTCAAAGGCCCAGTTCAACGAGCTCATCCACGAGCTGATCGACGACTTCCTCTTCACGGCCTCGCGCGAGTTCCTGCATTTAAGGCGGCAAGGCAGCCTCCGGCAGGACACTGTCCCGCCGCCAGTCTGCCGCAGTCCGCACACCATTGCCGCTGCCTGCGATCTCCTCATTGCCCTGTGCCAGCTGTGTGTTCCTAATATGAAGCTACTCACCAATACACTAATCGACTTTGTCTGCACGGGTGAGTTTAAAATCCAGATAAAAATCATCTGTTTTTTCCATACATGTTCGCTAATAATTTGTATACATTTTCCAAATTTGTAGACACAGATCCGTTGCGGGAATGGGATTACTTGCCACCCGTTGGAGCCAGGCCAATTAAAGGTTTCTGTGGCCTGAAAAACGCCGGGGCCACCTGCTATATGAACTCGGTGCTGCAGCAACTGTACATGGTGCCGGCGGTCCGGGTTGGTATTCTGCGTGCTCATGGTGCCGCCACCACCGATGGCGAGGATTTCAGCGGCGACTCGGATTTGACGGGCGGTGGCGGTCTGGGACCAGCGGCCCTCTTCTCCGGACCCGCCTCTGCCCTAGTCTCCTTCTCCTCGTCGTCTTCGGGTGCGGGATCCGACGATGGGTCGCAGGATGTGCGCAAGAACTACCATGTGGTGATCCTGAAGCATGTCCAGGCCATTTTTGCCCACCTGGGTCACAGTGCTCTTCAGTTCTATGTACCGCGGGGTCTCTGGACACATTTCAAGTGAGTCATGCCATAGAGCTTAGCATTTATGTGAAACTTAACCTCCACTCTGCAGGCTGCAAGGTGAGCCGGTGAATCTACGCGAGCAACAGGATGCCGTGGAGTTCTTTATGTCACTGTTCGAGAGCCTCGACGAGGGTCTGAAAGCGCTGGGTCAGCCGCAGCTGATGAACGCCACGCTGGGCGGCTCCTTCAGCGATCAGAAGATCTGCCAAGAGTGCCCCCATCGCTACTCCAAAGAGGAACCATTTAGTGTATTTAGTGTCGATATTAGGAATCATAGCTCATTAACCGAATCTCTGGAGCAGTATGTCAAGGGGGAGCTGCTCGAGGGAGCCGATGCCTACCATTGTGATAAATGTGATAAAAAAGTAATGTATTCCTTACTATCTTACCTTTCTGCCTCATCTTACCTAATCTTCTTTTGCTTGGAATCCCACAGGTAGTTACCGTTAAGCGGCTCTGCGTGAAGAAGCTGCCGCCCGTGTTAGCCATACAACTGAAGCGCTTCGAATACGACTACGAGCGCGTCTGTGCGATTAAATTTAATGATTATTTTGAATTTCCTCGTATCCTGGATATGGAGCCCTATACTGGTGAGTTCTCCGTAACCTTATCAACATTCTAGAACTAAAATTTAATCTTCTTTTGTGTCCAGTGTCTGGCCTAGCCAAGCTAGAGGGCGAGGTGGTCGAGGTGGGTGATAATTGTCAAACAAACAGCGTTGAAACAACCAAGTACGAACTGACCGGCATTGTGGTGCACAGTGGGCAGGCCTCCGGGGGTCATTACTTCAGCTACATACTCTCCAAGTGAGTCCAAGGCTACCAAATATTATATCCATTTGATTGTACATGGTTTTCCATCGCAGAAATCCTGCTAACGGCAAGTGTCAGTGGTACAAGTTTGACGACGGCGAGGTCACCGAATGCAAGATGCACGAGGACGAGGAAATGAAGGCCCAGTGCTTTGGCGGCGACTACATGGGCGAGATCTACGACAACAACCTGAAACGGATGCAGTATCGTCGTCAGAAGCGTTGGTGGAACGCCTACATGCTGTTCTACACCCGCTGTGACCAGACGCCAGTGCAGTACGAGCCCAGTGTGGAGCAGTTGTCGCTCACCGAGAGTCGCAACATGGTCCTGCCTCTGCCCAAGCCCATTGAGCGCAGCGTGCGGTGAGTTGGAGGAGGAACTATCGTTATTTGTTTTCGTCATTTAAATACATTAATTACCTTTCTCAGGCACCAAAACATTCGGTTTCTGCATTCGCGTAGCATTTTCTCTGTAGAGTTCTTCAACTTTATCAAGAAGCTGGTCAGCTGCAATATCCCCTCTGCACGGAGCGATAAGATTGTGAGTTTTTTTGTGCATCGGAGCACACATTTTATTATCGAATATTTCTCTTTCCTTTAGACACCTGCCGCAGAGGAGCTATCGTTGCTGGGTGTGCAGTTAGCATCGCAGTTCCTCTTCCACACTGGTTTCCGTACGAAGAAGTCGCTACGCGGCCCTGTCATCGAATGGTTAGTTGATATAGGCGCTTTAAGTTTATAATTTATTCATTAATAACTCTTTCTTTACAGGTACGACACGCTCTCACATCACATACGTTCCTCGGCGCTGGTGCGCAAGTGGTTTGCAAACAATGCGCTCCTTTCGCCGCCATCACGCCTAGGCGAGTACATCCTAATGGCTCCATCGCCAGAGGTGCGCACTGTATTCGTTAAGCTGGTGGTCTTCTTCTGTCATTTCGCCATCAACGATGAACCCTTAGCCGGCTACGACGGCGCCAATTTGTGTGAGCAGGTGCTTATCAGCGTACTCCGCCTGCTTAAATCGGAGGCAGCCGACTATGGCAAGCATCTGCCCCACTACTTTAGTCTCTTCAGCATGTACGTGGGACTGGGCACTCGCGAGAAACAACAGTTGCTAAGGGTAAGCGAGAAGAAGGAGTCCTTATTGATTCACAAACTAAAGACTTTGCTCATTTACAGCTCAACGTGCCGCTGCAGTTTATCCAAGTGGCACTGGATGACGGCCCTGGGCCTACCATCAAGTACCAGTATCCGGAGTTTAGCAAACTGCACCAGGTAGTCTCCCATCTGGTGCGCTGCAGTGACGTGAGCGAGAAGTGCCAGAGCTCCAATCAGAATGCCCGCCCGATGCCTAATCCATTCAAAGATGCCACAGTGCCGCACGAGGACCTGAAGCCTCTGTCCTCCGAATGTATGGATCTGCTCTTTACTCGCACCGGGTAAGTAAAGTTCCGAGAGCTCTGAGCTTACAGAAAAATCGTTTAAATGATCATTTATCTTATTCGTGTCCTACAGGTACATCAAGAAGGTGATCGAGGACACCAATGTGGGCGACGAGGGATTGAAGCTGCTGCAGTACTGTAGCTGGGAAAATCCGCACTTTTCGCGGGGCGTGCTCACCGAGCTGCTATGGCAATGCGGATTCGCCTACTGCCACGACATGCGCCACCACACAGACCTGTTGCTGAACATCCTGCTGATCGATGACTCATGGCAGCACCACCGTATCCACAATGCCCTCAACGGAGTGGCGGAGGAGCGTGAGGGCCTGCTGGACACGATACAGCGGGCGAAGACTCACTACCAGAAGAGGGCGTACCAGATCATTAAGTGCCTGACGCAGCTGTTCCACAAGTCGCCGATTGCCCTGCAGATGCTCAATACAAATCCGACCATCAGCCGGCAATGGAGTATTGCCGTCGAATGGCTGCAGGACGAGCTTGAGCGTCAACGGGGCATAGGCTGCCAGTACAACTCATACTCATGGTCACCGCCGGCGCAGAGCAACGACAACACCAATGGGTACATGCTGGAGCGCTCGCAGTCAGCGAAAAACACATGGACCATGGCCTATGAGCTCTGCCCTGATGAAAGCAGCGAAAAAACGGTATGTAATGCCTTGCAATTTTCGACGCAAGAGATAATTACTGATAATGCTGCTTGCCAGGATCAGGACGAGAATAACGAGTCCGATTTGGAGTCCAACCTGGAGGAGAATAAGGCGGCAGGTGCGCAAGAGGTAAGCGCTGGTGGCACGGAGCAGCCAGCGGACAACAAGACCACCACCACCAGCAGTCCGTCGACAGGCGCCTGGCCGGCTCGTGTGGATACCAATGCCATTCCCCGACTGTCACGGCAGCTTTTTGGGGCATACACATCGACCGGTAACAGTCCTGGAGGTAGTGGCGGCGTCACAGCCGCTACGACAACAACGGGCAGTGGCGCCAACAGCGAGACAGAGAGCAGTGCCCAGGAAACGGCAGGAGAGACGAGCATAAACGGACTGACGAATAGTCTGGACCAGATGGAGATAACGACCAAAAAGGTAATTGATGACGACAAGGTTTAGGACAATTATTGTCCACTGTTGAGTGTCTCCGTAGCCGAGAGGGATCCTTCGAGAGTCGCCTGCCAAGCAGTCCCCTAGGAGCAGAAACAGTACACACAATAAACACACTATATACACAAAATTCCAACTCCAATACTGTGTCTCTAAATCTCTGTCTCTTTGTCCATTTAGAAATTACTCTTGCAACTTAGGGCAGTGTTTGGAGAATATAAGTAATCGATTTTGAGCTTAAAAAACTACTAAATCGAATACGGAGGAACAATAATTTCTGGCTTCGGTGTCCGAAGATCGGCCTTCCAATCTTCTTGATTTTTTCTAACTTGCTATAAATATTAGGGATTGCATTAAATATTTTTTTATAATATTTATAATAATAGATTCCGACATCCCTTACATTTATATATATGATCGGTCACAAATACCTTGCGATTAGCTTTTCGGCGTTTCGTTGTTGTTTATTTCCCTTTGTTGTTATTCCCCTCCTCAAACTGTAATCACACGCGGACAGCCGGGCTTACGGAGTCGCTCCAAGGGAGGCAAATTGCCACCGGTCCTCTTCCACCACCATCAGTTGCCGACGGCGACGGAGCAGCAACTCAAGTTGAAGTACCAGCAACTGCAGACCCACAAGCAGCAGGCCCAGCAACAGCCGCAACAGCAGCAGCAACTACGCGGTGATATAAGCAAGAGTTCCTCAAGCCGCTTGATTTGATTTGCTGCCAAGTTAGTTAGAGTTGTTGTTTCATTTGAGTCCCGATCGCCCGCCCGCTCGCCTGCCTTTCTGTTTTTTTTTTTAGTTCTGTTGACAGTCCCCGGCACAAACGAGATGCACTTGTCATCATTCCCGGATCTGTAGCAGTGTTCAATTTGGTTTTTCTATTACTTTCCACTGCAATTTGCTCTGCTCACCATCATCAACATACGACACACACACACCCACGCTCACCAGCTCTCAAAACACACTAGATCAGTGGGGTCCTATATATGATCAGTGATTCAAGTGATATATATTCCAAATGTGGAATCAATTAGCTCAAGACAATTGAAATAAATAAGATGTGTGTTCTCTAAAAATTTGTACGAGCAATTGGATGCGAATTTAGTTGCTACCAGAAAATCCATGATATGCATCTTATTAATTTTTGTTGTCTTTGAACCTGTGGTGCTATGGAAATATTCAGACATGTGAAAAGTAATTAAATAATTCCTAATTTTGAAAGTTTTCACTTATTGTAATTATTGTTATTGTACAAAAAGCTTAATACCCGCAATATATCATCTGTTGATTTGCTTGTAAATATACCAAGTATCATTTGAATAACCACGTCGTATATACGATCTGTTTGATGATAACACTCGAATGCAAGATTGCAATTACTGCTTACCTGGCACGCAGACGCTGACGTAGCACCCGTATAGATATTAGCAAATATTAATCGACTTGAACTAATCTGAATCCTTTTGGCATTCGCAGAAGCAACGCAGGATATTGAGAAGAAGGCTAGTGGAAAGTAAGGACGAGGAGGACACGACGGGCGAAAGCACAGAGGTTAACGCGGAGGAGGTCACAGCGGCGACAACAACTGCCACAGTAACACCAACGACGGCAACATTAACACCCATTACAACGGAAACAGAGAAAAACTTAATTTAAGTCGACAGAAACAAAAACAGAAAAGAAACCACAAACAAAAGGTTCTTTGCAATAAAAAAATGTAATCGCAAATTAACAAAGCAGAGAGAAGGAAAGAGAGGAGCAGCAACAACTTATGATGAACATCCATATAGCGTTAAGTGAACCAAAGCAGCCTGACAATGAGAACGGTGTGGACAACAAGAGGTGTTTTACTATGCTAGTAGTGGGGCTCCCGCCGTCGTAAACGAGACTTAATGGGTTAATATGCGATCCTGCGTAGATATTAACAAATGGAGACCATCTGGGAGCGGTACTAGAGTCATGAGTCACCAGTCAAGTTGAGGAGCAGCAGGAGAGTATGTACCAGCAAAGGTGTTTAGTAGTTATCGAACTTTATAATTACCTTAACAAGATACATAGAACAGATACACAGACAACCCACAAAACACACTTGAAACAAAGAGAAACACACTCATAAATACTAAGATGCGTTAAGTTGCACGTTTACAGTACCATATAATTGTATTTATATAGTATATAAATGATGTATTACGTATTGAAGCCGAGCAACATTAACTAATACTAACCGAAAAAAATAAACTAAAAAAAAACAAATAGCAAAAAAATTAATTAAAAAAAAAAGAAATCAAAACGACATGAGAACATATAGATGCAGGGGTCCCACAGAATTAGCTGGACATGTGAAATCCACTTCGATTGTGCCAAGAAATATGGACATTCTACTCGGCGCTTTTTGAATAGGTCTCAAATCTCTTGCGATTTCTGTGACACCCCTGATAGATACGATATACTAGGAAAACTAATCGAAACGAAAATCGGCTGAATGTAAGAATTAGGGCAAAAGAAACCAAATTGCATCTTCAGTACTCGGTACACTCGCCTGAAAACTGAAAATTGAAAACCGAAACTGAAACTGTTTCCATAATCATATTTGAACATCGTAAAACAAGTTAATGGGATGCTAAATCAAAACGAAAACGAAGCAAAAACATAAACAAATGCAGTATAAACTCAAGAGCAAACTGGACTAAAGCAACACGAGAGCATAAAAGAGAGAAACTTGATTATGTTTATACTAAGTATACATATATATATATATTTTTAATTGAATTAGTGTTTTGTATTAAGTGAAATTTGTTAAACATTTATTAAATTATTATGTTTTAAGTTGCTAATATAATAAAAGCGAATTGTAAGCATTCTCTCGGTTGCCGTTTCCGTTTACCACATCCGAAGTCACACTCATAAGCCGCAAAATTATGTACGAAACTCAATTTTAATTTATGTATCCATGATGATCAATTCAAAATGATAAATCACATTTTGGAAATGTGTGCGCGTGTTCGAGAAAAACTGAATAAATCTTATACATCCATTAAAATTCAACAACTGAAAACGAAAAAACAACTTTTGTTTCGTGTATTCAACCATCATTCCTTCAGCCTGCTTTTTGAAAGTCAACATGTTAAACATTTTTAATGCCATAAAGGGACAAAAGACAACATAATTATTCCATTAAATGGACAGGTTTACGCTTAACTCTAATAAATGCACTTGGTTATCCCTGGATGCGTAGTTGGTGGTCAATATTCAGAATATAGGTATATACTTGTAGATAAATGCAACAATATCCCTGGTACGTGGTTTGGTCCAGACTACTTGGACGCCTCTTCGTCAACGAAGGTAATCACTGCCGCTCCCTTGGCGACATTGTCACCCTCGGCTCCACCAATCGACTTGATTATGGCGTCCTTGGGTGCCTTGAGAATGTGCTCCATTTTCATTGCTGTGAATATAACATATACAATTTTAGGATATTACAAAGATATGAAAAGTTACAACATACCAATAAGCACAGCCAAGCTGTCGCCCTTCTTGACCTGGTCACCTGGTTTCACTAAAACCTTCTCCAAAACACCGGGCATGGGTGCCACCACCCTGGAGCTACCTCCTCCCAGTTGATCGACTTGGGCACTCAAGAACTTGGGCTGAACCAGCTCAAAGTCTAGTTTTCCACTCTGTGAAAAAATAGAACGAATGTAGGAAAAAGCAGCAAGTTTTCATCTGAAACCTACCTCTAAGAACAAGACCACATTGACTCCATCAATATTGGCATTGTAGGTGGTGATATTGCTATCAATATTGGCCCGAATCTTGAGGCGCTCACCATCCTGTACTCTTTCCGCTTTGATTACTTGCCAGTCTCCATTATCCACCTGTACTTGAACATCTTCGCCATCGAACTTCACAGCCACGGAGTAAACTAAACAAGAACTCTGGTGATTGTAATATTTTCTACCGCTATATAGCGATATCGAGCTTACCTTTATCGTTTGCTTTCAGGTTATAGGTCCGGATCAGGGCGTAATTAAGGCGAAGATTGGGTGTGGTGGCAAAAGGATCCTGGCTGCCTCCGTTGCTGTTGCTGAAGGCCGACTGCAACTCATTGAAGACTAATGCCAGGGCAGCTTGACCCACCTGTTGCGGGCTGATAACAATAGGCGGGAATAGTGTATCAAAGTGCTGATCGATGAAGCCAGTGTGTACGTTGGCCAGCTGGAACTCAGGATGTGAGGCCAAATCGATGAGGAAATTGATGTTCGTGTCAAGGCCAGAGATCTAAAATCAATTCAAAATTAATATACACAGAGCAACAGTCATGATACAAAGCTTACGTGGTACTCGCCCAGTCGGGCAATCAGAGAGTTGAGCGCCTGGGAGCGGTTCTCGCCCCACACGACCAGCTTGGCAATCATGGGATCGTAGTGCACAGACACCTCGTCGCCCTCGCGGACACCCGTCTCCACGCGCACATCAGCGCTGGGCTGGGGCGTCGAGAGGTAGCGCAGAGGTCCGGCTCCGGGCAGGAAACCGCCCCGGGGATTCTCGGCATAAATGCGGGCCTCGAAGGCGTGGCCACGGCGGGTGATCTCCGACTGCTTCAACGGTAGGGGCTCGCCGGCGGCAATGCGAATCTGCCACTCGACCAGGTCGGTGCCCGTGATCATCTCGGAGATGGGATGCTCAACTTGAAGACGGGTGTTCATCTCCATGAAGTGGAAGGAGAGATCCTCTTTGTCTAGAATAAACTCTACTGTGCCGGCTCCAACGTAACCCACGGCCTTGGCAGCTCGCACAGCTGCCTCGCCTAGTTCGCGACGCAGCTCCTCCGACAGACCAGGCTGAGGAGTATATACATTGGTTCAAGGATAATAATAGGAAGCCACATCTTCATACATACCGCTGGCGCTTCTTCAATGATCTTTTGGTGACGGCGCTGAACGGAGCAGTCTCGTTCCCACAGATAAACAGCATCACCATATTGATCGGCAAAGACCTGGACCTCCACATGGCGCGGAGAGCGCACATAGCGCTCCAGCAACACAGAGCTGTCACCAAAGGATTTCTGGGACTCGGTGCGAGCAGAGTTCAGGGCTGTGAGGAAGTCCTCCGGCTTTTCGGCAATTCGCATGCCCTTGCCGCCGCCACCACGAACGGCTTTGATCATCAGCGGAAAGCCAATGATCTGGGCCTCCCTCTGCAGGCACTCATCGGATTGACCCTCGCCATGGTAGCCATTGATGATGGGCACTCCGGCAGCAGCCATAATCGCCTTACTCGTGCTCTTGATGCCCATGTCTCGGATGGCGGAGCTCGGCGGCCCCATAAATATGACGCCCTCCTTCTGGCACAACTCTGCGAACTCCACGGACTCAGAGAGGAAGCCATAGCCCGGGTGGATGGCCTGTGCGCCCGATTTTTTGGCAATGTTCAAGATGTGCTCACCACGCAGATACGAGGCGGAGGAGGCGGCCTCTCCCACACGGTAAGCCTCATCTGCCAGCTGTGTGTGCAGGCTCTTCTCGTCTGGATCGGAGAATACAGCCACGGTGCGAACGCCCAGCTTGCGGGCTGTGCGGATCACGCGGCAGGCGATCTCACCCCGGTTGGAGATCAGGATCTTATTGATGGGTCGCACCTTCGGGGTGGCTTCGGTGGCAAAGCACCTGTGGCCGGAGAAAACAAAAACAAATTGGAGATGTTTATGTAATCGGTTAGGAACCTGTTGATTCCTATTGGGCCTGGCAGCAGCCAGGACTAGCTTTCTCACCTGGCACTTGCTCCAACGTTGCGGAGTAGTCTCGCATACATTCTTACTCAATTAAATGCACTATGGTTTACTTTAATAAATAAATTTTAATTTAGCAAATGGCCAGAGTGCGATCGTCTGTTATCACCAGTGATGCCAGTTTCGCTTTTTGCTGTTTTAGATATCTTTCTAAAATACTATCTAGCTTAAATTCTGTTATGTCATTTATTGTTTTTAATGCATAAACTTCTTATGTAAATTATGCAGGGATAAAAAAGGCTCAATAGTCGGTCAAAATCTTGTTTGCTTTCGAAAATGTGCAGCAATTTTCACTGATAATACCACAAAAAATATATTTTCGCACTGCAAAGTTAACAGCACTAACTAGAACGGCGGGCGCTGTGAGAATATCGATGGTTCTATCGATATAAGCACTATCGCTTATCATTTTGTTGACACCGCCTATTGCCATCTCTAGTTTGCGCGCTTTTATTGTTCACAACACATCTTACTAGACAATTTTCATCAAAATAATGCCGAACCAAGACGAACTTAGCCAAGGGGCCAAACAGAGATTCGTGGAGACGGCTGCGCGGGCAAAGAACCCACTGGAATCCCTCAGCTATCAGAACTATAAGGCTCCAACGGGGGAGGAGTTCAAGCTGCTGTGTCGGACTAAAACGGACGCGGATCCAACGATGCTGAAATGGGCATTCAAACTGGCCGAAACCAATGTGGGCCCGTTCTACACACAGCTGAAAATGGGATGGCAGCCGAAGGTCAAGAAATCGGAGCTGAACAAGAAATGGGCTCGCTACTTGGTGGTCCAGAACGACAAGAAGGAGAATGTGGCTTACTCCATGTTCCGTTTTGACATGGACCACGGCGACTGTGTTCTGTATTGGTAAGTCTAATAACTGCAATTTGCACGATCTGCCCACATTTAATCATTCTTCCGGCAGCTACGAAATGCAAGTGGCCGCGCCCTACCAAAGAAAAGGTCTGGGCAAGTTCATGATGCAAATTCTGGAAGACTGCGCCCGCCACTGGCACCTGGAGAAGCTTATGCTCACTGTTCTCAATAACAACGAGCAGTCCATATCCTTCTACAAGCAACTAGGTTACGGTAAGGATGAAATTTCTCCGGATGTGCTTGAAGAAGCCGACTATCAAATCTTCAGCAAATCCTTGCTGAACTGAACTCGATAAAATAAGACAACTAGAAACTAACTCAACAATAATTTTTTATTTATTTCAACAAATTGGCCTGGGTCTCCAGATAGTTGGCCATGCGAATGTCCTGCGAACTGAGGCCGCCAACGTCGTGTGTGGAAAGTGTGACGTCCACCTTGTTGTAGACGTTGAACCACTCGGGATGATGGTTAATCTTCTCGGCCAGCAGGGCAACGCCAGTCATGAAGGCGAATGCCTGGTTGAAATCCTTGAGGACGTACTGTTTGAAGATGGCATCGCGGCCCTCGACCAGGGTCCAGCCGCAGTCCAGCAGTGGTTGCAGCTTCTCAGCACGCTCCTGTTCGTTTAATCGCACCTGCGTTATCAAGAAATCAAGTATGTAAGTTTGATTTTTTAAACCGAATTTGGATTATGGATTATGGGTGTTGGAATAGATATTGAAGTTGTATCAGGAACCTGCCTAGAACCCCAATCTTCGCTAAGAACAAAGGTCATCACTACCTTTGTCATAACTTTCTCTTTTTATGTTATTATTTTGAATTAACGCTAGGGATATTGCTCATACAAAGCGAATGTTTAGGGGAACTTCTCCTAAAGCGCCATGACTTGTATAGAAATTCCAGTTATCAGGCTATATATACATAAGTATTTTTTGACTCACTAATGCCGCTAAAACTGGTTCAAGTAATCAAGACAGTGAATTCAAAATTTAAATTGAGCTTTTGCTCAATACTTATGTATTTTTTTTTAAACGTTTGCTAAAATAACTTCAATACACATTCAGCCCGGTGTCCGTCTGATCTGAGATCCATAGGAGCAGGATCTTCCTAATTTGGTATCCCGTTTAAGAGTGCAGGGTATGTCAATGGTTTAAATACAGTTTGCAGGTTCATTGCCATGCTAATTCCTACCCTAAATCCGTAATACCTCTTACAGGGTATTAACCACATGCTTAAACTCCACGGCTTAACCTTGAGGTCGCGTATTAAATTGGCGAGGAGATAAGCGAACCTCTCGAATTCTCGGCTTCGCCCTTGATCCGAGCAGCTACCTATTGCCCATTGTACTTACCACCATTTTGTGCTTTTTCGCTGTGGTTTCTTTCTTCTGAGTGCCGCAAAGTCTCCGGAGAAGCGAGCTGCCACCAGTTGCTGCTGCTGTTTTCGCTGGCGAATACAGAACTGAGACACAACTTTTCGCTAACATTTGGCGTGTCGAGCTTGGCAAGTTTACCCAGAGATGGCCACGAATCGATTTCCGCACCGATACTATATATATCGATGTATATATATTGTATTGTTGAAATAACAAAAAACTTCAAAATTCAAACTTTAACAAACTCCTTTCTGCAATTAATATAATTTATAAAATGTTCCCATTTATTGAGTTATATACAAATGAATTCTTGGGTTGTACTTACCTACTCCAACCACGTACTGTGCCTTAAGCTACAAAATTTGTGCGGCGGTCTCTTTGCCACCCACACTTGCACCCGTACCTGTACTCCTCTGTACTGCTCACCTTCTGGTTCTGGTCCAGGTTGGCTTCTGATGGGCTGTGCTCCTTCCACCACAGCAAATATACCCAACTTTGCATCTCTGGGCGGTGTTTGTGCCGGTGCCGTCCCGCGGCACCGAACATGGAACCTTCCTCTGTGGTGTCCTATATGGATTAAGATAATGTTCAGTGACATCTACTTGCGGCAGGTATCGGATCCACCTCCTCCCGCAGTTGAGGGACGACAGAATAATTAAATGTCAATATGTTCGTTCCCCAGTTGGTGTTCTGGTTAATTTCCAATTTGAGCAATTGGACAAATTTGAAAACGTGCAATGTGCCCGCCGGTTTTTCCGTTTTAAATTTGAAAAAAAATACCAGAAATGGTATGTTGAAGCCGTATTAAATGATTTCGGAGGGTATTCTAATTTTAGTCAGATGCTTGTAACGCTGCCAGTAGTCATTTCCGACCCTATAAAGCATATATATACTTGATCAGCATCAATAGCCGAATCGATCTAGCCATCTCCCGTAAAAAGGAAAATTTTCAAATTTTTTCACATTTTTATCATTAATTTTACATCTGTAAAATTTTAAAAAATTGTCAAAATTTTAAACTATTTAAAATTGTAAATCCAGTATGCAGATTTGTTAAACTACTATAAACTAGCACAGAACAGCTTTCCGAATTAAAATTGATGCATTTTTGGCTTAGTTAGGAGATTTTTAAACTTCGATTTGTCTAAAAAATTTTCATATAAAATATAGATAAATATCCGTCTGAAAATGCTATTATCCTGCAGTCAGATGCTTGTAATGCTGCCAGGAGTTATTTCCGACCCTATAAATCATATATATTCTTGATCAGCATCAATAGCCGAATCGATCTAGCCATCTCCCGTAAAAAGGAAAATTTTCAAATTTTTTCACATTTTTATCATCATTAATTTTACATCTGTAAAATTTTAAAAAATTGTCAAAATTTTAAACTATTTAAAATTGTAAATCCAGTATGCAGATTTGTTAAACTACTATAAACTAGCACAGAACAGCTTTCCGAATTAAAATTGATGCATTTTTGGCTTAGTTAGGAGATTTTTAAACTTCGATTTGTCTAAAAAATTTTCATATAAAATATAGATAAATATCCGTCTGAAAATGCTATTATCCTGCAGTCAGATGCTTGTAATGCTGCCAGGAGTTATTTCCGACCCTATAAATCATATATATTCTTGATCAGTATCAATAGCCGAATCGATCTAGCCATCTCCGGTAGAAAGGAAAATTTTCAAATTTTTTCACATTTTTATCATCATTAATTTTACATCTGTAAAATGTTTAAAAATTGTCAAAATTTAAAACTGTTTAAAATTGTAAATTGAGTATGCAGATTTATTAAACTACTAAAAACTAGCACATAACAGCTTTCCGAATTAAAATTGATGCATTTTTGGCTTAGTTTTGAGATTTTTAAACTTTGATTTGTAAAACAAATTTGCATTTAAAATATAAATAAATATCCGCCTGAAAAATGGTATTATCCTGCAGTCAGATGCTTGTAATGCTGCCAGGAGTCATTTCCGACCCTATAAATCATATATATTCTTGATCAGCATCAATAGCCGAATCGATCTAGCCATCTCCGGTAGAAAGGAAAATTTTCAAATTTTTGCACATTTTTATCATCATTAATTTTACATCTGTAAAATATTTAAAAATTGTCAAAATTTTAAACTATTTAAAATTGTAAATCGATTATGCAGATTTGTTAAACTACTAAAAACTAGCACAGAACAACTTTCCGAATTAAAATTGATGCATTTTTGGCTTAGTTTTGAGATTTTTAAACTTTGAACAAATATTTATATAAAATATAGATAAAATGTCCGCCTAAAGAATGGTATTATACTTATAGGTAGAAGCTTGTAACGCTACCAGGATTTCCGACCCTATAAATTATATATATTCTTGACTGAGATGTGATAGATTTTCACTGCAACGGTATAGAATTCTGATTTCCTGAACCAAAAATCCAATTTATTTTTGGATTCATGAAACTTAGTTAAAAAAAAATTTAAGTGCGGATCAGCTGGAGCTTCAGAGGTACATTTCAAATACATAAATCCCTCTTGTTCAAATTATTGAAATTGTTCTCCAATAGTTTTATATTAGAATAGGTATATTTTAACGGATATAGTTTATTTGTTTTATTGAGAATATATTTTTATAGATTTAAATGCTGAACGGTGATGCCCTCTTATATATTCCTTAGGATCCTTGTTAATTGTTTTTTTGATAGATTTTAATTGAATATGTTGCTTCTTGTCTTTGCTTTACTTGTGCACTGTATTATCGGATTCACCGTTGCCGTAATAATCGTAATCCACATTGGCGGTGGAGGTGGCCAACCTGGGCGGAACACTGGGAGTCACTGCCTCCTGGGCTGGCAAGGCCGGAGCGGTGGTGGCTTCCGGCGGAGCCATTGTTGTGGTTGTTGTGGTCTTTCGCCAGCGCAGACTGTAGCGACTGCGTATAAATGGTGGCATGGTCACCAATAAAGAGTCGCCAAGGGCTTGAAAACAAAATTGGGACATAAAATGGATAGCAATTAAGGACATACAAGAAGCTTATTGTAGCAAAATATAATTCAGTTCAAATGTATTTTAGTAAAAGCTGCTTTAAAAATGCTTTAAAAACATCACTTACCCAGCCCCAAAAGGCAACAGCAAAGGACCAGCAGCAGGGACAGCTTCATTCTTTGTAACCCTTTCAGTGCAAACTGTAGCTTTTCACAGCAAGTCCCAATGCATTTATATAGGCCTCTTGGACCGCCAGATAAACCCAGATAATTCCCAGAGGCAGTTCCCCATGGGGAACTGCAGTGGAGCCCTCTCTCCAAGTTCATTCACCGCTCCTGCTGCGATTTTTGTTTGTAAAATTATTTATTTCGTTATCTCTGAATGAACTCTTACTTAGCGACACATTGTACAAATGCTTCGGAATCGATATTATTATGCTTAAGCGAAATGGTAATAAATACGTGTTTGTGGAGGCGGCTGAGTGACCGGATTTATCCGGGTATATCAGTTGTCCGGATCCGCCGGTCTCGGGCGCTTCGGTCCAGATGGTATTGGTGGCGGCGGGACATCCGGAACGGCGCGGTTTTTGCTCGCCGATCCGTTGCGGATGTCCTCGAAACTGGGCTTCGCTGGCTCCAGGTTGTCCAAGGGAAGTGGCTGAATCTGTGGCTGAATCTGTGGTTGAATCTGAGGCTGAATCTGTGGTTGAATCTGAGGCTGAATTTGTGGCTGTTCCTCCTCCGCCTGTGGTGTGGCAGCTGGAGCAGCTGTAGGGTAACCTTGGCTGGGATAGTAGTCATACGGCGGCAGGTAGTTCTGGCGTATATATCCCGCTTGGTCGTAGATCACCGGATACTGGCTATAAGGATATGGAGGCAGGTGCATGGGTTGTCCTCGCAGCTGCGATGGCAGGGGAATGAGCACGGGAGGAAAACCCTGCTGGTTGAGGGGCAGTGGCATCATCTGCTCTTTGGTCATCTCCTTGGGCTCCAGGTTACCGGGTGGCGCCTGTGGCAGAGGTTGCTGTTCCACAGGACCTTCTGCAGGTTGCTGGGGCTCATAGGGTGCAAACCCAGCAGGATATTGCGAGGAAGTTGGCAGGGGATATGGCAGCTGGAAAGTGAACATTTTATTAGGTTAATATTACATTCTCAAAAAAGAATTTCAAATAAAAAATTGCTCAGTAAAACCTATTATTATTATTTTTATTATAAAATTATGTTCAATTATATTCTTGGTAGTTAAGACTTTAGATATAATAAGACCCAAAAACAGTTTAACAAGTAGCCTTAACACTCTATATAATTCTAGTTAAACTTTTCGCAACATTAATCTCTTTTCATAAATACAAGTTATTTATAACCTATTTCTATAATCTTCAACGTGTAATTGTAGTAATTTCAAGTAATTTCACAACACTCACCCTCTCATTTGGCATTAAACCCGGCACGATTGGCTGACCAAATCTCACCAATGGAGGACTGTAGAAGCCATAGGGATTGTAGGGTCCGAAGGGGGCATAGCCCGGCTCATGGATCGTGGGCTGGATGACCGGATAGGCTCGGCTGGAGGTCAGGTTGTCGTCCGTGGTGATCAGGGCATTGTAGACCTTGGGCTTCTTTCGCAGGCGGCGGGCGGCCTGCGAGGAATCCGCCAGCAAAGCCACGACCAAGCCCAGCAGCAGAATTAGAAGCGTTCGCTGTAGGAATAAATCAGAATCAGAATCGGAGCTTTGTACAAGTGCCTACAGTTTTCCATTGACAGCTGTCCCTGGTATTTGTCGCTCTGCACATAGATACAAATATATTACAGTGTTCAATGAAAATCGTAATCTGTTTAATTGATCGCCATATCGATCGACAATCAATCAATGGATTGTTTGGACTACGCACAATTGTGCTGGCGTTTCTTGACGGAAGTTGGGAGCTGCTCTACAGGGAAGCCGTGGCTCGTTACTAATGGGAGCTCCGATCGCGACCAGAAGAAACCCAAAAGATACTTTCAAATGGGGCTGCAGTCGACGGAGTTGGGAGAAACAATCAACACATGTCAGCCATTGTTGCGAATTCTCTACACTTCATTAGTTCTGAATTGAAATGTAGATTGTTCCTTTAATTGGATTACGTATTGGCCGGAGTTCAAACCGGACGGGGGAATATTAGGAATATTCAGATACACTTGGAACAAAAACTACACTCGAAATAGTGAGTTTAAACTGTTCATTTGGGTATACTAAGATTACTTGGAATGTAGGGACTTGAATCAATTCACTTGTAGTTCCCAGTGCATGGGTTCAACTGGAAGCCCAAGAGATATGGAGCGTCTAGGTCCGGTTAGACGAGTTGCCCCAATGGGCTCTCGTCGTGGCACTGGAGCATGCAAATGCACTGGAGCGATCCGCGGAACTGTGACCGCGTTTTTCTGATCTTGATCCCCAGTCGCCCAGTCCGCTCTCGGATCAGTTGGATCACTCGGATTACCCAGAGCTGGGCTTGGCTGCCCTGACTGAGGCTGAGACTGGGACTGAGACTGACTGGCAATTTGCCTTGCTTTCCATGCGCATTTCACTTTGACTTTCCTCCGCGGGCCACTCAGACACTCCACCCACTCGATGCCCCCACCATGATCTCCATTGCCAGAGCAATTTTCAACGCTTTTCCTTTTCTGTTTTCTAGCTTCGTTTTCGATTTCAGTGAAATTAAATCGACGCCAAGCGATTCGAATTGAATTGAGTGGAATCAGCAACTAACAACCACCTCGAGACAATAATCGTAATGATCGGGCCGAGATTGATCAAGTGCCGGAGTGCAGCTCCACTCCACTTTGTTGAAAATTGGGCCAACTCGAGTGCCATTGTAATGTGTTTGCGTTAAAAGTGATAGTCGAATAGTTCGATCTTCGATCTTCGGTCTTCGATCTTCGGATCTTCGGTCTTTGCTCTTTGGTCTTGGATCTTGGCCATGGGTGTTTCCCATAGGCCCGCCAAGAAATCGAGAGTCACATCTCGATTGGGCGGGTGGTCATGTGATTCAATGGGCTTTGACTGTTAAATTAACTGAAATCACCAGACGGAGGTTCTTGAAAAGTTCTTTTAAATATGCTTTTACTTTATACAAGCGATCGGAAAATATTAAATATTAAAATATACGAATGTCAGGGTTATTAATTAAAATGTTGGACACATTCTTAAGGGAACTAAGAGCTTGAAGAGTTAATTAATATTTTGTTTTCTCTCTAAGCTGTCTCTTTGTTTTGATCTATTTTGCACATTATTCTTACTTTCATTCTGGGTTAAACATTTTCTTCATCTGACAAGGTTCTGTAAATGTCGCTTCTATTACGTATTCCCTTCAACCTTTCAACACATTTTTAATTGCTTAATTGTTATAATTGTAGATTAATGGAATTATTTAGCACAAACAAGTACTTAACAATTGTATTGAAACTATAAAGTACTTAATAATTGTTTTGAAACTATAAAGTAAACTAGAAACCATGTAACTTAAGTCTCAGTAAAATTTACATAACTGATTTTATTATTTAATTTGAATATTTGCCTTCAGTAAAGTAACATTAGAAGAAAAATATTATATGATATATTTAATACGCTTTAGAAGGCAATTAATTATTTTTATAAATAACTTAACTGTTGTATTGTTTCTAACAAAAGATAAGTAAATGCTACTCTTTACCTAAATACATAATTCTTTCAAGTTAGGAATTCTAATATGTTGCTTTATATTACTTAAATTAACTCTACTAATTGTTAAATATTATTAGCCACTAATTTGCTATTCTATTTAATTTTTTATTCTTTAAATTCAAGTATTTACATTACAAAGCAATTAATTTATAAAGTTTTTTATGAGTCTCGTTAAGTGTTTGCAATTCCTAGAGTATTTGAAGCTTGACTTGAGCGTATTTCCTTGCTTTTCAACTCATTAGAATAGCCTGGTCTTCTAGCCAGCAGACTTCTGGCCATAAAGCCATGAGCCATGAGCCATGAGCTGGGCTTGCCTGACTTTTAGTGGCCTGGATTTGGCCAGTTGTTGTTGAGCTGGCTTATTAGAAGCTGACTCAGCCGCAAGTCGCCAGTCGCATTCATGGCTAAGACCAGTTCAAAGTAAATGCTAGCCGCTGTAACCTTAAACCTGGAGTCTGAACCTGAGTCTGAGTCTAAGATTGTGGCGGAAAGTGAAAGTGCTGGGCTGGAGGGGGTTGTGTGGGCGATCAAAGGCATCACTCGTCCGCCGCTCGCTTACCTTTTCCATTTGCATAGTGGCTGCCCTTGTTTACGGATTCCCTCCGGATTTCGTATGCAGACCAGGTGATGAGTGCACTGAGGAAGCTCCAGAAAATCCCCAAAATAAATATATGTGTATTTATTGTCAGCAACTGCACTTGCACTTGCGCTTGCGCTTAAAATTCACAATTGGCGGCAACACGACACGTAATGACTTTGAAAACAAGTTGCTTTATAAATAATACAAAATACAGAATAAACAAATGCACTACTGGCATATGCAAAGTGCTCCTTGACGGACGACCGGAGCACGACTTGGCGGTGGCTCTGTCTCTGTGGTGACTCTACGCGGAGGCTGCCGACGATCGACTGACTCTTTCTGCCGCTGCGCACGCGCGTTTCTTTATGGGGAGCTCGGCGGAGACTGAGACTTGACTGGGACTTGGTTGGGCGCGCACTCCATGGGCAGTCTTTTATACCTTCGGTGGTGTCAGTTCCATGATGGTGTGCTTTCTGGCCATAAAGGCTGTGCAAATAAATGGCCAGGAACTTCTAGGAGTTTGGCCTAGTTTTGGCTAACCTTGCAGCGCGGGTCTTTGCCACAGATTTGTTATGGGTTTAAAATTAGATTAACATCTGATACTCTACAGTTTGCAGAAGAAAGTATATACTTTTTTCTCAACTTTTACATATTATTCCCCCTTCGAATGTGTCAAAACAAAACTAAACAAAAAATAAATACAAAACCGAAATGGCTTTCCCATTGAAGGAGGCATTTTCATTAGCTTCGATTTAATTGCTCTCCGAGGCCTTTAATGAATGCAATAAACCGGGCGAAAGTGTAGAATCGAGGCGCAATGAACACCAACTGGGTCTCTAGGAATTTGTTCAGCTCTCCACGGTAATAGCTAGATACTATATAGTCAAAAGCTATAGCTCTCGGGAAATGCAATTGTCGTGGCCACAAACATGTCTTTATTCTCGGGCCATAACAAATGAGCTTTAACTGCGCGTTTCACTTTCGTTTCGTTTGGGGAGCTCTGGCTAAGAACACACAACTGCTGCTAATATAATAATATAATAATATAATAATATAATAATATAATAATATAATAATATAATAATATAATAATATAATAATATAATAATATAATAATATAATAATATAATAATATAATAATATAATAATATAATAATATAATAATATAATAATATAATAATATAATAATATAATAATATAATAATATAATAATATAATAATATAATAATATAATAATATAATAATATAATAATATAATAATATAATAATATAATAATATATAATATAATAATATAATAATATAATAATATAATAATATAATAATATAATAATATAATAATAAATAATATAATAATATAATAATATAATAATATAATAATATAATAATATAATAATATAATAATATAATAATATAATAATATAATAATATAATAATATAATAATAATAATATAATAATATAATAATATAATAATATAATAATATAATAATATAATAATATAACAATATAATAATATAATAATATATTAATATAATATTGGAATGGCAGTGTCTCTCTCTCTCTCTTTATCTCTTACTATTTCGGTGTAGCTATCACTCTCTGTGCATCTCTAGATGCACTCTCTCTTCATTTCTCTGCCTAGCTATAGAGGGATACCTTTCTCTCCTACTCTCACTCTCTCTCTCTCTCTCTCTCGGTTTACTCGGGAACTATAAATAGAGGCACTGCAGTCGCTCTGGCCTCATTCTGTCCGCTGCCTCCTCACTGTTAACATCTGTAGTGATAGTGGATAGTGATTGCTCTTGTCTTATTGCCATGGGTCCCATTACTTAATTCTAAATTAAAGTGATTCAGCCATTTTTATGAGGGATATCTACCAATGGACTAACTTAATTATTTGCTACATTATTATACCCTTTGCAAATATTCATTTATTAAGTTCCTGAAGTTTCTTTAAACCTTTTTGAACTTCTTTTGTTTTAAAGTGTATAACCCTGTTTTCCTCTGACTGCTAGTCCGTTTCTATGCACCGCCGTCACGTTCACTGTCAGAGGTGACAAGTGTCAGGTCGGAGCTGATCCAATCCGATGCGGTCTGGTCCTCACCCACATCCACCATGTCGTCAGTTCACATTTCCCCTTGCCATAGATGCTGACTTGGCCCTCTTTGGGTCAATCCTAAGCTCCTATTGCTGAGCTGTTGTTGTTATTATTGTTTTTGCTTGTGGGCGGGTCGAGACCTCCTGGCGCGTTTTCTTCTAGTTTTTTAGCTGAACTTTCACTTTCCCTTTTGTTTTTTTGTTTGTTTGTTTTTTGATTGGCATAATCACAGTTTATTTAACAAAAAATCAAACCAAATAGAAGAATGACTGGTAGCAATTTTGTAGTTGATTATTTTACTGTTTACTTTTGATAATGGATAATGGAGCTGTGTTGCAGACTTAAAAGAGCTTATTGACTTTTATTTAAAAACAGAAACCCAACTAATTTAAGGGATAATATTTCGTTTAAAATTCTTAAAACCTTTTTGTTTGGTATTGCTGATCAGAAGTATATATTTTATAGGGTGAAAAAAAGACTTATTCTTATTCTGAATAACAATAATACCCTTTAAAGGTGTAAAAATTTTAGAAAGGAGTGTTCTATAAAATCTTGTGTAAACGTTCCCTTCACAAAGATAGCTGCTGTGAAACTCTCCAGTCTCTGTTTTCTACGTTGTTGTTGTTAGCTCTCTGCAGATGGCGCCACTACACTGCATAGATTATTCGAAGTAATTCATCCATAATTCGAAGTGAAATGAAATTGGAATTTGCTCAAAGTCAAATTACTTTTCTGTGATAAGCCGTGAGTCAGTCGATCGGGCGGGCAGGTGCTCATTGGGACCCCTGACCCCCGATAAGGACAATCGTGGCGGTCAGTCAGTCACCTGGCAGAAGGTTAATTCCATTCGAAGATTAGGTTGGAATGCAGTCCCGCCGCCCTATAAATGCCCATGCAGTGGCAGGAACCAAATGCAGTTTGCAGCTATTTGTGTCAGAGTAAAGATGAAGTTCCTCCTCGTCCTCTTCCTGATCCCCGCCTGTGTGTGGGCCCATCACGAGCCGGGCCACCACGACACCACGGGCTATGTGGTGAAGACCCACGACGACCTGGTCACCTATCGCCACTTCTGCGCGGAGAAGGTCCACGCCTCCGCCGAGCTGGTGGAGCAGTACAAGAAGTGGCAGTATCCCGACGATGCCGTCACCCACTGCTACCTGGAGTGCATCTTCGAGAAGTTCGGCTTCTACGAACCCGAGCACGGCTTCGATGTTCACAAGATTCATGTGCAGCTCTCGGGCGCGGGCTCGACGGTGGATCACAACGATGAGACGCACCAGAAGATCGTCCACTGCGCGGAGACGCACGCCAAGGAGGCCGATTCCTGCTCCAGGGCCTACCACGCCGGCATGTGCTTCATGAACGCCAATCTGCGCCTGGTCCAGCACAGTGTCCAGGTCTAGAAAGGCGTCCAGGAGCGGGAATTGCCCCTCAGCCGGAACCAGAACCATCCTGATCGAATGTCGAAAGTTCAAGTCGAAAATAAAACAACCTTTTTTCGAAGGCGATTATGGTTGCATTTTATAGGAAAACTTTTATCGTTTTTCCATTTTCTATGTTGTCTCTGTTTTTTACTTAATTTCATTAGCTGACTGATTTAATATTACGTTTTATTTTGACTTGTGCTCAAACCCTAATGACTGGAATTTGGTTGGAATTTTGGTCTCCAATTAGGATTTATTATGTTTGCTTAGCTGGCTGATATAAAACTACACCTCAGATTCAGTTATAATTACGTCAAACATAGATGGCGGTAGTAAGGTACTCGGAAGGACTTGCAAAAATTCAAAATTACATTTTTGAAGGAAGAATAAACTTCTTAAACTTAAAACGGAGTCTAGAAACTGTGAAATATTTCGAATTTTGAGTTACCTAGGGAAAGAAAAACCCAAATATTTTTCAAAAGACATTTTTCTGTTTATTTATTATACAAATGCAGTTAATTTCTAAAATATGAACTAAAACCTATACTATGATTATATTACTTTAAATCTTGCTCCTTTGGCTTCATAAAATCCCTGACCCAATGTCCGAATCTACCGGAAGTGGCACACCTGTAGGCCCTCAAAGCCCACTCATCCGGCTGCGTCCGTTGCTCCTCCTTCCGGTTGCAGTAGTTGACCACCAGCATCAGTTCCTCCATTTGGTTGTGGCCCGCAAAGATCTTGGCTATTCTCCTCGCCTGGTACCCAGCCTCGTCGGTCCAGAGTCCCAGGGATTTGACCAAACACCTCAAAGTGGCTGCCTCCTCGCCTTGCGTTGCCTCACGGCAACTGGCCAGATCTTGGTACACCTGCTCCGTCTTCGGCAGTTGCCAAAATGAAGCTGCCTCGGCTCCGATGGCCATCAGCAGGAGGAGCAGGAGGAGGATGCTGCTCATCCCGCGAATAAGTTTCACTTTTGAGTAATTCATTCCGACTGCTTCCGACTGATAAATGGAGCTCAGACCGAAAGGCACTGCTCTTTTTATAGAAAAACAAAAAAACAGAAACCAGTTCTCGCGAGGCGACCTAGAATTCATGGAAAATGGGTCTAACATATATAGTTTACCTGGAGCGACATCAGATCGCCGACTGACGTAATGTGCGAGGAACTTTCCAGCTTCTCCACATAAAAAAATATAGCCATAATTCCAGTACACCTGCACCTGTGCTCAGAGTTCAAGTTCATGAATGGAATGGAGTCATCGGGGGGCAATTATAAACGAGGAGTCACGTTTGTCTTGAAAATATAAAAATGTACATTATCAGTTTTTAGTGCGTAGCATGATGAGTGGGGCTAATTCTTAATTCTAAACTTTTAAGTTTTTCTTGCTTATTCCTGATAATTATCTTAAGAGAGACTTAAAATATTTCAAAGATAAACTACAACTTGGACCACTAAATTCTTTGATTAGATTTTTATGTTTAAGAAAATCAAAGTAAAAGCCACTAAAAATCTATATTGATTCTGTCAAAGATTTCCGGCTCTTCACCCCCAACTATTTCTTATATTTTAACAAGAAAGTTTATTATTTTTTTTTCTTAATTTTTTCCTATCGTTCCTATGGCAGCTATATATATGTACATATATATATAGTCCCCGATTAGCCATACTCCGACTTATATACTAGTAAAATTATATAGAAGAATAACTCCATAGTTTCATTTAAATAGCTTGCTCTTAAATTTGTTCCAAAACAAATCTCTCACATAGATATGTACATGTGCATATGATTCCCAACTTGTTCTAACATCCCCGGAACGAAGTGTCTTCTGCCAGACAAGTCTCAGAAATGTGTTGTATTACAAAAGTTGCAAGTCATTGTTTATTAGTGTTCAAAGTTAGTAACTGATCACACATACTTACTGATCATAGATATTTACTGATTATAATTACTTGCTGGTTATAGATACTTACTGTTTAGAATTACTTACTGGTTAGAGATACATCGTGTTTAGAGTTACTTACTGCTCATAGATACTTACTGTTCAGAGCTATTACTGGTTATAGATTCTTACTTATCATAGTTACTTAATATTCATTGATACTTACTGATCATAGTTACTTACCGATCATAGATACTAACTGATCATAGTTACTTACTGGCTATAGATTAGTGTTTAGGGTTACTTATTGCTCAAAGTTAATTACTGATTATAGTTTCTTACTGGTTATAGATACTTCGTGTTCAGAGTTACTTACAGTTCATAGATTTTTACTAAAAATAGTTAGTTAATGTTCATTGATACTTACTGCTCAAAGTCACTTACTGTACCCTGCAAGGATATAAATATCTCTAATTATGATGTGTGATTATCCTTAGCACTCTGTATAGCACAATCTTTCGATTATTTTCTGCCCGATTAATTCTCTCACACCTTCTCGGCAACTCGAAGTCGTATTACCTTTTTTTTTGTTTCTGTGAGGAAGGCGACAATGCAATTTGGCAAACTGCAACTGCAATTATAAGTGCTCGGCTGACTGCACCAGGACCTGCTCACCCCACTCACTCAACCCAAATTCGAAGGACGATTTATTAAACATTCCAATCACACGTGAACTTGTGCTTTGTGTGTGCGAGTGTGTGTTTTTTCTTGCACCTTTCCTTTGACTGCGACTGCGGGCTTTGTTTTAATTTTTTGCCAGCGAAGGCCCTTCGACTTTCACCGCCGACTGTGACTACTTCATTAAGCAGTTGAGACTCGACGACCCGGCGACCCGACTCGTGTGGCGTTTTCACGCTGCAATAGACTTTTCCGCGCCACTCACCAGCCCCGCGTCCGTGTCAGCCGCGTTTTTGACAAAGCTAATTTGCCAGGCACAGCCCATCGGATATGCCCTCCAAGATTCCAGATTCCAGGTCCCAAAACTCACAGCTCACAGCTCAGACCTGCAGCCAGGCAAAATGCCAAACAAACACTTGACACGACCTATTCAATTATTTCTCAATTAAATGTCGTGTAAAGAAATCGACATCCACAAGTCAGCTTCATTGCATTCGCCTTCGCCATTCGCAATTCAGTTTGGTGGAGTCAAGCCATCAGACGTGCAGCAATACAGGAAATAATTTCAAATATTTTTAAATACAAAAACAAATCTATACAAATTTAAAAAATGTATATTAACAAAGCTGCCTAAAACTGGACAACTTTAGCTTAAAGTCAGTACAAATGGAGATACTTTTTTAATATGTTAAAAATTTCAATGAATTTCTTTTAAATTCATATAGTTTTCCTTTGCATTTTCTTGTCTATATTAAATAACTTTCATTATTCTATATATTTAATTTGTTGATAGTATTTTTTCTTTATGTGCAGCACTAAACACTTGGCACATTCACCTCAAACCACCTGCTACACAAAAAATAAGGGGAGGCGTGTCAAAGGCAATGGGTAAAATTGAATTTGGTTTTTCATTTCCATTTTCATTTAGCTCTCTTTGCTCCGGATTCGGATTGCGTTAGTTAGTTTGCCATGCAGCATTAAGTACTTAGTTTCAAAGAGCTTGCCAGCCACAAAAACCAACAAGAAATGAATTGAAATGCCAGAAGAGAAGGGACCTGGGAATGCTTTCAGGGGTATTGTTAAGGAAAAACTAGATTAGAGCTTAACAAATAAATGAAGAATATGCTTTAAAGTAGTTAACAAAGATGCAAATATAATAAAATATTAAAAATAAGGAAACATGACTAAGATTTCTAAAGTTATTAATTGACTTACCAAATTCCATTTAAGTACATTCTTAAATATACAAAATTATATATATTAGGGGGAACCTTTTGCTTTATTTTCTTATTTTATATACTCGTGCACCTTTCTTTCTCTCAAATATACATATTTCCCATTCTGTAATTTGTAAAGCAGTTTGCTCTTGAATGTTCTCCGGTCCGAAATTCTATTCGAGTTTAATGGTCTGCGACTTGTTTCTTTTCAATGTGCATTGTTTCTGCCCCTGGGGTTCCTTTTCTCCAATCCCCGAAGTCCTGGCTCCTTGCTCCTTCCTCCACGTCACTGAATCACTGCCCCAATCTCAACTGTTTCCATTGTATGCAGCCACCAATTCAGCAATTCACCTGGGCCACCACATGCCCACCTACACACTGCAAGAAAATTACCCCGTCTCTTTGCATTTTGTATTTCTAAGTTAAGTGGGAAAGCAGCATAAGATATTGTGCTAAAAATATAAGAATATATTTATATATATTTATCAGGGAGTGCAAAGAAATCTGTAGTTGAAATGTGTCTTCTACAATTATGCAAACTTTACTTTAGAAGCTTTATTTATTTATTTTATATATTGTTAAATGATGCTCAATACACTACATTTATTTCCCTGTGCATCCACTTGACCATTTATATACATCTACCTACATTGCCCTGCGAAAAACCTGGGCAGTCGCTCAGTGAAGCTGCTCTAATTGCAACTTTGAAACTCAATTGCGTAGACACAAGGCCACGGGGTGTGCAGGGTGGTGGGGTGGTGGGTCGGTGGGGTGGAGAGAACCACTGGCCAGCCACTGCCACTTGTCGGCCTCAAAAACCACCAATTAAATATAAATGTTTGCGCTTTTCTGAGCTGCGTTCTCTTGTGTTTCTCCTTTTATATTTTCCACATGGACATGAGTGTGTGTTCTACAATTTGCACATGGCCAGTGTCCGCGTCGGAAGGTCAGTTCCATTCTCCGTGAAAGGAGCTGCAGGACACGTGCTTTTTGTTTAAGCCAGCTCCTGCCTTGCCTTGCCTTGCCTTTATATCCCTGCCAAGGACCTGCTAACGATGGGGTTTTCTTTCACCGGAAGCCTGCATTTTAGTGCCCAGTTTCCCTCAAAGTCTGCTCTGGAGTTGGAGAAATGCGACAGTAAAAACTTTTTCGCTCTCTTACAATAATACAAAAAAACATCAAGTTAAACTGGAAAATAAAGGGGCGTGGCCTTCTCTGGTAGGCGACACATTGTGCCAAAAGTTTTTCCCGTTTTCCACAAAAGTTTTCCTACCGTCAGGCAAAACTTTTGCGAAGAAGAGAAAAATGCTAGAAAATTGGAATACTTTCAAAAGTTTCAAAACTGAAATGCAAAGAGTGGAGTGGGAGGGGAGGTGGCTATTTTTTCCAACTTAATTAATAATTAATTAGTGAATCATCTCAAAGCCAAACAAGTGGCCGATGGCCAGAGCAGAAAAATGACGGAACATATTTATATAAAATAAATTCATGTTGAAACCTCGCACAAAAGGCCATGGCAATGGTGAGTGGCGACTGCAGAGCAAGAAAATGCTTAAATAAAAATACTTTCTATATAGTCTAGAATATATATATATAGATTTCTGTGAATTTAAAGCTTTTTCCCGCCGTGTACCTGCGCTGGAGGTCAGCGCGTGCGGCTGCCTTTTGTTGGCCGCACTCCGCGCATTAGCCGCTAAATTACTGGCCGGCTGCCGAGTGGCCGAGTGGCCGATGGTCAAGGATCCCGCCCAGAGGAGGGGGCAGCAGGCAGCTGGATGTGGTAATTGGAATTAATTCAGCATTAAGCTGCATTTTCTTTAGCCAACTTGCCGTGAGCGTGGGGACACGACCGCCATGCGGCATTATGAAGTACCAACATTTTGTATAATTTTTTTCTATTCCTAGTCCCTTTTTCGCTCGGTTTTGTTAATTAATTGCGCTTAGTTGCCGCAAATGGCAGTTGCCGAGTGGTTCTCATTGCCCAGTGCCGAGTCAGGGGGCGTGGTCGGTATCCTGGTATCCTGGATCCAGCCACCAGCTTAGAGTCATTAGCGCGGCAAGCAATTAGCAGGAAAAGTTGGCAGCCAAATGCAATTCCGCAAATATCTTGACCAAAAAGAAATTGCAAGGGTTCTGCTCTTCTCTCTTTCAATTAAGGACTCTTTATAGAATTTATCATTTCC